GCGAAGGATCATCAGTGACTTTCTGAATGGTGCTTCATCCGGGTGTACGCTTGAGGGTGGTGACATCGTGCGATCAGTTCCCCTGCAGGCTATAACATTGATGATAGCTTTATCCCCAAACATTCGTTTAAGTGGTTGAAGAACTTCACTGTCGGTGATCTCTATCCTACCAACCCTTGGAGTCAGGCGATTAATCCGGTTGAGAATTTCCTGACAATCCTCATGACATGGTTCTACGTGCTGCTTTCCATCCAGTCTGCGGCGTTTGCTCACCTGTTCAGCTTTCTTGAGAGGATGACTCAACTCAGATTTCACAAAGGTGGTCTTGCCTCGCTGGCTGGATGAAACACGGAACGGATCGGCAACATATGCAGGCTCAGCAGTTGCCGTGGATGTCAGAGCGATCATGCCTGACTTCCATTGGAAAGGCCATTCTCGGAGATTCTTGCACATACACTGGGCAATCAGCCGGGCAAACTTTCGTGGATACACTTCTGTGAAAGCGGTCCGACGGATGCTTTGGCCATTCTATCGGGTCTGTCCTTCAATTGGCTGATGTTCATGATTTCTCCGGCAAGTCCTACCATGCAGAGATTTGTAAAGACTTGGGCTCGTGGTTAAAACGACCATGCCCTTCTTCATGAACTTACCATTTTGTGGGTCTACCAAGCAACCAACTTCACACAAATCAAACTGGCATGCACGAGTGTACCTATGGATCTCAGAAATTCCTGGCTGATGGAACATCAATGACCGGGCTGGCTGTTCCCAGTGAAAGTGTCGGCCCAATTGAACCTGATGTCGATACAGGACAATGCCAAGTGCTATTTGGTACAACACTTGATTCCGCTTCTCCAGATATTCTTGTTGACTCAGTTCACTTCGGGCAGCATTAAAATTTGACCAGGAAGACCAAGGACCACATACAGGTGAAAACCAGATGTGTTTTGGTTGGTGTACAACGACCTTTTGAAACAGCTTGGCTCTGTCCTTGGAATATGACAAATCCCCTTGCTCAAGGCCGAACCTGAATGCAGTGTGTCCCATCTGATGGACCTGTTGGGTTAACGGCGACTGATCACTACAGAAAACTTCCGCTAAAGTGAAGGGTCGTCCAATTGGCTTGTGATGTTGCATGGCATGATTGAGTTCCTTTTGGATAGTCTGAACATGCTTCCACAGCGATTGAACATCAGGGTGAATCATGGTACTACCTTCCACAGAATCATCACAACTGACTAGACTGCATTCTGGTCCTCCACCAATTCGGTCACGTCCGGGTATGCTTGGCTCTCGAGATGGTGGATGACTCTGCCCAGAGCATTCTCCATGTTGAGGAGACGGGTTTGCATTGCTTGGATATCCGGGTCCACTGGATTCCCCGTATACCCAAGTTGGGACATCTGTGAACCTAACTCCCATTCGGCTTCCATGTCTGGCAAATGCATTGCTTCGGAGGGCACTTCGGTGCGAGGCATTGCTTTGGCCTTTGGCCGCATGGATGCTTTGGGAACCACGGGTCTTTGACTCGATGTTCCCAACTCTTGGGGAGTCGGCTGCATTCGGATGGGTGTGCCACTCTCTTCGTGACGAGCTACCATGAGTTCCACATACTGAATCAACTTTCTGTGGCACAGCTTCCGACTGTTGCCGTAAAGGTTCACCATGAATTGAATCCAGGCCTGGTCCTTCCATGCTGTCTTGAAGCTCTCTCCCAGGTGCTTGTCGCCAAACTCCACCGTCTGATCGTGAAGATCCTTCAACCTCAGGTGGCTGACATCCGGAAGGGCTGTCTCGTCCTCCATCTGCAATTGCTTCAGGCGTTGACTCAGCGACATGGCCTTCACTGTCTCGATCGTTTGACTCAGCGAGAGGGGCTTTCTGTTGGCTTGGTTCTGACACTGCTGGTGTGTGGACATACATGGATGGTGGCTTTCTGTCATCATGGTTGGTGGTGAGGGTGTCAGCATCATTGACACCAGTAAACACATGGCTGCCTTTGGCTTTTGTGACAAACATGGGATAAAATGTTTGTGGTGGATCATGAAACTGATTGTGGTTGGGCATTTCTTCGGTCTCAACTTGGTCGGTAACCTGAGCTTCAACACTTTTGCATGTCATCATCGCAAAAGTCGATTGGTCTTGGGATCCAAGTTGATCCAACGTCGGCTTTGCCGCCATGGCTACAGCATTGATGTCAATCAAAAACAACCCTGTGGAGGAAAGTTCAAGTGGTATTTCTCGCTGCAACATGGGACTGCTGACGGTCTTGGTCTGGCAATTGATGATGGCTCGGAGTGCACGCAACAACGTATTGGAAACTAGGAAAGGAGGACCACCTGGAACTACCGCTATCTTTAATTTCAGAGGTCCAATTGGTAATACCAGTGCTTGAGTGCTTTGCAACGTACCCTCATTCCCAAATTTAAAGGTTACAGCACATTTTACCCGGGTGATCTTACTTCGGACCACTTCATTGAGACCATCAATCAACTCAGCAACATGTTGGGATCCTATCACTGTCTTTGACGCACCTGAATCCAAGATACCGTGGGTACCGTGAGTGGCAAACAAAATGCACTGCATTGGCATGGGATTTGGTTTCGACAGGATCCTCTACGGTGGTTGGTGTTCTTTTGACACCTTTCGCAAAATGCGATTGGCATGGCTGTTCGGCAGGGCTCGCAAAATGCGAACTTCTAAACTCTGAACCTCTCAGTCCATCACTCCTGACACGGGATCGGATGCGCTCTCGGGCATACACAAGTGCTGGGTCCTTACACATAGGATGGTGGCTCACCTGTGATTTCCTTCCCAAAATCAACCCCTCATGACCAACCCTATGATAACCCTGGATTCCACAGCTTACAAAACATGTCGATGGACTAGACAGTGGCTCCTCAACAGCATCGAGAGACTCTGCAAAGTCTTCGGGCAGGTTCAAAAACTCCATTGGCAGGTTATTCACATCTGAGTGATCGGCAGTCACATGTGTCGTGGGTGCTGTGCTGCTACCTGACATGGATGAGGTACCTGATTGAAACTGGCTTCGCATTGGACACTCGGCTTTCCAGTGTCCCTTTTGGTTGCACAGTCTGCATGTCGACTGCATGATCCGTTCCTGCAGTGACCTACGAGGTCTGGCATTCCAATTGGGGGATTGTTTTCCCTTGTTGAAACCCTTTCCAGCCTGAAACTTGCCTTTTCCAGAGCCAGCAAACGGTCGATTTGGGAAAAAAAAACCTATTGCGAAACTTTTCAGACAAACGGTGACGTGCCTGCTGGTATGATGTGAGGGCGACTGCAAGGTCTGAATCATCTTGGATGGTGTCCTGGGCGGCCAACTCAAAATCGCTCACCAGTAGAGCATCTGCATCTCCTTGTTCCACCAGCTGATCAATGTACTCCTCTTCTGTGATTTCATCCTGAACCTGAAAGGCCTGGTCAGGTTCCTCAGTTTCTGGAATAGTCTCAGAGTACAGTGCTGTCTGATCATAGATTTTGGTCCTAGCATTCTTCTTCTGATTGGTGAGATCCATGAAGAAATTGGCTCCCAATGTTCTGATGGCTGTTGTCACGCGTTTCACTGAAAGTTTTCCATCCTGTTCAGATTCAAGGATAACCTTCTTCTTCTCCTCGCTGGACAAGAGGGATCCCCTAAGCAGTATGTAAGCCTGGAGATCTTCCAAACTCATTCTCCTTGACAACAACCGTGACCACAAAACATCGGCACGGGCCAAATAGGACTCGTTGGCCTCTTCGGCTTTCTGCACCGTTTCAAACAGTGCTCTCCCTGCGTCCTGGTACTGAAGCTCCAATGGAATCTTGCCCCACGATCCTCCAAGAAGCTCCACCAGTCGTTGTACCGACTTTTCACTCCCATCCAACAGTTCAGTTTGATGAAGTTGCAGTTTGGCAAAGGCAGATCCGTTGCAGCCAAAGATTAACCGTGTCACAAGCTCCGTCGTCTTTGCACGGGGCCAGGCTGCATAGACAAGTTCCACCTTCTGCTGATATATCAAGAGATCATCAACTCCAGGATCAAGACTTGGCACCAGTGATGCGAGCTGATTGCTCACCCCAATGCCCGTTGCTTCACCGCCAGAGGATGCGGTTGCGGACATGCTCCCTGGATGCTCCTTTGCGGAGCTCCGCTACCAATATGATTGGCAGCACCCTGTAGCTGTTGAAACAACTTCCAATCCAAAGAGGTTTCTGACCCAAGCACTGTTGTAGAAAATTGGAAAACTGTGGATAGTAACAACCTCCGGAAAAATTGGTGTTACCTCTCCAAACCCAAGCAAATGACTTCACAAGGTCCCAATGCTCTCTTTCCTTTTTGTCGCTTCACCACAATGCTGTTCTCAGCAGAAATCCCTTGATGACAACTGTCACTCGAAAGGGCTGGCACGCCACGCCAGCAAGCAATTCAAAAGGTGACCCTGTCACTCCGGTCGGATCAAGGCATGAACCCTCTTCCGCCCACAACCAACCTGCTCCCTGAGCCAATGCCTATGGCAGGCATGAAGTTTGTCCAAACTGACCTGACAGGAGAAGGTGACCATGTTGGATAATCACAATGTTTATATATATATATACACCACACATACACTCTATATTACATATAGTATATCCATTCTAATTATCGATACATATGCACTATATGCACTATATGCACTATAAAGACTACATACACCATGATTTCTATGTATACTCACCAGTGCTGCTCACGCAGTACCTTGGACATTGCTGGCACACTCCTTGCACTGAGCTATATATTTTGCGTATATCGGCTTGGCTGCTGAGAAACCCCCCCTCCCCTGCCACAGGGGGGGGAACCATCTGGCTGGGGGAGGGGGGGAGTGTGGGGGTCCCTGCTCATATATATATATATACATATATATATATAATATGTATGTTAAAAATCGTTAAAATGAATAAGTATATCAAAATGAGATCTCCAAAATGCAGCAATTCCAGGCAATTCCATCACTCGTCTCCTTCGAGAGGACATCCATGACTACGTGCTGAGACATGCCTGGAATCAGCCGAATGGGAAGATTTGAGAAGCGGATGCTGTGAGGCTTCAAAGCAGAGAGGCACAAAGCTCAGAAGCCAATGACTCTGAATGACTCAATGACTCTCAATGTACTTTTTCATAAGTTTTTCCCATCAACACGGGATTCAGATAAAATTCAGAAGATCTCAACAAAACAGCATTCCCGCAATTCATCCTCTTGGAATTTGCATTCCAATTCCACCCGGCCCATGCCTCTCCATTTGGCCCGGTGTTGATGACTCTTGGCTGGAGGTGTTGGTGAGGGCCTTCAAGGCTCTACGCCATGAAATTCCAATTGCGCAGTGTGCAACAACTGCACTGTTCAAAGACCCAGCCGGCCTCGGAGAACGAATCAGGCCTCAAGCAAACGCGTAATGCGATTCAAAATCCACCCTGACGGGATCCTGGTGGCCTGGAACTTGGTCAAAGAGCTCCATGTAGTTGTCTTTCGCAAGCCGCCCTGCCCACAAATGACATCCGGCTGCAGTGCTTCTGGAAAATGCTTACATCGACAAGCCTTGATGTGCACCTCGGTTGTTGACCTTAGGATGTAGAAGGGCCATCTTGGAAAAGGCCAGCAAACTGAGATTGGTTGACGGTAGTTGACGGTAGTTGACGGTGAAACTCTGACAACGCCGTCTGCTGAGGCTACAACGATTGCTCTATGTGTTGCCGCTGATCCAACCTTCAAAGTGGGATGTCAAAAAAAAATCTGCCGCTAAAACTAAAATTGACCTTCAGTTCACATCGGCCTGGATTGCAAGCCCAAGGGCGCGCAAAGTCTCAACCTGCCACGTATTCTACTTGCAGCCGACTTTTTTTGTAACTTTGTAAATCACTGTGAAGCCCAAAAAAAAACCTCCAAGGACAACCCACGCCTTCTCTTCAACCACTTTCCAATCGTCAAAACTTGCAATCCGAACTGTTGGATGAACCATTGCTGCCTGCGTGCGACGCCATCGACTTGCGCAGGTCCAAGCTGGTCCAAGCAACCGAAGCCTTTAGATGAAGCTGTCAGACCCGCCTGAGCACATTGGCGAGCCTCCTCTGGGGCCAGATTGAGGACCTACCAGCTGAGAGCAAAAACCGAACACCACAGCCATGGTGCTGTGGACCGCTCCTCAACCAGCCAGTTTGCCGCAGTGCTGACCTGGGTTCCAGCTTCCATCCATCAACAGTCACGTAAGTCAAGTGAGTCAAGCCTGCAACTTTCCATTGAAGGAGGCTTTCAGCCTTAGCTTCCAGTGGCACGACTGGCCCCGCCCACTCTTCCAGGAGTTTCCAAGGGCTGCACAGCAGAAGATGCCATTGCAAGGGAACGTCTTTGGTTTCCTGGTCTCCACATAAAACAGGCAAGTGAATCTAGTCTTCCATTTCTATCCCATCATGTCCTCCTCCAACCTTGACTCATTGCTGCCCGGCCTTGCCAAGAACACCCACAGGCCAAACGACCATCAAACATACAGTGATTGTATACCACTGTGCGTCCCAGCCTCTGAGTATTCAGCAATCTCCATAAGTTCACAGGCATCCACAAAATTCCCATCGAAAAAGATCCATGTTGAACCCAGTAAACAATCCATTTGGGCTAGTCTTGGTTGCCATTTTGGTTGATGTTATATACTTTTGAACCATACACAGCCATGGTTTCAGGCCTCAACAGCCTTCTGAAGCTGCCAATGGTAAGCCTTGCATCCACAGGTGGCGCCCTCACGGGCACAACCACCTGGTCGAGGGCTAAGTGAAGCACCAACCGTCCAATCTTCTTGGTGGTTTCAAGCGTCTTGCAAAATGTTGGGAATATGTTTATATATGTAACATATAATGTTCATACGATATAATACATATATATATATGTAATGCAATGTACTGTAATGTCTAATGTACTGTACTGTAATGTAATGTGATGTATTATACTGTACTGTACTGTAATGTATCGTAACGTAAGGTAATGCCATGTGTGTATGTACGTGTATATATATAATATATTATACATAATAATATGATGTGTATATAATTATGTATATACGTATTTGATCATATTTGTCAACAATAATTGGGATCGTGACCCCAGGATGGAAAATCAACCATATTTACCAGCAGAAAGGGATTGGACACCGAAATCACTAGCAGTACCAGTGTTGCCTCCTCTTCAGGTCTCATGTCTGGTGGGCGCGTTCTTACCAGCAATTCATCCAAATTCGACAGCGATGGCCTTAGTCTCACGTCGAATCAAAAAGATCCAATGCCCAAAGCAGAACAAGGTCTCAGGCAGCTCCGTGTAGTTCAAACGGTCTGCTTGCCTTACCACTCGCTTTTTGATTCCTCAGAGCCAGCTGATCTGTTCTGAAAGCCATCAAAACTTCTGGAAAGGAGTGGATGGACTGTCTCAGGGTTAATTGAACACCTTGCTCTGTCATTATAAGATCTCCGCCAACTGATTGAGGATTTCCAAAGGAGACCATGTTCTCAGTTCCGTGTGTCAGCATCCCGTGGCGACATGTGGCGACAAATTGCTCCACTGAACTAGATCCTTCTGATTCTATAAAGAATGTCCTTTGTTTCGTAACGGGTGCACGGCTTCAAGTTCCTGATTCTGGGTCCCTTGCAAAGAACTTGCTGCTGCGCTCCTCCAAGACATATGTCCCAGAGAGGGCCTTGCATGGTGAACCAATTGCTAAAGACTTGCCGTAGAAGGGAATTGTCATGAAGTATCAACCTTTCAATTTCCGAAACAAACGAATGGCCTCACGTCTAGAAACATGGCGAATCGTCAACTTCTTAGTTCCCCTGCGCCAGGCTTCACTTCCGGAACCAGCATCATCTGACCTTGGGAGCCTTGGGAAACAGCTCAGTTTCAGCTTGGAACTGCTGCGAAACCTTCGTCTGGATGAGGGGAGGGCATTCCACGTGGCGTGCAAACGTTGAACTCCGAATGGCACGTGGCACCGTGTATCGCGGTAAAATCAAGAATCACCGTCAAGGCATGTCAAGGCATTGGTGCGATGATTCTGTTGTTTCGGCCGGAGTACCATGTCTGTGTGGATGTGTCATAGGGGTCGATGTAATCGCATGTCATGATTCATTGTGGTTGGTACCGGTGGAGGGAGGTGTAGGGTCTACTTGTGACAGTCATTTTCATTACTTTGCTAATCGGTGGCTGGGTATGTGCATGTATATGCTGGTGTACCGGGGAGGACTCTACATGTAAAAGCTTGCGGGTTCAAATCGGAAAGTGTTCAACTGCCGACACTTCTGCCCTGCAGCTCATTTCCACACTCTGACATCATGACATGACGTCTGGCAGCTGGCCCGAGCTGGACTTCTCGGCCACTCTTTTGCTCCATAGCATCAGGTCTGCATCACAAGTGGATTTCCCAGGAGCCTTGCTGAATCTTGGCATGAAACGGGCGCTGCCAAAGCCTTCCAAGTAATTCGAAAGGCCAGAAGCAAGGCCCCTGGTTTTGCCACAGCATGTCTCGTGTCAAATCTCGATTTCGTAGCCGCGAGATGCAGCTTTGTCTTCCATGACATCAAACCAGTCATCCTGCTGCAGGGAAACTGTCTTGAAATGCCTATTTCAGATGCTATAGCCGCTATGCTAAGTAGCTGGAGCTGCTTCAAGTTGAAAGGTAATACGGCTGCAAGCACAGTGCTATTGCAGTTTCTCCTCATTGGCAACGAGGCAGGCATCCATGGCCTTCCGAGACTAAAATGACCGTTGTCCAAATTGTCCAACTCGGAACCAAATGTGACCAAATGTGACCAAATGTGAGGATAAGTCAGCAAATGTCAGGTTCCTGCCTTGTTGAAGCCTTCAGTTGCTGGGTCTAAATCCGTGTATTCCATGACCTGAAAACAGGTCAGGAATGACCTGGAGCTCAATTCAACCTGCTTAACTCCTGAGACGAGCCTCAATGATGTCGATCGCGTCTTGCCAAAGACCTCCATACCTGAAAGCTATTCAAAGATATTCAAACACTGTTGGCTCCGCACTTCCAAGTCATTCTCCAGAAACAGCAATGACAGGGGCGTATGTTTTGTCTGTTTTTTCCAGCTTGTCCAAGTACAATACATTGCCTCATTGCCTGCAGGCATTGAGGGCTTCCATGAAGGTTTTCTTCCGTCCTCGAACTCCAGTACCTGGTCTGGCAAATCTGCGCTTGCTTTGCTTCTATCTTTCTTTGGTAAATTTAGCACAAGTACATACAAGTACCAAGGCATTCAACATAATGCAGGACGGTGTCCCATCCAATTCGGGATTCACAGAGGACCCTACCGAGCATCTCCCGCAAGACGTCGACCGAAAACTTCCAGGCTCGATCCTGACGGGAGACTCCGCTTATCGACTCTATCGACTGTCGAGACAGTGGCACCTTGGCACATCCAGACATCGCCCATTTGAAGGCTTCCTCATCTGGAACCATTTCACGCTCCTGTCAGCTAACAGGAGATACAGGAGGTACCAGAAAGATCCAGAGAGCAAATTGTTTTTGTGTGTCCTTGATCTCTCCCAGGAGCTCCAAGCCTGTCTGCCTCCGCAACATGCGGAACAAGGCGAAGAAAAAAAGGAAAAAAAGCGCCCTTGCAGCAAACCACACTGCAAGCATACCAGGACACTGTTCCCAGCAACATATTCACCTCCCCTTTTACACATCACTTCAATACTATTTTGGAACATGACCATCTCAAGACCTTTTACGGTCCCAATAGTTTTTTTCCCTTCATGACTCCATGGTCACGGCCCTGAAGTCTTGTCGGTCTCTGGTCGAGATAAACGTGCCAGGGTTTCCATTTCTTCACTTTCTCACAACATGCCCTGATAGCAGCAGAGAAGGCGGGTACCTGACACAAACATTTTGCAGACCTACATATATGTTGTATGTGTCTATGAATATTTGCATGAAGCTTCATAAAAAGCTTGTAGACCTATATAAGTCAACACCTCTACGACTTTAACAAACTTGTAGACGGCACCCCAGGTTGAAAGTCGTAGTCTTTCATCTCTTGCAGGTAGCCCAACGCCTGCAGCATGTGGATGAAGAGTCACTCCCAGCGGGCAACCTCCAAGCCGCAAGGGGCCTTCTCCCACTTCCTTCTTCTACCCCACCTTGCTTTGAGCAACGCAATGCAATGTAGAAAGAGTCCTTGAAAAATTAAACACCTGCTTTCCATTCCAAGGCATTGGCTTTATAATTTCGTGCTCGTAGGCATCTTGCAAGCCTCACCAGAATGTTGAACTTGTGCGGACCCCAATTGCACGAGCTATAGCTAGGTCCATCACTTGCTAAAGTGGACTTGTACTCCTGCTGCGACAGTTCCCCTTGAATCCTGCAGGAGGCTCACTACCGGGTTCGTTAAAAAAAACAGCCATCCTCCTACATGTTGTCACATCACACCTGATCCCCCTGCGCCCCCTTGATCAATGTTGTTGCCCAATGCATGCCGGTATCCGAACCGAAATGGCTGTTTTTTTGAAGGCCTTTCCAAGCAAAGCGATGTAAAAACATTGAATTGGGGGGAAGGGGGCATGCAAGTTTCTTCGCAATGGGTGTGACAGGATGGCTGTTTTTTTGAAGAACCCGGTATGAATCCACATCCCATCTCCGCCGCGATAGCTATGTCCTCTGCCGGAGCTCCCGCAAGGTCACAGGAAAGACATGCTTCCGGGCAAAAGCTCTTGGACCGTCAAGCCTTTGCAAAGCAAGACGTTTGAAACCCACACACACAAATCCACAATCTCCACAATCTGGACTGTTGCTCTTGTCAATACCTGCCTTTCTACAACTACTCTGTTGGACTGCAGGACTCTGTGATCAGTCTCCAGCAAGATCTCACAGATCAGAAACGGCACGAGAAGGCACAGGAGTCGGCGTGCCTCGGGCATCAAATGTCACACCATTGGGTCAGATCCATAGTGTGACCACCGCAGCAAGCGTTGCACTGAGATGCACTGAGTTCACTGGCACACAACGCTCGCTGGCACCTGTGATGCGGGCCAATGACAAGAACCGATTCCTGGTGTTGTCGTCTACATCTAATCTAGTCACTCTAGTCCGACCTCAAACCTGGTCTGCTGTCGTTAATCCTTCGTGGTTTTGGTGTGGACAGCACACGCTTCTGCTCTGGTAATTGTGTGGATTGATCAACCTGGCAAAGCTGCACCCTACAAATCCCAGACTGGAGAAAAGGTACGATTGCAGGTGCTTAGGCACTCCTGATGCCAAGGCTTCCAACAGTCGAAGAGTGGCGCTATCTCACGTGACAACTGACCACAGAGTACCCAAACACACTCATCTTACGCCCGAACCTGGAGATCTCTGCCATGTCATCAGGCAAAATTGTAATGGGCAACTGTTGGTGTTACTTTGTGCTGTCTGTCGGCTCAATACATTTAAAAATGATTAAAAATGTGTCTTGGCATCTCGGCTATCCATAAAAGGGGGTGACATGAAAAAAGACTCTTCTGCCTCTTCTGCGGTCTCTCACAGTGATATGTCTACTGGGTGGCGTCTCAATCCAATTGGCACCATCCCTTTGTAATCTCAGAAAGCTCAGCAGGCACAAAGGGCACAGATGCAAAAGACCAAGGTTTCTCACATGCTCATGGAGGACTTGTATGGACTTGTCAAATTCATCAGCTGCAGCCTTTCTCTGCAAATCATTGGAGAAGCACCCGGTTTCGAATCACTCACAACTCTACATCATCCTGGCGCATGGGCTAGATCTTCAATGAGAATGTGTTCAGCCATCCTATGGTCCTATACCAAAAATTCAATAAAAGGAAAGCTCTTGAGGGAGAATTATGGTGGCATCAAGGCAAGTCAGGGCAGACCCTCCAAATAGTTGGGACACCGCAGACTTGAGGCTGGCGATTTCAGCGGCTCGCTCCCTGACACATCTTTGAAGACAGAGATATCCCAGGAGGGTCTGAGCAACTCCAAAGCAACGATTCTGAGTAGATTTGGAGGTCTCCTAAAATGAAGGTACCCCCAAATCATCCATGTTAATAGGACTTTCCATTACAAACCATCCAGCTATTGGGGTAACCCCATTTATGGAAACCCCCATTTGAAGAAATGGTTCTTGCCCCAGAGAACTGTTCTCCATCAGTCAGAGCAGTATTGCAAGGTGCCAGAAGTTCCTTTAGTACAACCCTGTGGCACACCAACAAAAAGCTCTAGGCCTCCTCTCTTTCATTTCCTGCAGAAATTCTGTGCATCAAAGCATGTTCGGCAAAAGTCCCTAACAAACTTTCGAAAGCAAATCAATAGAGGAAACAATGGTAGCAAGATGTAACAAGAGTAGCAAGGCATGAGAAAAACGATGCTTTTGGTGCTTCAATTTGCTTTAACTTCGCTACAAGACAGGACAGGACAGGCTGCCCATGGCCTGCTGCTTGGCTTCATCGGCCGCTTTGTCTTCTTCAACGACAATGGTCTTGGCTTTCCCAACGTCTGGAACTGCCACTTTTGGCGAAGATTTCGTCTTTGGATTTGCTCCTTGGAAAGGACACATGAGTCGCATGCAATAAATACAGATATGCCGACAATGATTTTATCCATGTTATCCTCTGCCAAAGATGTAATGACACCCTCGGAAGTAAAGTCGCCCCAGTTATGGTGTTGCCATGTGTTGCCATACCCTCTTCCCCCACACCAACGACCTGGAGGTTTTTTCTTCAGAGGTGGAGGGCTTGGACTTTTGGCACGCCTCCAAATGGAACGATGCTGTGAATGGGGCATGGTTGATATTTGGGGTTTACGGTTTACCAATGTTTACCAGGTATACATAGGTATACCACATTCAGTTGGGAACTTCATTGAGTTTATTACCTTTGCCTTTGTCCAACTCCATTTCTTCCAAAGACATCCAAAGACTACTCTCAAACATCAAAAGGAGAGGACGTGGCAAGCCTTGAGGGTGACCGCACCTTCCTTGTTCTTCTGTGTTGCCTTCCAACAAAAGATTCACTTCAACATTCAAGCGTCTTCAACCAAGCATTTCCACGTTTTCATGATAACCTTTTGTTGCTTTTGTGGAACGCCTCCTGCTGCGGGAGCGAGACCTTCTGGTCCTGTCACGGTCACCCCGGTGACCCCCATCAAGCCCAATCCCTTCATCGACTCATGACAACGGTAACTCGACCCATGTCCTGCGCAGTGGCCGCGTCGGACTTCTGCTGCCGGGTTTCTTGTCTGCTCTCCTCCGATGGGCACGCCAAGGTGGATCAGCAGATCCTCGGCTGCATTTGGACACAAAATCTCATCATTGGCTGATCATAATTTTCGACATGAAAGTCACCAGAAGTTGGGGCATACCCAATTTTTAAACATACCCACATGTAAAACATGTTGGACGCCAATGGCTGCAGCAGCTCTGCCTATTTGATGGCTAGGACTGTAAGAACCAGACCAGCAGAAGTCTGGGCTTCTTTCCTGGCAAGCTCGGAGTCTGGTTTCTTGAAAAAGCATGAATGTTCTCTTTGAAAATGCAAGCGCGCCCCCATGCGCCAGCAAGATTTGCTAGACATCTCAAGAAGCATCCAGCAGATATTACTAGTAGCAACGCCCAGCGCCTCTCCGGGGAGTCAACAACGTGTGTGACTTGAGTGGGGTTTGAAGATGCAACTTTACCTTGGCAGAAAAATCAATCAGGTGATTGGCCTGTCTCGACTTGCTTTAGATACAGTCATGGAACATCCTGGAACATATGATGAGGTCTCATGGAGTCTCATGTTTTTGCTTTTTCCTCTCCCACCTCCGGATGGCTACCTGCCTCCAAGTTGCTCGCTGTAGCTGTCGATTTCTGTTCAACACTGTTCTCCTTTGATTCCTTTGGATCTTTCACCTTCTCTGCTTTCTCTGGTTTGTCTTGTTTCTGTTCCTTGTGTTCCTTCTGCTTCTTCTGTTGTGTCGCTTCCTTCTTGTCAGTCTGTTCTTTCTGTTGCTTCTGTTCCTTCGCCTCTTTCTCTCCTGTCTTTGTCTTCTCTTCTTTTTGCTCACTCAGCTTCGGTCCTTTCGGTTCCTGTGGCTGCGCAGACTATGAAGATCTATGAAGTACCTGCTGTAATGCAACAACCCAGCGCCTCGTCCTGCTTGTCTTGCTCCTGCTGCTTGGGGCATTAGTCATTACGAGTACCTACTGCCACATTCCAGTGAAGGCCAGCAGAACGAGCTGTCCTTCATGCGTTTTTCAATTTCTGCAGCAGCTGCTGCGGCTGCCTTTGCTCTCGAATTCCTGTCCAAGGTTTTGGACCGATTTGCACCACATCACAGCCCCTCTACTGCAAGCCACAGCCTCTCGTCTGCAGCTGGCTGGCTAGTCGCCTAGCAATTGAACTCTCAAAAAGTACAGCATATCTGCTGAGTCGTGATTTTCCGGATCTTTGACTCTGTGATTTCAAACTGTCCCAAAAACGAAAACACAAAACCGTGTCGTTCGACGGGTTGCTTCAGACTTACACAAGAAAATGTTGACATCTTTCGACAAGTGAGGTGAGCCCAACCTCTGGTTTCTTCGGCGAGGTCGCTGTTTCAGCTCGGGCCTGGCAAAGAAGCTTTGAACATTTTGAACACAACAACTTTATCAATGTAATTACCAATGTCAAATAAGACAATACCATGCACTGCCTCCTTGAGCAACCGAAGAATTTCCTCGTCCAACGTCTGGTCCGTCTGGCAGGTTTAGAAAACAAATCGACATCAAATCAAACAGTTCCGCGCCCACATGGGTTTTGCCAAAACCTCACCTGCTGTGGAGCTCCGCTCTGGTTCGGTTGCATGGTTTGCATTGGCTGCATCACGGGCTGTTGTATCACAGGCTGCTGCATGGACTGCTGGCTTTGCTGAAGGTGCTGAGCCCATTGCTGTTGATTCCATTGTGCTTGCAGCTGCTGCTGTTGCAGTTTCTGCTGTTCTGCCTGCCACTGCATCTGCTGCTGCATCTGCATCTGCGCTTGCATCTGTTGTTGTTGCAACTGCTGCTGTTGCAACTGCTGCTGTTGCCATTGCTGCCATTGCTGCTGCTGCTGCTGTTGCTGTTGCTGCTGCCTCGGGTTCAAACCACCCCAGTGCGAGTTGTCCAACTCACTACCCATCAAATTCCAGGTGTCCGGCTGCATTGCAGCCTGGCAAAAAGATTCCAACAAAGCATGCCGCTGCCACATTGAACTCAACACATTTGTTGCTGAGTCCAGGATGCTGTATTGAAGTTGAAACGTCTTTCAAGCCAGAGATAGGCAAATCCATAGGACGAATAAAAACTCTGCAGAGCCATTGATAGAACATCTGTTTCTTGAAAGTCGTGTCATGTGCTCACACTATCCTAAGGAAAGGAAAATCGTGTATTGTGTACAAAAGGATATGTGGATGGAGAAATTCATAGGTGCACACAAACGAATATATCACAGCAATGTATTTCTGTACAGTAGAAACGGCCTATCCAGAATGAAATCGGTTTTAGGATGTTTTAAGTCTGTTTCCAGAACTGCATGAGGCTTCCATTCACCCCGACTGAAACTTGCGAGGTTGCAAATATCCTAACAATGAAGGTCAGTTCAAGGTGGAAGCACAAACCATCTCTGGATAAGGGAACTAGCCAAACTTTGCTCTATCAGTCTCTTTCACTACGGCAAATTCGGAGAGCACTGGCCATGTGCAATTCACGCGCCAAACCTGGAAGCACCCAGCCTGCATCTGTTGCCACTGCATCTCAGCTTGCCTTGCACGTTAAATTGCTTTATTAGCATCCTGTACTCGTCTTCACTATGACTCACCGCTACAAGTGGGCAGGCAGCGCGAAGGACAATTCTCGGTGGTCTTCACCTGTCAGTGCAGTCGCTCCAGATTTGTCATGACGAATGCATTTCATCACCAGACCCACCTGCCAAGCCGCTCTGGCAGCGGTGTTCGCCTGGTGAGCCGCCTTACCAAACCAGGACTGACTTTGGACTCAAGACTCCCAACCGTCCAAACACAACGCTGCACCTCCACCAGCTCCTCTTGGGCAACTATTGCCTAAGAGGTTCACCAACATTTTGCAGTAAAAATGTGCCTTTTCTTTAACACAGCACCTGCGTGCACCTGCAATCAGAAGAAACAATACTATGTTTTTCACTTGTTCAAAACAATGAATCTAAGAGATCCACTGCATTCTCTGCTAATGCTCTGATCGGTTCACAGGAAGCTGCCTGTGCCAAGGTCAGTTTGTGACCTTCATGCTTTTAAACTTACCTGATTGAAGTTATTGGATGCCGTTTGATGTGATGCTGTTTGGAATTAACAAAACCATCATGTTTGAACGCGACATTATCTGCGCAAAACTGATTTGCAGTTTTTTTCCTACCAAAAGTCCAAAGTTGTTGTTGTTGTTTTTCATTTGTACAAAAGAATTGTGGGACGGCTGACACGCTGACAGCTGAGGAGCAAACTCGAAGTTCCTGCATCATGGCCTTGCAGAGGCCGGCGTTTTTTCTTGACCCGGGAAAAACTCCACATGTTTTTTGGCGAACCTACGCAAGTGCAACCAAGGAGCATGTGCAGATTCGATTTTTTTCAGCAGGGGTGATCTATCCTGCCAACACAACAAAATGTGAGGCAAACATGATGGAGGATAATTCCACAGAATTCACATAGTTCGTCTCTCATCACGCTTTACGTTTTCCAGTCCTCTGAGGCTGGGAATGCTGCAGCGGTTTCTGATCCATCCTGGCAAGTGAAAAAGGTTTCCAACGGAGCGAATCTCTACCTGAGTTCAGTAATTGCCATGATCTACATGCAAATGTGTGTAGGACGGGTCGATCGACAATTTGACGATGGTAAAAATCATATGACTATGTTTTGTACAATGAGACGTCATGGTTGAATCCAAGTCTACCTGTGCTTGATGACATGTATCTATGTTTGCAGATTATACATATACACATGTAATGCATGTATACATACATACGTACGTACGTGTATCCATCCATCAATCCATCCATCCATCCATCGGTCCATCCGTCCATCGGTCCATCCGTCCGTACGTACGTACAGCTATACAGCTATACAGCTATACAGCTATACAGCTATACAGCTATACAGACACATCTGTACAAACATATCTACAATATAAATGAAAAAACACATACATACACCAATACATCACATCGCATCACATCACCGCACAGCACATCACGTCACAGCACAAACCTTCCTGCCTGCCCACCTACATACATGAAGGCATACATAGTTGCATACATACATGTATACAATTACATGTATATATATAGATTAATATTTATGTTATGTATATATATATACACATATGATCACATATGTATATGTATATATGTTGTTATACCATTATATAACTATAAGTGTATATTTACAGTGGTCAAACTGGTTGTTGGGGACATAGTTGGCGGACACTCTCAGCCGGCTTTCAACTTCCATTAGAATCATTAGAACTGTTTTTTCGCCCTTTTCTGTTTGCATTTCAGGTAGTCATAGTGCTGACTTCACTGGAAGGAAGCGGTCAAATGACATGAATCTGTGGAAGAATGTGAGGAACAGTTGGTTGGTGACCCTTCATAGCCGACCAATGGGAGCCAGTTAGATGACTACTTGAGCTGACTCAGTAAGTAAGTACCTACTGACATACATACAGACAGACAGAAAGACAGACATAGATACATGACATAGATACATAGACGTAGATACATGTGCGTGTGTGTCTATGCGGGTTGCCACCAGACCTCTCCTTGACTCTTGTTGTGCTAACACATCCACCCATCAGCCTGTGGAGCCACACCACTCAAGGAGCTCGCAACCTACAGCCAAAGCAGATGAGGACCAGCCTAAGAGAACCACAATCTTGGGGTCCAGACAGAAGGAAAGACAGCTTGATTCCTTGGCTCATCGATTTCTGGCAACTGATTGGGTGGGTCGTTCAGAATGTTCAGATTCATGTCCGAGATTTGGCAAATATCTGAGCACCCAAAATCTATGCTCAGTCCACTGCGCTGGTACCGCTCGTTGGTTGGCGCCAAATCCTAGGCTGCTTGACATCTGCCACGACCACGGCCATTCCATATGAAATCAAAATAAATCAAAGGTGTTCTGGGGCGTCAAGCGAAGATGCAGCAATGAAGGCCTGAGGACGTTCCCATACAATTTTCAGGTATGGGCAAAGCACTGCTTTATGTGCACTCTCCAAAGAAGTTGCATGCACGAATCCAGTGGCTTTTCATGCTTGTCTTCGTCAGGCAGGGCACGATTTGTATGCAAAATTGATGTCTCTGTCAACGTCTTTTGCAATCTCTTAAAAAAAAACGCCTCTACATGGCTTTAGGAATGATGTATCTCCAATCCTTTGCCATTGTTTCAGCCCGCAGCGGTTGGCCCTGCTGCATCAATTCACAGGAGCGGGTAGAGCCTCAGAATTGGCACAGCAGAAGGCCATCTCTATGAAGTCGGCTGGGCTTGACCAGGGGTGCAAAACTGAGAGGAGTTCTCTGCGGACTTGAGAATATACGTCAAGATTACTGAATGAGCAAACAATGGGTTTAAAGGCTAGGAAGTTGGTCTGCAGCTGTGAGATGGGCTCTCAAAGGCTGCTCACTCTTGACATGGCAAACAGGCTGCTCTCTTAGACTCCACACATTTGCCTACTGCCAAGCATGCTTTGCCATCCTAGCAGGCCACAATCATGGCTGGTAGTGCGGCGCCCAAAAATACGGTGGTTCCTTGTCATCATTTTCCTCATTGTTTAACGGACATGAATTTAGGCATCCCCCATCCTCGGAAAACCCATTATAGCTTTGCAAAAGCTGGACGACTTCTAAAATCGTCCGCTGAGTGGGCAGTCGTCTCTACTGAACCCAAAGACTGGCGTCCAAAAGTCCAAAGAGAGTCAAGCTACCTCTCTGCTCAAATTCACGGAGGAAGGAGTGAAGGAACCAACCAACCAAAGAAGTTAACCAGTACATGACCGATGAGAAGCAATAGTGACCTGAAAAAAACCTAGCACAGTCGGTCAGAACCCATGCGAGAATTCATCTTCTCAAAGAGAGATGGTAGCAGAAGAATCCCCTCCAGCCTTTGCAAGATCGTTGATGAAGCTCGTGGACATCCGATTCCCCTTTGCAAAATAAATCTGATCCCACAACTATTTGCCACCGACATGATGCAGTCATGACATCAGTTGCAATCCTGGGGTTTTCTCTGGTTGGCTATGGTTCAACGGTTCAACATGGTTCAACCATGTGTGCTTAAGCAAGAAATCCGCCAGTCCTCGATGCGAATCCAGTAGGGGAAATTCGGCCGATGTCTCAAGCTTTTCACCTGTCATCTGATACAAGTTCAATCAATTTCATCTCAAATCCGCCTATGAGCTGTGGATGTCAATGGGCAAAGGATGACTAAGGTTCTGTGCCTCCAAGACTGTGATCAAGGCCTGAAGCAGGAGCGATGCGCGGTGCAAAGTGGTGCGCAACGTGATGGAAAAGTCGCCTCCAACGAACCCGTAGTGAGGTCGTTGTGGGACAGGTGAATCTCTTGCGGGATCTTGGAGGCTTCCTGTGAAATCAGAATCGGAATCCGAGAGAATTTCATATCACCAAATTTGTGATTGGCTCTGAAAAGCTCCTTCACAGCATCAGATCACATTTCAGAGTTTGACAGTTTGACATTCCTTAATGGCACTCGCACACGAGTTTCTGAGGGGGAGGCTGTGCACGCCAACCACTCACAAAGGCTGAGAACTGACGGATCTTTAGCACCACATCTGAAAGCCTCATTTGTCACATGTTGCAGTGAGACTTGGGCAGCTAATGGCAGCCAGCAACCCACCTTGATTCTTTGCGAGCTTGCCCCAGCCATCTGCAAGATCTTAAAGAGCTGTGACAAGTGACCCTGGCGGCGACAATCCTGACATCTCCTGACCATGTTTCGTCACTGTCCAGCTATGTCCAGCGATATATTTCTCCTCTTTTCAATGGCCTCTTCCCAATTCACGCTGGAGACATCGATGTTCTCAAATCGCACAGCCCCAAACTCATACCTATCAGATCTATCAGATCTATCACTCAAAGCACTCACCAAATGGCTTGGAAAGAGATCTGCCGGTCCCCTGTTTTACAAGCCACACCTCAGCCATGAACACAAACAGGCTTGTTCCCAAAAGAAAGAAACGAAAACCCCTTTGTTACTGTCACTTCTGTTGTCCCCGTCCCCACAAAGGATTCAGCTTCGGTCGATAGATAGAACTAGATAGAACTAGATAGAACTAGATATGATTAGATATGTTTCATCATTAGATTGGACTCGTTGTAAGAGAAACATGCAGAAAGGCATAATCACTGTTTTCTTCCACAAACCGCAAACCTCATCACACGTCCGTCCAGACTCCATTATTGTGATGGATTCTGACAGTGCCTTATTACTAAGTAACAATGGGTCGCTGTGCTTGGAGGATATCAGATATATCTCACAAGTACAAGTTGACTAAGCTCGGATAAAGACTTAAGATCTAAACCCAACCACATCCTAGGGGTGTGAGCCACAGTAGGATGAGGGCAGAAGGGGTAATAGATGCAAAGCCTCACAAAGACCTTCTGCCCATCACCCTGCAGAAGGGATCAAGGTGGTAGAGGGTGGGGAAAGAAAACAGATAAATGAGCTTGTGCCAAAATTGGCAACAATATCATTTATCTTAAACCCTGACATGTTTCAAACAACAGTGAGACCCTTCTCAACCAACCTGCAACACTGTAAAGTCAGATTCACCAGGATCGGGGGGTTGATGGTTTTGGGTCGGAGACCTCTGCAGCTCTTCTTTCAGCTTGCTGCAAAAGGTTTCAGCATGTGCTGGCGACTCGTGGAACACCGCCACCTGCGCGTTGCGCAGAGCTGGGACCTATAGGACCGTTGCGTTGCAACCCTTGTGCTCCAAGGCACCCCGCGATTTGGCAGCTGCCAAATTCCAGTCCTTGAAGCCAAACATGCCAAACCCATCTAAAAGCTCCAAACGACCAGAACTGAACATATTTGGAAAACAATCTGAAGCAATCTGGAAAAAAATGAAGCAAAACTGAAGTTTACTGAGATGGTGTCCTCTGAGCGAGCTGTTCCCAGTTGCCACTGCTTCCAGTGGAGCCGGCCGCTCCACATCCGGCTGCACAGCCTCCGGAGGCAGAACCTCCGGAACCTCCGGCAGCAGGAACGCCGGTGCTCCCCAGCATCCCACGCGCAGGACGCAAACCTCAGTGGAGGTTTGAGTATAAGTTCTCTGTGAGCTTCCAAAGTGCTATAGTAGATAGCCAATATATGCTATATAATATGATGTCAATATAAAAATGATAAAGCTGGAATGTGCGATTCCAAGTTGGAAATCGATTGGGTGAGGACCATCCCTAAAGCTTTTGACTTGTGCAGGAAACACCTGATACATGGTACCTGGAGCTGTCATCTTCAACTTCCTACAGTACCAACATGCATCTCCATCTCAGTCGCAGACCTGAGCTTCGAATCAGAATGCATATGGCTAGGCAGTCAACAATCTACCCTGCAGGGTGCAGACATGCACGTACTGTTTTAGGATGAGGCTTCAGCGTTCTGTGGTAGCTGTCTGCTGCATGTATAGCAGGTTTGATGTTGTTGTTTGATTTGCTTGAAAGGCTTCTCGACGGCAAGGCTGAAAATCATGCTTTGCTTTGGAGATGGTGTGATAGATGATGCGCGGCTTAGTCGGCTGCGACTCATTTGCGTCGCAAGGTGCAGAGCACAGGTCATCACAGGTCAGTGCAGGATTTCTTCCACATGAAATTTCCGGCATGGTAACTAGTGATGATGATCCAGCGATCGAGACCATTTCTGTCACTGTGAAGTCAACCGTCGTGGGGCACGCCCGTTCAGAATCGCCGTGTCTTTCGCTGGGCCTCGAGGGCATCCCCCTGAAAGTGACCCTGCCCCGTGTCAACCACAAATGCGAAAGTTCTTAGGGAACGGTCGAATCGTATTTTCTAGTTGCGTAAACATATCATATAATAATTAAATTATGTATATGCATTTATACATATACATATACATATAATTACATATATATTTGTAGTGCTAATACGAAGTATTATTGGAACTAGTATAGTATCGTATGGATTATTGCCATTATTATTGCATATCAGGTAAAGTTAAAAATGCAAGCCACATGATGTGAATCACGTTCTGGGATGCTGACCGTCTCCGGCATAGCTGCGGTATTTCCGCTTTCTGGAGCACTCTTGGGAGCAGGTGCCACAGAAACCTGTCACTAGGGGAGCCTGGGTTGAATCGGTAAGGGACACCATGTGCAAGAAAAAAGACTTTGTGGATATGTTTGCTGTATGTTTGGAGCATACAAACCAATTGATGTCCACACAACAGTCACAGCATGCCTCTTCTCATGTATAGATACATATATACATATATTATATATATATGTTATCCACGTGTGCCTCTTTATACCGCCTTCATACATCTCCCCATCAAGCCTTCCAGTGCGATGCAATGCTGCAACTGTTGCCCCGCCTCAGTTGCCCTGGACGACTTCTTGACAGGTTCACAGTCAGAAGCCCAGTAAGCCTGTTGGATCAAGGCTCAAACACTGGCATAGAGGCTGAAATGCGTAGAATCAGGAACAAACTGAACAAACAGCCAATTTCACTTGTACACTTCCAGAATCATGATCTTCCAAAATCTTCCACGATCTTCCGTGTCGAATTTTCCATGTTGACCATATCCATGGCAATGACAAAATTCGGCTCAAGTGATTCCTCAATGTCTTCAGGCATCCAGTGAACTTTGTACATCTCCTGTAACCTTGGCTCCCAAAGCACCGTGATCGATTTGGAACAATCCCAAAGCCAGGCCATGCCAGGCCATGTAAGATTCGAAGGGCTATCATGCATAGCTACAACCGGAGCGTTCCATGAAAAGATCCTTCACTTTTACTTTCTCCGTGACACGAAGACTGACACAAACTGAGCTACAAACTGCTGAAACGTAACTTCCTGCAAAATGCTGAAGGAGCAAAGCTCGGAGCAAATGGATGAAAAACAGCCGTCAAAAGATCTTCATCAAGATTCGATTGGGAGAACAAAATATAACAAGACATAACAAGACCATGGGATACAATGGGAGATCAAAACCTGGCGAAACAACAAACGTTCAATCTCCACGTGGCTAGCCTTTCCGCTCTCTGGATCAAGCCGAACTTCTTCACCCTGGCACTCAGTGCATAACAGCAGATGTTTGGAATGACCTGGCTACCCTGTCACCACGAGGCTACAAAAATGGATGAAGATGTTGCAGCAGAGTAAAGTCAACAAACCAACCCCGGCTAAAAGGTCTAGGTGAGCTCAAAGCCCACCTCACCGTCACCAGATTCAGCTGGAGCCATGGCCTCTCTGTTTCCATCATCCAACTATATCCAACTCATTCAACGGATGAATTTCAAAGACATGGTGCACCTCCACAGGATCCTTGGCTGGTGCTGGTGCTGGTGCTGCCGCTGCAGGCGCTGCGAAAGCGGCTTTTGGCACGTTCCGTGGCCGGGCCTACGCAGGGAAGGGACCACGTGAGACCACCTTCGGCCCTTCGGCACCCGTAGAGATCTTGGGTGTGGAGTATGATTAGTATGCCATATGAGATATTGCCTGGAACATTGATGAACATTGATGAACATTGGAATATGATGGAATATGGCTAGACACACCATGCATCGACTAAGAAATTCCAGAGAAAGCCTTGCCTCTGTCATTTCAGGAGGACGCTGCGCGTTCAGAATCGCTGTGGCGTCCGCCCTGAAGGTGCAATGTAAACAGTATCAAAGTTAGCTACTTGACAAGATGGAAGCACAAAACCTTGACAGCAAATGAGCTTTCAAAGTCCAGGTGAATTCGGCTGTCACAAAGGCTTTGGACACTCTTTGGACAATGATGTGCTTTATGGAATGTGCATTTCTCTAAGCAACTCGGACTCTGGGGTAGAAACGCTTCAGGCAAAGGACACTTGTCTGGATGTGCCTCAGCTGCCATAAACGTGTATATATGTATATATAGTTTTATGATGTTTTATGATCAGTCCACTCAAACCAGCAAAGCAAAAGGTGCAAAAGCGACAGACCTCTGCAGAAGCTCCTACTAGTAAGACCCTGGAAACTAAAACACCGGATTCAGAAACTAAGGACTCAGCCAGCAGGTAGATTCTCCGCGGGTCCAAAGGGAGCTCAGATCCTGAGGCAGTTCAAACAGGTGAAACTCAGCACAAGCGACTGCAGTGACTGCAAGCGTTGAACCATGGACATCCTCTAGCGCGTGCTTCAGCAATCTTGGTCCAAACCTGAGTTTTCCAGCCACCATGACGAGCTTGAAATTATGAGGCGGCCACAAGATCCTAGATGCCCCAACCAAAATGTATTGTCCAACCGTTCAACGATCAAGTGTTGATGTTGAAGCTGATATACCAATTGAGCAGTGTTCAAAACCCAATCCCCAATATATTTGGAAGTATAACAGTATAGCCCCCTATCATCAGCAACCAAAAAAGGGCTTATAAACACTAGCTCAATCTGATATTTGGAAGTTGAGGCGCAAACTGATGAGCTACCAAATCGGATGGCAATTCGGACCACCAAAGCTGCTTCATACCTAAGCGCACCAGAGATCCGCTGGAAGCCACGAAGCATGCTGCTTCAGCTGGGTAGGTCTAATCACTCAAATATCCCATGGCTGATGGTAATTTTAATATGTTTTAATCATGTTCCCCAATCGAATATGAAAATCACATGTGATGGGTATTGGTCATTCTCAGACTCAGTTTCACGGGCGCTTCCTAAAATGATCCATCAGCAGGTCTTGGGAAGCAGCTTTACGCGTTCATTGCTTTCGCTGTCTTGCCAAGCTTGGGCTTCACCTTCGTCGGGACAAATGTCTTGGTGTTGGCACAGTACACAGATTACTTTGCACAACAGATAATGTACAGCTGGCCACAGGATGCTTGAGAATGCTTGGGAATGCTTTCTGGCCAAGATAGATCAGAATACCCAAAACACAGCAATCCTACTGGCTCCAAGACAGCGTGTCACCAAACAGGATAGGTGTACATTCTGCCAAAGCTTGCTCATCAGCAACCTCCTGCCTGCCAAGTACAGAGTGCATCAAAAAGTTGTTGTAATCACGTCAGGGAAAAGGGAAGTCATGTTGGTATGATTCAGTCAGACATAAATCAGCTTGCGCCAGAGCTTACGCATGGTAGCAAAAGTGGCTTACGCCACCTAACGGAAATGATGGTTTTGCTTACGCAACCCAGTCATGTGACACAACTCTTCTTAAAGATTCTTAAAGTGTTTTCAGGATTAATTATTCAGGTGGGTTCTGACGATGCTCAGGAGCTCTGAGCGTCCAGCTGAGTGGCTTCCGAGCGTCTCTTGGCTCTGGCTGCCTGTCTCAATGCACCAGCCGAGTCAGCCGCGTCTCAATGTGGCAAAATCATGATCTGTATTGATTTATCATATGAATCAATGCCAGTGTGAAATGCGGACTGTGATGCTGAAAGAGTAGATCAATTCGAATCCTGTACCAGATAATCGTGACCATTTTAATTAAGCGTGGTTGTCTTTTGCTTGGTCATTTTGCCGTGATAGACCCTGCCTCCCTCTTTGCTTGCTTCTCCTTGTCAAACAGGCTGTACTACAACAGGCCTAGACTGTTGACTCTCCTCAACATATGTCAACATGTCGAAAGTGGAGGTCCTGCCACAGAGGTGATACTCACCCAGTCACAGGATCTACTACCATCACATTTCAACAACACCGTCGCGAAGGATGAGTTTCATACTGCTGGGTCTCTAAGGCACTACAGACTATCAAGAAACATACTTAATTGCAACTGTGGCAAAGTGAAATCGTCTGAGAATTCCACCTCTTCTTCCCGTTGTTTTCTTTCCTTCAGAGCATTGAGCCTCAAGGGTCACGGAAATTCCCTCCAGTCTGACAACTGCCCCGTCGTTTTATTGCTGTCAAGGTTGCCAAGTAGCCCAAGGTGCGACCGAACCGCAACATCCTGCGATGTACAGAATGAAACTGCGGTGAGTTAAAGATCCAATCAACTCCATGCAGAGTTGCCCTTTTCTTTGTTTCGAAAGAAAATGGTGAACCGTTTTATATGTTTCATTGTCGTCGGATGTCCTTTTGCTGATGTTTCCAGCCAAACTTTGGATCACTCCTGCACTGGCATGCTTGCCGGAGCAGATTCAGCGACGGAGCGACCTTGTCAGATCCCACGAGTGGTTTCCATGATGGCGAAGCTATGGATGTTCATCCCTCCAAAACGTGGCCATAGTGATATATGGTATCACAGGGGCATCATAATGATATATAGCGATATATCATACCTATAGTGATATCATCATGGTGATATATATATATATACATATACATAGCGACATATAGTGATAACATATATATATATATAATTATATATATATATATTATTTTGTTATTGTGTATATATATATATGCCTAAATATGGTGATATATTGTATCAATACTAAGATGGTCACATGATGGTATCACCATGGCATCCGCTGAGGCTCCAGCGCATGGCCTCCACATGGGCTCGTTGCGCATCACTGCCATGGAACCCGCCACGAACGCCCGGGGAAGCAACGTAGCCTCCAGGCAATGCGCTCAAAAACCATCAATTGCAGTGGTTCTCCTTAGAATCCACGGGAAACCATAGTTCATCATAGTTCCTTTCCATCTTAATTGAAAAAACAATCCGGATATACGATGATATATGGTTGGGAGGCAATATTTCCCCTTCATCCAAGTTTATTGGAGTTTGTTGGTGATTTTCAACATAACCTGAATCGATGGTTTGCTGCGAATTCCTCTGCCTCGGTGATGTTCAAGCGCCCGCGCCTGAAGACATTGTGCTGGAAGACCCACCACTGCGTCCTCCTGTTTTCAAGCAAGGTGGTTTAATATTTGGGGATGGATGGGTACCTTTATAATGTGTATATATATATAACATATCATCTTTCTGTGGGGGGATGAACATCCGTTTACGAACGATTTTGGTATTCACCAGGGTACCAACAAGAAAACCATATGGGTTTGTCTGAAAATGAGGTGCCCCTAAATCCATTGCTTTATCATGGTTTATTATCCTTTTCCCGGACACGGGGGGGGTATACCTCATGTCATTGTCAGACACGCCCATATATATATATACACATACATACATACATACATACGTACGTACGTACGTACGTACGTACGTACCTACGTACGTACATACGTACATACGTACATACGTACATACGTACATACGTACATACGTACATACGTACATACGTACATACGTACATACGTACATACGTACATACGTACTTGCATACATACAGACAGACATACATACATACATACCATTACATACATACCATTACATACATACCATTACATACATAGCATTACATACATACATACATACATAGCATTACATACATACCATTACATACATAGCATTACATACATACATACATACATAGCATTACATACATACATACATACATACCATTTCATACATACCATTACATACATACCATTACATACATACCATTACATACATACCATTACATACATACCATTACATACATACCGTTACATACATACCATTACATTACATTACATTGCATTACATTACATTACACCAGACTAAACTACATTACATTACATTACATTGCATTACAATACATACATACATACATACATTACATACTTACATACATGCATACATCAATACAATACAATACAATACAATTACATTATATTGCATTATATTACATTATATTACATTATATTACATACATACATACATACATACCTACCTACCTACCTACCTACCTACCTACCTACGTACGTACGTACGTACATACATACATACATACATACATACATACGTTACATACATACATACATACATACCATACCATACCATACCATTCCATTCCATTACATTACATTACATTACATACATACATACATTAATACATTACATTACATATATATACACATATATTCTATTATATTATATTATATATATATTATATTATATTATATTATATTATACTATAGAAATATTATATTATATTAGGTTATTTTATATTGTATTATATTATATTATATTATAATATATTATAATATATTATATTATATTATATTATATATACATTATATTATATATTATATTATATCATATTATATTATATTATATTGTATTATATTATATTATATATATGTGTATATATATTGTACATACATAAATATATATATATTACATATACATTACATATATATATAATGTATATTATATATTATAGTAAAATACATATTTATATATTCACGTACATATATATATATATGTGCATGTGTTCTGCGAGTCTTTCTGGAGTCATGATACGAAACAAAAGGTTGGTTGCAGCAACAGTTCCTTCACACGCATCTTGACTTCCCAGCATGCCTGGTGCTTTGTGACTGTCATAGTAGCTGCCACCTGCACTGCCGCCATTGCCGCTTTGGGCATCGCCAGCGGTGGAATAATATCCTGGTGAAGACAGAGGAAGCAGCTTCAACAAGACAGGACAAGCGTAAAATTCCAATGCTTCTGCCTCCTCCACTTCCGCCTCCCCCTTTGCGTCCACCTTGCAATGTCTGTTTAGTGATGGTGATGCAATCGCAAGGTGCCAAACCAGAGAATCATAGTTACGTCATACCACCAGCTTCACCTGGGGTAAATGGCTATGGGTCGAACATGGGGAACCATCGTTTTCAGTATCAGACATCATTGAACCCTCAATTTTGGAATAAGTTTGGCCAATATAATTTGGATCACCCTTCATCAGTGGAGCAGTTCCAACCAGCTCACCGCAACCCGGTCATCGCCTGGCTGTACACTGGCTTTGGCTTCAGCGGAAGGCTCCGATGGCGCGGCACCCACCTTCTTCTGCAGCATTCGCAGCGACATGGCGCATGGATTTCGATGAAAACACCAGAAAGATGAAGAAAACATGAGAGTCTTATCTTATCTCCAACATTCTCCAACTAATGCTTTCCTCCCAAAGATGTGAGAAAAACACACTGACACCACAAAAGCCCTGTGCGTGTCACATCGAACAATTGTGTGGGATGTGGTTTGCAGGCTGCAACTCTGCAAACGTGAAGCGACACCTGGCTCGAGCCATGCTCGCTTGTTCTCTTATCTCCGCACAAATCTAGTGTAATGATGTTTAATGACTATATAAATATTACATAATATGACTAAATTCTACAGATGAAATGTTCCATGCCAGCTGGTGGAGTTCGGGATCTCATAACAGCAATTCTGACCATGTTATCGCTCGAATGATTATGATTATGCCATTCGATGCCAATCTCCGGACTGGCCGTTGTCGCTTGTCAACTTTGCTTCGCGCAAGTGTTCAACCGCATAACCTTTTCTGCAAGAAAGAGTGAGAGAGGGTTTGTAGCGGGCTTCGTCTTGCCCAGATCTTTGGCAGGGTTTTAAAGCAAAAGTCCGCAGGAAACGCCCTGAAAGCGGACCATTACTCCTGCTGTGAACGCCCAGCAGTCTGCACAACTACTCCAAGGGCTATTTCTTGGGATAAAGGTCCTTGAGGTGGGCGCAATTCGTCATGTTGGGATCAACAAATATCACCAACAACTCTGACCTCTGACTTGCACAAGTGAAAAGCCGGAGTTGAAGTTTCTCATCAAAACAAAACTTGGTTTCACATGGTTTCACAATGCACACTGACTGTTTCACCCCTCGTAGTGCTATCAAAGCCAGCCTATTGCTTTTGCTTTGGCACATGTATTAAGCGCGTCCCCATCTTTCTGCAGGGAGCATCTTCTGGGTGCTTGACTCACTCGAAAATTGCCTGCGGCGAGTGCAGTGCCGCAGACGTCTTGTTGAAGCATGGTAATTTTCTAGTCGGAAGATTTGAAACAAAGAGAGCCAACTGTCCGAGCATACTATTGGTGCCACTCTTGCGGTCTGCCCTAGAATTGTCTCTTGAGATGTGCAGACTCTTTTCAGTGCCTCAAATCCCTCACGGAGGAACTTCTGATCCAAAGACTAGCGGCAAATCGGCGGTGGGCACATCGCAGGGTCTGTAAATGGGCTTGGGACAGGACATATCTCTATCGGTCACACAGTAGATTTTGCAGGATATTGAGCATATTGAGCCCAGTCATGAAAACCTCCGACAAGAATTGAGTGAGCTGAAGTACGCCGAAACAAGCTCAATTATCTCAATTCTTACTACTTACATATCCTCACTGAATCCTTATGAAGAAGAACTCAAAATCTCACTTGCAGAACTGGTCAACTCAGCAGTGCCTTCCCAATAAACACGATCTTGGACACCTTGAGGCGGTCCATGGAGTTCGCTGGTACCCCCACAGCTGTCGTGTCTGATGTCAGTGGGAAGATCTTCATGTTGTCAACCTTTCCTACCGATGTTTGGAACCTGTCTGCCAACTCGAGCACCAGAAGTGACTTGGGCATAGCTCGCAGTCAGATATTCCGAACATTGGAGGGTTTAATGCTAGCGATGACTATCCAGTTGGTGAAACATTGTGAAACATCTCTTCCCAGCTCAAATTCTTCAAATTCTCCTGCCTTCTTCTCACCTTCCTTCCATGGACCTGCATCATCTTCGTCGCTAATGTCCATCACCTGGCAGCATCACCAAGGGAATTTCCTGCACAACTCGTAACTTTGCCCGCATGGCTGCTTCGTTAAATGCCTTGAAATGGCTTGAACGAAGTCAAAATCGAAAAGGTCAGCCAGGGGCCGGCTAACGTCAACTGTTTACTTCCGTTGAGAACTTTCGGCCAGGAATGCGGCAAGAGCAATGCTCACATTAAGTTGAAATGTGAACGGGTTGACATTGTGGAAGACAAGCGAAAACCCCCATCTCCCAACGGGGTATACCGTAGAGATACTTATCAGATACTTGTGGTCATTTGTTGTTTATTTAATTCAATTAATTGCTGCCTTCACGGCTGGCAACTGGGCCCCTTCGCCAAAATTCAAACATGTCTGGAGGACTGCATGGAAGACATGCTTGTATGGATGTCCCTTGACCGCCAAGATTGCCTGAGTCAATGGCTGCAATGGCTGCGATGGCTGCAATGGCTGCGATGGCTGCAGAAATTCTGCACCAGCCTTGATGCGGAAAATGGTGCCACATTCAGGAGGTAGCTGTCCTGGAGGCCCCGCATGACTGGAAAGATTGTCCAACAATAGGGTACCCCCAAGAATCCAATGATATAATATGGGAATGATGGCTATCCCATTAAAATCCGCCCGCACCGAAGGTGCTGGGGCGTGATCTTCCGGATGGCACTCGTAAAAGGTTACAGGTTTACCTGGGGGGGGGTCCCATTTTTCGGCCAAAACCTCCTGTTTTTGATAGGTCGTGACGCTCGCCTTCAAAAAACACTGTAAAAAACAGTACGGAAGACACCTGTTCGTGAACGCGCCCGTCCAAAATCGGCAAGCGAAAAGTGAAAAAAACCCGTGTTTTTCAACTTTTTGACCTCAATTTTTTGGTTTGCAACATCTTTTTTTGCGGTTCCGCAGGTGGCCGGGCCCGGAGGCGGATTTTTGAGTTTTTGGACCCGTTTTCGGACTGATTTTCGTCGTTTTGTGATAGCAGAAACACTGGTTTTTACAGTGTTTTTCTGTTTTCTGCATGCTTGACGGCTAGCTTCAAAACTTCCAAAAACCTCGTAAATTACGCTGTTTTATGTTACGGTGTGAATGAAAACATCGTAAATACCAGTGTTTTTTGACGTTGGTTAAAAAAACACTGTAAATTACAGTGTTTTTGGCCACCTGACCCTCAAAAACCATGGTATTTGCAGTGGTTTCTGCTTCTCACCGCGCAAAAACACTGTAAATAACAGCAATTTCGCCGTTTTTTCATGTTTTTCGTTATTTTTGAACTGCGTTGGTCCGCTATACATGGCTATCAAATTCTTCGCGTTTTTTTTCCGACAATCAGTACTTTCGGATGTTTTTGGTCTCAATGGCCGACATCATTGGCAGTTACGAGCGGCTGCCCAACGATGCGGTGCGGGCGGTTGCCGTCGCGAAGCGACGTGAATATATTGAAATCATTTTACCCATCATTGCCATCATTTTAGCCATTGAAATATTTTGAAATGGCTATCCCATGGCTATCCCATGGTATGGGATGACAAACACCCGTAGCTCACGTCACTCTGTGCCTAATGACTGCATCCACGCACTCAGTCGTCGCGGCACAATCTCGCCCTGCAAGTTGCTGGGGAGGTACTTCAATTTATGGAAAATGCTGATAAGATGTGATGAGCCATTGTAAACTATTGCATGTGGGGGTACCCAATTTTGGACGAACCCACTTCCAATCACTGGGATCAAATAAAATCTTGATGGCCTCAATCGTTCTGCTTTGCAGGTCTATGAATCAATGAAATGCAAGCTGCCAGATGCAAACATCTTTTGCACAAACAGCTAAATCCAATCAATCTCAGGACAGTGTCTCACAGCACCCCATGGAGACGTTTGGAGGCAACTGTGCTGATTCAGCCACCCTTTGGTGGGTATGGGAATAGCCACCAATGCCCAATCTTTGAGGCAAAGAATTGACGCAACGGCTACAGGCGGTCTCTGTTGCTCAGTAACTCAATGAAGTGGCGACCCTGTGGCAAATGGCACACTGCGATCACAGACACGGAAGCCTGCTTCATCGATTAACTATAGCAGCTACACAAAATGGATACGGCTTTCTGCCCTCAGCTTGCCTGACTCAAATAGCTCCAAGCTCTGCGAAACTCCTCAAACTGTCTCCGACCTACCAGTTTGTAAGTATTTACCTTATGAGACTTGATGAAAGACGAGGCAACTGTCCTTGCGGATGGAGTTGTGTTGAGACACGTCCACATTTGCCACGTCTTTTCCAACCTCATCCCGAGACAGAGTGCCACATACATCCGTCGCCATTTTGGTCAAGTCGGGAGGCCTCGAAAGGGTTGTCCACCACAAGGAAGCACTTTGACCTAAGAACTCGAAGATCAGCTATTGGTGTTATATGATATCATGTGATGTTATTATGATGTTATATGATGTTATATGTGTTATCATTCAGAGCATTCCGCAAATCCATGGCACGCAAGAGAAGTCATTTCTAGCCACCGACTTAAGTATCGCATAGTAATGCGAGTCAGGATCTGTTACAAGCTCTCATTGATGGATACACCGAAGTCTGGGTCCAAAGCTCATCCCCTGGTGGCAGTACTGATCGAGTATCTCGAATGCGGATGATGCCGCTCCTGTATACTTGGCATGCTTGGTTTGACTGAGAAAATTCAACCAGCAGATCTGCATGCCTGTACTCATGACCAAAGTAGCGGAAGAACTCAAGGAGCAGGGTGCCCACATCTTCCTACGGCATGATAGACGCAAAACTAAGAACCTAAGAATCGGCAATCCAGCCCATTCAACCTCAAGTGGAACATCCAGCTGTAAAACCAGTCCTGGTTCAGTTCTCGCGAACCCCTCAAGTACGCCATCTCCTTTTCGATCTTTGCTGGATCTGTGCAGAACCGGCAATCCACGCCGTTGACGTATCTTGCCTTTTCGTTCTGGCTGAATGCGATGTCCTGCGGCAGAACAACGTTCACATGGCCGATGCCAGAGGTGACAGCCCGGCACCTGCAAGGATGGCAAAATCGGTGGATCACGACGTTGTAGGAAGTGTATCAGCATAAGCACCTGAGTGTGAAGAGGAGAAAGTCCCAACTTGCACAATTTACCAAGGAATTTCCGGAGCTACTGCAGTGAATCTTCATACTTCACAGTGGCACTGCCTTCTCTTGCAACAAGAATCAAACACACTCCTAGGAAATCGTATGCAGAGACCGCGACAAATATTTGGGATTAAGCAACCAACCAAGGAGAAAGAAGATAAAGTTCCCCGACCTAAAGCAGCGATAGACTCAATATCTCATCTCATTATCTTGCATCTCATAGAGCTGATATCCCAAAAATATGAAAGTACTTCAAGTACAGTGTAGAGGACGCACATTGAGGTGTCAGCAGCGATTTCAACCAAATTACAAGAGATACTTTCAGAATCACATTCAGCTTCATCATCAGCATAGTCAGCATAAGGATCAACTATTTCCCGGATGGTTTATTATGGGTTTTGCATGGCTTTGCCACAGAGTTGTCAGCATCGCTCAAAACAAAGTGAGTTTCAGGCTCCGATCATTGATGCTTCTTGCAGCTGCCCAGGCCTTGCTGACAATGATTTTTGGAGTCCGCGAAATTAATTTCTCTGGTCTTAAACGAACCAAAACTAAAGCTTATTGTATCATATGGAATCGTGTTTTTTCTATGTGATTCTATGTTTTTCTATGCATTTCTATGCATTTCTATGCATTTCTATGTTTGTGGTATGTTCAAACCAAAACCAAAACTTAAGTCCCTAGTGGTTCTGTTTACCTTCACGCCTTCACGCAAAGTCCAAGCGTTCGAAGTCGGTCATCCACACGGACATAGCGTCCCACCAACCTAGAACAACTGCAAGGGATCCATTAGTGTCATTAGTGACGAACCATCCATTCATGGTCAGCCATTATATTGTTTCAATCCATTCAATCCAATCAATCCAGAGTCAGAAAATACTCAGAAAATAATGACTTACAATACTCAGACTCAAAGACTCGGCCTTGAGTTCACCACTGCCAGGATATTGTTGATGCTGATGTCGCAGGACACCATCCCAGGCCTTGGGCGCTGGTGACTGGCCCATGCGTGCCATGACCCGGCCCTTGGGGCGCCTCAGTGGAGCCCAGTGGAGGATGGGCACCTCAGAACATGACATGTCTTGACATGTCTCATCACATTGGATCTTGAAATTTGAGAAGACAAGACAAGTCTGAAAAAGTCGGAAAAAGTCTGGAAAAGTCCGAAGTCACGACCCTGGATTCTCTCACATCCCTGCCTGCGCCCCGAAGCGAGCTTCAACATGATGTGTTTCTGCCTGCCCAAAATGCAAAAGAAAGAGTTACAAAGCTTCATCGATGTATGACAAAGGCCCCAGCTGAAGTCTTTCCATCTCAACAAAAAATGAACTGCTGCCCTGAGCCCTGCATGTCCAGTGGTCCAGTCCATTGCTGTTGTATTACTGAACCTTGATCAACTCGGCAGAAATCTGTCGCAGGACCTGGTGCTTGCAGGCTATCTTGCTGAAAATCGGTGTTTTCTTCCATGTTTTCTACGTGTCATTCTTTTCCCACAACATGCATCTGGCCTGTATCTGCGCATTTCTCGTAGTGGCTCCTCACTCTCAACATATTTGCGCCCTGAATTCTGCATGAAAATATGAAAACACAAAGTGACAGTCCTGGTACACGGACCTGAGAGGGGAAATTCTGCACAGGAACATCGGCACATCTCAGCATTTGGAGCGAAGTGAGCTGCAGCCAAGGCTCACAAACATCCACATCACTTGTAGGTGTCCAAAAGCCTTGGAAGCTCTGCGTCTCACCGGGCAATGCAACACCTGAAAGCACCGAAAACGACAACGCCTTGGGAGTCGTACCATTGACCACTGAGCCAAATGGAGCAACTTCTGCTCCATCCTGGGCACAGCTGCAATAGCCCCATTGACGCTGCAAACTCAAAGAACTCAAACTCTGGGGCCCTAGCAATGATTTCGGACAAGTGCTCCCGCAGCCTGCGGCGTTCCAGCGATCTGACAGCACCTTCCTTCCACACACTTAAAATATCTGAAAATCTAGTCTAATTCAACAATATTCAACATATCAAACAGGCAGTTTTGAGCACATGAGTGCGATGACCAAAGACGTAGCATCTCTAACCAAAGACATACAGTAGATTCGTTGCAGGTATTGTTGCACACCTTTGAAGGAAGTCATCTTTCTGGAGAACATGCTTCGTGCTTGGCTGCTGTTCAGCTGCGTACTGCAGTATCTCCTGGTTCTCCAAGGGAGGGGAAGCTTGTTGGATATTCCCAGAAAATGCGGAAAAAATGATGGGGATGTTAATATAAACCAAAGTAATGCTGATCTTGTACGCACTTCATCTCCGAAAATATTCAAAATCATGGCAGAATCTGTCCTGACTAAGTTTCAGCGTTGCCTCTTTGGACAGGCTGCCTCTTTGGCTGTGGCCTTGTCGCCGCCTTGCGAATTGCAAATTCAAACATCAGTATCTTGCGACTTCACAAATAGGGTATCAAGACCTTGCCCTGATGAATAGCCCAAGGTTGATTCAGTAGGCCAATTGTTAGGTTTTCAGTTCTGATCCAAACACTTTCCGGATCTTTCCGGCACATATCAATCTCAAGATTTCAGCCAGCCATCGCATAGTTCCCTGCAGCCTCCACCATGCCGCTAGTGAGGTGCTCTCTGGACTCGCTGTCCGAGTCACCTGCGAATACTCCAAGGAAAATGAGTTTACTTACGCCTAACGTGTGACTTAAACTTATATATTTACTTTAATAGAATATAATATAATATAATATAATATGATATAATATTATATGATATTATATAATATTATATAATATATATATATACATTATAAACATCTGAAGCGCCTGTGCCAAGTTGCCACCTCGGCACACAAGCAACATTTTGGTGGGAAACCATTGGAAAGTCTCACCACAGGGAGGTCCCTGAATGATCTCCAAAGATGTCGAAATATCGTCAAGTAATGTCAAGTAAGCCTGATATTCTAAATGATCAAATCAAATCAGTCATCAGCGAAGCTGAGGGAACGGCGTGATAAATCAGATGGGACAGAGGCAAAAAAATGAATGCCCCATCTGGCAATTGCTGCTTTCAGTAGCGATCAGCAATCATCTCATGGATCTCATTTTTCGTATGGATTCTTATGGCATCTCTTGTCTCATCTCTACTGTAGCTCCGCCTCCGTATTGCAGAGGACAAAGGCCATCGACATGTAGCCATGTCATGATTCTGATCAATGACTCTGGGCCAAGCGTGCGGGTGAAGTAAACATCTCTCCCTCTCCATCTGTGCGCATATAGCTGGATGCATGTTATGTCAGGGTACCCTATTATTTCATATCACTGGGGAATGATGATTGATGTGTCTCTGTACTTCCGTGTCGGGCACATAAGAGCTCCTGGTCAAGTCGTCAGCTCCAGTAAAACTTGTAACATCTCTGCATTCTTGCCTTGTTCTGACAAAGTCACTCATGATCAGCGCGCAGGAAATGGCTGCAACATTCAGTTTAAGTCAGGCAGCTACACTCAGAAGACTCAAGACCACCTGGTAAAGGTGGAGTTTCTTCAAGATTCTGTGAGGCTAAGGAAAGAGAGATGGATATGCGGATATACGCAATCCCTTACAGAACTGGATAACATGCAGCCCCATGCTCCAGGAACTGCATCTGCCCACATGTCGCTAGGTGAATGCCTCGGCTACTGTTTCACATAACAGCAGCTTTCGGCCTCTCGGACGACGGAGAAGGAATTCACCCGGCCGTCGTGTCTACTTGCAGCCTTGCCTGGCAGGACATCCATGTGGACCGAGCGGATTTCATATTTCCAATTTTTGTTGAAACTCCGTGCCCCACACATAATCCCAGCTGCCTGTGCGACAAGGTGTACAATCAAAAATACGTGGTACTGTAAGTACTGTGCCATCTTCTTAAGAAAATCAACGTATCACAGCTCATCAACTTTTCCTAACACCCAAAAACATCAAAATCCATGGCAAGTGCCTGGCCATGGCTCCAAACCGGTACAAAAAGGGGAATCCCGGGCCAACCGTCAATGGTGGTTGTATATCCTCGTAGTGCTAGTCCACTATCATCATTCTCCCCTCATCCCATTTTATCTCAATATAACCCGTTGTAGATGTTCTTATCTCATATTTTTCCATGCATCACATTGTACCCATCTTCTCCGGAAAGAAAAATACATCCCATTGCAACCAATTTGTTCGCCATATTGACCCTCCAACTATCACCGGTTATCATACCCACAATAACCATTAAGAAGCAATGCCACATAATTGATATCCATAACGATTACATGTCCATATCAGTTATCCATAAAACCCTTGATATCCAGATCATCCGTTGTCATATTTAGGAAAAAAAACATATGTGCCCCATGAATGGCCAAAATCATAACTTAAATGTGTATGTATGTTATGCATGTATACATGGTTGCATACATATCTATACATGATATCTGCTCGAATGTGCGGTATACATCCCTTATTTTATCGTAGTTCTTCTTATTGTATCTTGTTTCCCTTATAGTTTCCCCTATGAATCATGGTCAAAATATGGTACATGAACAATTTCGGAAATTTATCTTCACGGGAAGGACATCAAGAAGCTTGGGAAGGTACCGTCGTTTACAACAGATTTGTACAGAAATGATTCATGGCAAATGTTGTGTGTGTGCATTGGTATGACATAACCTTCAAAGGGGGTGTCGCTATCTGGGAAGATCCCATCGCTTACCTCATGTGTGTACAATTTCTGAAAACCAATGTCCGCTCCTTACATTTTTCCTACTGCCAGAATTTTTGCGATGGATAAAAAATGCAATTTGATGTGGAATTCGAGGGGAGATTTGATGGAATGTCATCGGAACCCCATCCTTGGTAGTTTAAGTTGATCTCTGCAGAAAGTGCTGTACAACAATCGGGCTGGTTGAAAATCCCCAATATATTGGATCGTCCAACCTCACACAAAATCAACCAACAGGGATCTTGACCATGGCACATGTTACCCTCTGGTCATTTAATTAATATAGCTATGGACAATCACCATTGTAGGTAAATCATCGAACCTTTTATGGGCCACTGGGCCACTGGGCCACTGGGCCACTTTCCATAGCTATGACAATGATCAACGGTTGTGGTTTCCCATGGTTTTCTGGTGAAAATGGTGGCTTTTCCACCAGTCACCTGCCACCCATCCCCCCACCGGGCCCCACCTCCATGGCCATGTCCTTCACCATGTGCCGTGCCATGTGCCGTGCCATGGCCATCGCCTGCGGCGTATCCGCCGTGGCCGCCGTGGTCGCCATGGCCACCATGGCCGCCATGGCCATGGTCCTGTCCACGAAGGATGGAAAATATCGATGGAAAATGATGGAAAAATACGGAACATAATGTGTATATATATATATATATGTGTGTGTGTATGTGTGTATCATATATATATATATATATATTAATCACAAAGAGAAATACTATGAGATTTCAAATGCTTTGGAAAACTTTGTTTGAAAGAATGACGGTAAAAGAGATCTGAAAAGAATTCCCAAGCGGTTTTACTTGGTGAGAGTGGCACAACTCAATAGTCGTCTCAAAGCGAACTGCAGTTCCGAAGCAATACATCCGCCGTGATCCATACTGCCTCAAACGGTTTGGAACTACCAATACATACGACATCTCAAGCCTCTGTGCAGTTCTCATCATGACCACCGTGTTCATGGCCACCATGTCCCTGCATCCAGAAAATGTCGCAAGGTAGCCCTGAATCCAATGGTTTATCAGTTTATCATCATGTTCCCGCATGTGGGGGTATCCCCATTTTGCAACACACCCAAATATCATTGAATATTGTTGGTTAGTTTCCATTATATATATATATAATTTTATATATATATATCCCATTGTCCCATTGAACTACCATTTCTTAAAGGTTAAAGTCCCTCCACACTGCTGTGATGTCGGCCTCATGTCCACCATGGCCACCGCCGCCATGTTCACCTAGCAATCATGGATTTAACAAGATCAGCAAGAAAGCACTCACTAGAAGTTCCTAAAGTGGTGGTCCCCAAAAATGTTCCAAACTATACCATTTTTGGTATTGAAACCCATGGTTTTGGGGATCCCCTGTTTTTAAGAACCTCAAATTATTGCCAGCTCCTCCTCCAAGAAACAGGACAAGTGGTGGATGAGACTTTACAAAAGAGACGCATCACTGCAATTGGACTGGCAAGGCAAGGCTCAGGCCATGTGCGAGTTCGGGTGCCACCTTTGAAGCAGCATTGCAACATCTACCCTGTCAAAAATGTTAGAATACAGCTGCCGTCAGGTGCCATCAGGTGCCAAGTTATCCAATTTTGGGTATGAACAAAATCATAGCCTCGGCATCTTTCTCAATGTCTTCATTGACAAAGTTGCAAATGTCCTGAGCCATAGAAGGCAGCTTGGCGAACTGCAAGGGTAAAAACGAAACGATTCCCACAGTTTCCCGTAGCGAAATTTGTCACAGTTGATTGCAAGCATCATGAGCTCGGATGTTGCAGAGCTCCGTCATCTGGCGGGGAACAGCTAGAATCATGCAGTGCCACAGGAAACGCCATTGCCATTGGAGGCCTTCACTTTGCCCTTCACAGCCGGCACAATTTTGGCATACTTGTTGATGTCTCTGATTCTATCCTGAAGCGGAGCATCCAAAGTTGGCCAAAACAATAGGACACAATGGTCATAATTGTGATATATTTATAATCACAATCTATTACAATCACATTTATCGAGATAAGAAGAAGAAGTGGCCTTAACTTTGATAGCTTCTTCTGAGCCGACCAGATCCAGCTTGTTGAGGATGATCTGGGCAGCCAAGTTCAGATGTCTTGCAAAGCCAAACCTTCGTTTGACTGAAGTCATTTCTCCGGTCTAAACTCTTAGGGTCCTTGTCTGCGAAGGCAACTTGTTGGTAAGCTTCATTTACCTCACGCTGATGCAAACAGCATGGGCAGCATGGGCCTTTGAGGAAGCTACCACCCAGCCTTGCCCTCCTCGACGGTATCATCCAATCTTTTAGGCAAGTTCTTGCAGTCTGCTACTGTGATCACCTGCAGTTCATGGGGCGGCATGAGCAAGACAAGGAATTTGATGGAAGTTGTGGCTGGGGTTCCCACAGCATCGAGTCTCAAGTCTTGCCTGCAACAGCATCAATAGCTTTCACTGTAGCCTAGCAGTGTATACACCAAAGCTGCAACGATTCTCATTGTATCAAAACGTCGACAGGAGCACGTGACTTCCGGGCTGGACATAAAGGTTCGCACGATGGGAACCGGGTCCGCCATCCCCTGGCAGCAACAAAAAGAAGTTGCAACAGCGGCACTAGTGGTTCGAAGGAACGTTCATGGGATTCAAGACTATAAAGACTATAAGGGCTTGGATGTCAACTTGGCTTTCCTTGATCTTTAAAAATGAAAAGACATCCGGATTTCATCAACTAGCCTTGTCCCCCCAAAAGCGCCATATAGAATTCCAGGCTATGAAACTGTTCAGCGGCTGATCTGTGCCGCAGCCAGGGACCGGATATCTGCAGCACGTGCAGGGACCACCGTGGTTTCAATCATCACCTGGTCGATTTCAGTGCCCTCCTTGATGGCATCCATGATCTCCTTCAACCTGCAATCAAACCATGCTGACCGAAGATTGCCTGTAGCAAATAGATACAACAAGCATCCAAAAGCATCAAAAAGACACAGAACCATCACTATTGTCACTGTTGAAGGCTCTGTATTTTTGCGAAGCATGGGGCGATGCTTGTTCCACTGCAAGCCACTGTGGATTCCTTTCGGACGTGTCCACTCGACTCACACGCGTGGAAGATGTCATGTGCAGAGCCTTTTTACTCGGACAAGAGGAAGTGCAAGTCAACCTCTTTATATATTTCAGGTCACATCCAGGGGAAAAGTATGAGGAAAACAAGGGAAACCAACAGTCAATGAGAAGTTTCGCCGGCCAATATTACAAGGAAATATACACTCGACTTCATCCTCAACTTGTCCGATCTCTCTGGTCATGAAAAGATAAAAGGGACTGGCTACTTGTATAGGGTCCTACTATCCATGGATTCCCCTTGTTCGGAGCAATCCAGGGAACTTTCACCACTCTGGCTTTGGCCAGGGGTCATGAAGCTTGGGGAAAGGCATGCACCCACTATTCCGTTAACTAGCTTTCGTTCTAAGACACACTGGGTGGCCAAACATTGCTGACCCTCAACACCATGAAACATGTATAAACACCATTCAAAAAAAATACAATGTCACCAACAAACTTTGAAGATCCCCATGCTGGAAAACTTTTCCGCACGCCCTGTCCAGCCGGCCAACTTCCCGAGAAGCTGACATGGACGAGCGTGGCTGTCAGGGCATAAAAGAAATGCTTTTAAAATCCCAATTCCGACCATTCGAGCAATTCACAAACTGGCCACAGCATGAACCGCAACTGAACCACAGAAATTTGGATAGCAGAAGTACAAATGAAGTGCAGTTCTCATACAAGGATCACCAGAATTACAACTGAAGGGTCCCATCTGCACGTGCCCAGTCTGCGAATCGCTTCAGCTTAGGAATGGTACCTCAACTCAGCTCACATTGGCAAAGGGTGGAAGACAAGAAATCACTTTCTGCGCAGTCCAAGACAAAACACAATTAATCAGGCACACTGTAAAAGCAATTCAGCCGTGACGGTTTCAATGAAACTCCCTCTTAGATTCCCTACTCCAAATCCACCTGCTTCAACAAACTAAGGTGAAAGTGACAGTGATTGCAGCGGCAATTGAAGCCCACTCGATTCACCTTACCAAGGATTCTGCTGTAGTGAGCTCGTTGTGCCGCTCTCTATCACCATCAGAGAGCTCCGAACGATTCACCTGAATGAAAGCGGCAAATTTGCGAAACGTGTTGACCAGCACAATACAATGCCCCTTGGCTTCTACGAAACATCACTGCACTGCTGACGTTTTTGAGATCTTTTGAGCAGTTATTTCCGGGAATCCGAAGGGTGCAACTGGTCCCGATCGGGTTGTCGGAGAAATAGTTAGGATGCACGCAAAACCGATGCGCGCAAACCGATGCACGCAAACATCTAGGAGGATCGAAGGAGAGCATCCGCAGGCACCCACAAAGGGTTAGAGAGAGAGAGAGAGGAGAGAGCTGCATTAAAAGGATTTGCGCAGAATAGATCTCCCCTCTGTACTAATCCTTTTAGGTCTAAAATGTGTTGTGACTTTCAGACACAAAAATTCAGGCCACGTCTGCACTGCACGCATTAGCCTATCCGGCACCCATAGCCCTCTCCAGCAACAAGTTCGAAGCGTATCTAAGCATGGCATTGTGCACAAACAAAGCACCCAGCCCCTCCAACCACTGTATCTTGAACCGCGGACAATACGACCACTTCCAAAGATGAGAACTCCATGTCGGACTGCCATGATGCTTGGACCATAAGATTGGTCATCCACGCATAAAAGAGTTGTGTGATGGTATTGACCCAGTGACTCTTCCCCACCTCAAAACTTTTGAGCACCTTCTTCACAGTCGCCTGTACAGTCAATTCGCAGCAGCACCAGTGGTTGTCACAGCAAAGTGTAGAATCTCCTCCCAACTATATTCTGTACTAGAGTCCTAGAGTATCAAAGTTCACGAATTCACGTAGCCTTCACATGTGCCTGAATGCCGTCCCCTCCAAATCAAATTTCCGGAGTGTCTTGAACATATTAAGAATGATTATAACATATTATCAACATGGAAGCCACTAAAAGTATTTCCTGTCTAGGTTGGGTTCTGTTGGTTTATTTCAAGTGTCTTGAATCCGTTGAATAGGCCACACTTCAACATGATATCCACATCAAGATTTCATTTAAACTATTCTGCAAGTGAAGAATGAGTCCACAGGAAGGCTCACAACAGCCTCCCTTCAATGAGAGCGCCTCCTCAAGTTCATTGAGAACGAGGTCCTTGGCCTTCCTTGCACCTGCCAGGCGGTTGCCCACGGACATTGGATGAAGATTGGATTATTGGATGTACAAAATTGCAGCATGCTGCAGCAATGCTGGGGCCCTGTGCTGATGAAGCTGAATTTGCGTTGCGTCACTTCACCTAGCGGAAAAGGTGAATTGAAATAGCCACAGACGCAGAACCAAACAGAAAGACGAGAGTGACGAGAGTGACGAGAGATGACCAGAGTTCTTAGATCATCTTAGATCCAAGTGTGCGAAGCTGAGGTCAGAGCTCAGAAAAGGTTTTAACATCCACCTGGTTTCACGTGCGACACAATTCAGTTGGAACAGCACCCAATGAATCCCAATGACCTTGTCCAAAGAGCTCGCAGCATCTCGCACTGGGGGGTCCGCACCAGATGGTCTGGGCAGCAGTGGAGAAATCCACAATAATAATGCGGGCCATTCGCTCGGCGAACACCTGGAATCACTGCATTCTTGGCTTGGTTCTCTTGGTTCTCATGGACATCTGTAGTCATATGTTACAAGATGCTCGACTGGGACTGCCACGCAACCCATCGAGTCTGCCAAATCCTTAACCTGCAGCGTGATCACGCATAAGTTTTAATGCTTGATCGGCTTGATCGGGTCTTCTTGGCATTCGAGAACCTGGTAGAGGCTCCCTACGTCTTGACCCTGGTGACGCGATGCATTGCATCAGGTGTACTAAGAAGTGTGCTGCAGTGTAGTCTGCATTGAGGCGTGGCTGCAATCCATACATATCCACCTTACAGAGTCACAGCATTGAAGAATCAGTTGCTTTTGACGTCCGGATGCTTTTGTAAAGCCGGCTTCAATCAAGAATCCTCTTGCCGAGCACAAATTCCGTCATGCAGCAAGAAAGCACTTCATAGTAAGAGCGATGCAATGCAAACAATGCGACCGTCTGTAGAAGACATCCTGCACTCTCCGTCATCATATTGGACTCCAACCTTTTGAAGGCCTCTTGTTGTATTGAAGTTGTTTCATGTTGTCTTGGCGCTCCTTCGTGCAGCCTCAAAAGTAGCAAGGAACTGATCCTTAATCGACCTGTCACAAACGGATATCGGATAGCCACGCCCTGCTGCAAACGTTCAAACCCTTCTCGCAATTTTTCTCAAATGGAGCATGTTTGGTTTGAAAGCTTCCAAAAACAGTCCATGACATTTCTTGGGCCGCAACGACAACCAGTCCTTCTGGCTCAGGGCCTATCAGATCAGCTCAGCTTCAGATGCTGACGATGGTTTTAAAGGCTGAGAGTCTGGCGCAGAAGTAGAGCACTGGACGATTCTCTTTGTCGTAGCCAATGATGCGCATGTCGCACCGCTTCTGGCGACACACCAAAAAGCTTGGAAGATTCGAACCCAGAAGAAAAAATGCAGAAACGGCAACAGCCAAGAGGCCTCGAATTGAAGAGTTGTATAAAGCCGGCGGTCCCGCAAACGGATCTCCATAGCCTTGAACTGTGTCAAAAGACACCAAGCTCACGATCCTCCAAAAAACATCAAGCTCCGAGAGCCTGCAGAAAGGCTTTGTCAGCTCTTCGCTGGTTGCCCTCACAGGCTCCCCAAATACGCCTGGCCATACAATGCTCCAAATTGTGGGCGCAGAGGGACAACGCTCAGAACGTGGTCCCTTCGATGACCAAATAACTGCATCCCTTCAGCCTGGCAGTGTCGTCATTTGCCCATGCCATCTCAGGCCTTGGAAAACATAAGGCACTTGCACCATAAGAGACCATGGCCTCTAATGCATCTACGCACAGTATCAAATCAATTTGGAGAGCACAAAGTTTGGGTTCTGCAGTGTTCACATCTGTTGTTCACAGTTGTTGCCATTCTTGCCGCTGTTGTGGCTAGGTCCTTAAGATAATGACCCATCTGCACCAGCTGAAGGATTTCTCTCCATGAAACTTCTTCTGGTGCGCTCTAGCAAGCCCATCGCTTTTACCTCCAGGGTGCTGCATGAAAAGGCATGGAAAGGTCACGACATGGCACATGATGACAGGACCCACGTGGCGTTCAAGCCATGGGTCCATGATGGGTCCAAGGTCAAAGGAAATCCTTGCCTCCTCATCTAAGCTTGCTAGGCTGTAGGAACTGAAGGATGGACTCAAACCTCCCTCAGACTCCTGCAACAAGCAATTCAACTCAAATCTGAGCCCTGTTCACATCGACAGAAAGAAATCATTTTCCTACGTGCCGGAAAGAAACAGGGTGTGCCAATCCCTCATGTTTTCCGGATGAAGTACAAGTCGCTAGATTCCCTCCAACAGAATTTATCGAGAGTTTCAGCATTCTGCGTGCAGCACAACGGCGAAGTCGGTGTCCGGTAAACGAGTGGAAGGAGTGGAAGTGACGGAACTATCCTTGGATAAAAGAAGGCAAACTCCATCTGCCTTTCGTCAATAGTTGGAACAAACTACTTCTGATCGCTCTAAGTTCGCAACACTGCGCAAACGATAGAGGTCTTCATTTGTTTCTACACAGTCAAAGAACTGGTCTTCCTGTCATCAGGAGCTTGGAGTGATGAAGTGTCATGGTCAGGCCGACATCTGCAACAAATCTGCAATCCATGGACGCGATATGATCAAGAACCATATAAGAACCATATTAAAGGCATATAAATATGGCACACAGTGTCAGTGTAACTGCGACTCTGACAATCTGGAGTCAGATCATTACAAATTAATTATTAGCGACAAACCACCATTGAGACATGTTCTGTGGCTATATGCCCGGAAGACGCTGAGTGAATAGTGGATATTGGATTATTAGTATTATATAGATAATGTCTTGGTTCAAGCAAATCTGACCCAAGAATGGCAAACAGGGGTCGGTGAAACAGCAAAGTACACAGGGTGAAAGGACACATGCTCACTTGCGCAGTAGCTGAAGCCAGCACTTGTTCATCAGCTCACAACCACAATGTGCAACTGTGTCTACTCGGATTTTCAGGAGCCTCTCCCCGGGTGCCTCCGACTTCCCCCCTGAAGCTGCAAACAAGCCAGTCTGGCTTTGCACTTCCCGTAAGGCTCCACGTGCGAAAGTGGAAGACCAACAGCGGCCTTGCGGGAGTGATGTGCTTGCGAAGTGCCTTAGAGCTTCGAGGAAGAGAGATCCATCTGCATCTGCCCCAAAACAGATACCTGGGATACCCCAAAAATGCTATTGTTAGTAAAAAGGATTGCATTTTGGGGCACCCTCAGACAAACCAATCTCTCAAGCAAGGCACAACAAAGAAGACCAGAAGTCCAGTCTGAAGCTGACCAAATCCTGAGACAGAGGAAGTAAATCCCAAACAGAGGCAACCAGGAGTTGATAAGTGACCGGAGTTGAAAGCAGGAATCGATGCCAAGCGTCCAAGACAAATCCATTGTAAGTTCCACAAGAGAGCTACCCCTTAACAATGAAGCAGTTGCGTTAGAGAAAACCCTTTGTTTGAGATTAAATGATTAAATTTTGCAATATTCTAATGTTGCCACCAAAAAAAAGCTTGTAGGCTCGACTCTCGCTTTTGAAGCGATCTGCAATAGTCGTTTCTATCTTCCTTGAGCCAACAGCTAAGGCAAATCCAATCAAAAAAATCTGATGCACAATGACTTGCACTTCTGCGAAGGTGACACGAACAAAATGAAACAAACATTGAAAAGCGATTGGTACTTGGAACATCTCAGAAACAAGAAGTCCTAAGAGTCCTAAGCTTCAGAAGACTCTGTCCGTAAACATCTGGAAACATCAACAGCAGCTGAGACAACCTGCAGTGCTGAGTACTCTAAATGCTGTGCTGTTGGCGGTAGCGCACCCGCCAAGGAGGTCGCCGCGAATTGTGCAGCACATGCAGCCATTATCCATAACGACAATCTGCAGGACGAGCAATGTTTAAAGAGGTGTAACAGGTAAACAAAATGCAAAAACAAACGGAAATCTCTGGGATTTCAAGAACACGATATCTTAGGAACATGTTCAGTTTCAATTCAACAAGTAATACGTAGTAATTCTGTAGATGCCTTCCGAAGCTTTGCCCTGCCCTTGGCACTCCGCCTTCTCTGCTAGTGCTAACTTCTCTTGCTTCAGCAGCGCATCGTCGATGGGAACCTATGAGATCGTCCATCAATCCACATGAGAAAATGTCAAACATCACACAAACCAAATCGATTTGAGAAATTGCGCTGTTTGCCTCGCCAAACTCATTCTCAATGATGGCGATTTTCTTCTCCTTCTGCTCCTGAACTGAAAAACATTGAGAAAGTCTTGGCACTGGCACATGCATAACGGGCCATCAGGGGCCATCCTGGAGAATGTAGTTCAGCATAGTAGTCTTTCCAGCACCCAGGAAGCCTTGGAAGTCGCAGCAAAGCGTCCAATTCTGCAACTTTCAGTACCCAACATCGCCCAACGCTGAGTTCAAATGGGTTATCAATGGTCGTCCAATTTTGGTTGTTGAACAAAAACAGCTGTTTCTTGACTTTGGGCTCGCGCCTGTTAGAATTGTCACAGGAATCTTGTCTTCCTCCTGCTTGGTCGGCCTCTGAGTCTTGGCAGCCATGGCACACAGGACCACACAGAAGCAGCGCCCTTGGAACAACCACCTTTTCACACATTGATCCTAGGTCCTGCCTGCATGCTTGTGATGGAAGGATTTCGCCATAGACACCAAAGGTCTCGCCATCCGCAAAGTGTTGGCTGACCTGTCTACTTTCAGAAACAGGGTGTCCCGAGTGATACCCCGAAGAAATCTAAGATTCTTAACTCCAACAGGAATGTGGCCAAGTGGCATTCTCGGTATTTCCTCTTTTAGCGCATGAGGATGTCTGGGCAGTTTTCTTTTTCAAACATATTCCATCATGTTCTCTCATCTTGGCTACTTTCGGCGCGGTCAGGTTGACGTTTGCGACTACTAGACCCCCCACCTCCGGTCATATTATCATCATCATGACAACTAGCATCACCATCACCACCACCACCACCAGCATCATCATCATCATCATCATCATGAAGGAGGAGGAGGAGGACGACGACGACGACGACGATGACGATGGTGACGATGGTGTTGATAGTGATGATAGTGATGATAGTGATGATAGTGATTATCACGATCACAGTGGTAAGAAATGGTAAGAATACTTGTGAGGATCACTCAAGCTGAAAGCAGAGCAGTGATTGTTGGCTTCAATCTTCAGATCACTCTTTGCTTCTATTTGCTTTGGGACCACATCTTGTCTTTTAAAGTCCAGCAGTTGCTGAAATGGTCAGGCCTTCTCTGTTGGATTCAGGGCTTTCTTGGGATCCTGCCATCTGAGGCCCATCCCACTTTGTGCAGCTTTGAACCAAAGCATTGCCAGATACATTGCCAACATTTCCGCAAGCCAGGTCCTTCGTGTTCCACAAGACGTTAATCTGGCACAGGGATCCAAGAGGCAACACCGAGGCAACAGCCCCAGCTAGTTGATCTTACAATAAAGTCAATAAAGACATAAATCGTCATGAAATGTCATATGAACGCGCCTGAAGCTCAAGGGTGTCACCACTAACTTCCTCGTACACCTGAGGCGGGTAAGGATTCGAATCCTTTGATCATGTTTGATCATCAAATCTGGCAATCAATGGCCTGCTCCATCTCATCCATGAGGTCAACCACGGTCATGCTCTCCTTGATCTTGAAGGGATTTGCCTGGAAAAAACATCCGACGGCAAGCAGCAACAAGAGCAAACTCAAACCACCCCTGGCCTTCAGCAAGCTGTGAAAATTAAAATGATTTGTGAAGTTCCCCTTTGGGCCCCAGAGCGTTTGTGGGCACAACGACGCAACGAAGCTGCAAACTCTCACGCCTTGGAATCAAACGCAAAACCACCAGGAGCCTCGCAAAACAGGTCGTAATTGCTGTGGCTGCTGTGACTCGTGATGGCCCCATAATCGAAGGAAGTTTAGAAGTCAAACTTCCGACAATATGGACAGATGAAAAGCAGAGGTGGGAAGAGTCAGAGAAGGGAAGAGTAGAAGAGAGAAGATCAGAGAAGAGAAAGAGTCAGAAGAAAGAAGATGCAGGTGCGCGAAAAGGTAGGAAAGTCGTAAAACACTGCGTTTTTCCAAAGATTCGTGGCTCGGGAGGGTCGAAAAACTAGGCTCGCTAAAGCGGCGGGTGCGGAGCCATGTGGTCAGATAAGAGATGAAAAGTTGCATGCCATTGCGGCGCGAACCACATTTCCAAGTCAAAATGCACAAAACACACCAACGTCGGACCGCTTTTGGAAGTTGTGATGTCGAAAAAGTGCACACCGTAGTGGCGCGAAGCACATTTGGAAGTCAAAAGTGTGAAAAAATGACACCTTCGGAGCACTTTTGAAGTTGAGATGTCGAAAAAGTGCACGCCGTTGTGGCGCCAAGCACATTTCCAAGTCAAAATGTGCAAAACACGTCAGCCTCGGAGCACTTTTGGAAGTTGAGATGTTCAAAAAGTGTATGACGCTGTGGCGCGAAGCACGTTTCCAAGTCAAAATGTACAAAAACACCACATGCTCGGACCACTTTTGAAGGTTCAGACGTGGTTTTGCGTGGCAGGTGCAAGGGATTGTGCACCTTGTCAAAAGTGAGCAAAACGTGAGGGTTTTGTAGCATTTCCAAAAACGATGGCAGGCTTGGGACATTTGAAGAGGATCTGCAAAGATGCATTTTCCGTGGCAGTCGCAGTACAAGAGACATGATGTTAGGAGGTCAGGGCGCTGATTTCCTGGGAGGGGTTGCATTTTGGAGAATCAGATCTTCAGGTTTGGGAAGATGATTTTGCGTGACAGGTACGGCACTTCGTTTGATCTGGCATCAATTCTCGTGGCAGGAGCAACACTTTAGACAGATGGAATGGAAAAATCGCAAAACGCATTGGTACGAGGCCGTCAGCTCTGCACTCAACTTTCCATTTTCGAAGGAAGTCTCGCAGAATAGCTTCGTTTTCACACTTGCAGATAGACAGACAGACAGACAGACAGACAGACGGACGGACGGACAGACAGACAGACAGACAGACAGATAGATAGATAGATAAACAACTACAATTAGAACTACAACTGCGGCTACAACTACACTACCACTACAACTACCACTACAAAAATACTAAGCTGCAGTACACTAATTGCACTAATTACACTAATTACGCCACAGCTATAACTACAACTACAACTACTATTACTACTACAGCTACAACTACAAGTACAACTACAATACATTACACTACACTATATACTCTAATTACATTACACTACACTAGACTAGACTACGACTACAAGTACAAGTGCAACTACAACTACAGTACACAAGACTACGCTACACTAATTACACTACACTGCGCTACAACTGTAACTACAACTACCACTACAACTACAACTACACTACACTAACTACACTACACTACACTACACTACACTACACTACACCAGACTATGCTACACTACACTAACTAAAATTACAGCTACAACTACAACTACGCTACTTTACGCTACACTACACTAGATTACACTACAGCACACAACACCACAGCACACAACACTACATTACACTACACTACACTCGGTACACCACACCACACCACAACTACAACTGCAACTACACTACTGTACGTACACGAATTACACTACAACTACCACTACAATTCCACTACACTACAACTACAACTACAGCTGCGCTACACCACGCTACATCCAGCAGTTGTGGTGAGGTGACCACTGCAACCATTGCAACCACTCCAAACAACACAACTTCAACCACCTTTCGGCCCATCAGTGGATTCGCTCTGCCATCCATGATTCACAACAACCAACCTCTCCTATAGGTTTCCTATTCTTGAAACTTCCGCGACCGCCTTGTGCGGTACTACTGGTATACGAAACCATGTAGCAGCAACACCAGTCATTTCCCATTTGAAATGAGTCTGCCATCGCCATCATCAACCTTGAAGGCTTTGGAAGCCCGCAGGCACTAAATGGCAACCGCTGGAAATACTTGAGTCCCTGCATTCAGAACCCACTTGCTACAGATCTGACCCTGGCATTGGCACAACCTGGAGTTGATTCGATACAAAAGCCTCATCTGAGTTGAGGTAAAGGTTAAAAAACCCGTTTAAAACTCTAATTAGAACATATTGAGACCTAAGGCTTTCCCTCAGGATACCACGCCACGCCTTCATTGAGGGATGTAGCCAGGCCCAAAGTGTGATTTCCTGGCCCAAGCTGTGCAGTCAGCTGGGTAAACATGTGAGATGAACACGCATTACGAACATCACTTGGCAAAAATGGCTGCAACACTGCATGAATTTGCTGCAAAAAGTGCAGGCAATAAAGAATATGTCTTAAGGAATCTGGACTTGTCCACACAAAACAAGGATACCACAATACATCACAATACAATTGTCCTTTGAGATCAAGAGTATCGAAGTATATCTAACCATGTCGTGCATGTTCATGCCATATCTGGGTTCCGTCGTTCTTTTCCTTGCGTCTCAATCCGAAGCTGTCCAGGCGTCTCGGCGTCTTGGCAAATATGTGACAAAGCCTCATCCTGAGACTGTCAGTCCTGGACCCCACAAAGAAAAATTGTGTGGGTCCAATGTCGGCAATTCTGAAAGCTATCATTAGGCCAGCCCAATAGTGAAAATTGGTGAAAATAAAATGTGAAAATGGAAACACTGAAGTCTAAAGCATAATGATTGTAGGACTGTGTTGAATTCACTTCCTGAAAAACAGCTTCTCATCAGTTCATGCTACACTGGGCTGCTAAAGTCTGTTGCATCTTGTAGCAACAGACCGCTTCACTCATTTGCACTCCATGGGAATGGCTCCGGAGGATCAGGCTCCTGCCATTCCATGGCATGGGTCTTGTGGCCAAAACATGGTTTTGTGCACGTAGACCACTTATTATATACATACATGATGATATATTCTGTATCACGCAAGAAAACAGAGTAAAAGAATGTAGTGGCCCCATAATCAAAGCCTCACGGATGAGTTATCACCATTCTCTTCAGTTTAGTAGTAGTGCATAGTGGCGTAGTCCTGCCTTTGTTTGAACATAGGATGGCCCAAATCTCGCATATTTACTCATGCTATCTCTATCATCAGTTTCTCCATGTTCATACAAAATTCCGGCCACTGCGAGATACCAAAAAAAGAATCGCCTTCTCTTCATCTTCTTCCCTCTTCTCGTTCTCCAAGAAGAGATCCTGCGGAGGTTTTTGCCGATTTTGGGCCCTACCAATTTTGGGTCATTATAAGGTACCCAGAACAAAATGGGCATAGGCAACTCATAAGAATATTGGTAACTGATTCTTGGGTCATTACCCATCTTGGGCCATGCACACCATTCCCCACCCACAAAAATCTCGGGGTATCCACCAGTTTCAATAGGTCATGAACTATTATAAACCGCGTTGCAACTGGAATGGGCGCCCATCGCACTACAGAATCCAAAGAGCTACGTCGAGCTCCAGTTGCCAACGGAGTCCTCGGGTTCCTCCGGCCGAAGATCTCGGAGAAGCAGAAAGCCTTGTTTTCTGCTCTCCAGTAGTGGCCTTGGCCAAAGGGTTGCTACAAGACGCACCAAAACAGAACACGTTCAACCCAATTCACCTTTAAAGGCTCGAGATAATCATGAGCACTAAGGGCGACTCTTGTACCGCACAGGCTGGCCTTCAATCTCCTCAGGCTATCAATGGTGAGATCCGCAGCACGACAGCTCCAACCATAATCACCGCGCCTTTGGGAACGAGATGAATTGCACCTGCCCTTTCAGTACCTCGGCGCAACATTTGAGCTTATTCGCTCAAGAAGCACAGCCGCTGATCCTGTGGAAATATTGAAAGACGTTCATCCTCGGAGAATGGCTATCCCACCATTACGCCGTGGAATTGTATGATATTAACATCTTCGATAGTTTGCCATTGCGCGCTGAAGCAAGGATCTCGGATGCAAAAGATTTCGATCAATGAATATGGATTTGTTTGAAGATTGCGGATAGTATTTGCAACTTTGGCGTATATGCCATTTTTGGACAAAACCATGATGTAGCCATCAGAATGCCAAGATACTCGGCACGGATTGCTTAAGATCTCTTCTGTTGGTTCTGGTTCCTCTTTCTTCTCTTCCTGTCAAGTTTCACATTGCTGGCCGCATGACAGGATGTGTGCATTAGTGTTTTGTTCTAAGCTGGTGACGCAGGAAAGAATCAAACAACCAGAACTTGAGGCCAAAGGGAAGGGGTCGACAGCCAGTTAGGCAGCGCGATCTTTTGAGCGTCATTTTTTGAACGGAAAAAAACTACCATTCGATGTTGCTCGCACGCTAACAGCAGTGCACCGTGATATTCTAGTTCACATGGACCATAATCATTCCACAACCCCCCCTGACATCCTAGCATAGCAGCGTCAACATTACGCTCCTAGTACTCTACTTGCCAAATACAAACTGCCACAACTGAGCGCGCTTCTGTTGAGCCACTTTGCAATCTGATTGAACCTCTTTCCCTCGGCCTTTTCTCCCTTGCTCCTGTCTATGACACATTATATATACTGGTAACTTAGGTGCATACATCCATCGAGCAAGAAATGTTTCGGAATCTTAAGATGCACATCTTGCATTCCTCGCCAAGACCGGGTCATGTTTTCATACAGACCTCTTGAAGAAATGGAGTGCAAGACTCCAACGGGTTGCTCTCTCATTACACTATATTGCATTAGATGGAAAAGATTACGTCACATTAGATTAGATTAGATTGCAATAGATTTCATTACATTAGAATACGAAAGATAGAGTGCGGGTTTGGAAACCGGGGCGTGACGTCGAGAATTCCACAAATTTCACGGCAAGGGCGGGGGGCAGCCAGAACGTACGCGCAAAGAGGCGTTTTTTGTTGGCCGTGACTGCTAAAGGGGAATGGACCACCACATTCTAAGAATAAAGGCCTTGCATGGAATGAACAAGGAATTGATAAGTTCATCCCCAAACCCACATTTTACATGATTTTACCTTCATTTCTTTATTTTCAGCCAAAAGCAGCCAAAAGTTAAAGTTAGAATGCGCGCGTGCCCGTGCATGTTATTTGCGGGGAAAAGTGACAAATTCTATGTTTATATGATAAAGTTTTGGACACCCACAGATGAAACTCAGAGGGATGGACACAACAGGGTGTGAGCCCGAGGGGGGGGTTCACAGTCCGACATGATTAATCATGTCCAACAGGGGGGGGGGCAAAACCAGTTCGACATGAAAGATCATGGGAGCTGCATCCAGTCTGCCCCCAATTCATTGCTAAAGCAAATTCAACTCCAGCTAGCAAGCTAGCTAGCTTTCGTGATAATTCGCAGACGAATTTGCTCTGACAAATTGTGGACCTTCTTCTCCTCTTTCTTTTCAGGAGCCTGATGAAACAATGAAAGAAGAAGCCTGGGTACCCTTTCTGAAAACGATACTGCTGCTACTGCGATTCGAACTATGTTCAAAAACAAATTACGCGCCTCAGCCTCCGCTTTGTTCTCCTCGTCAATTTTTGGTTCCTCGCTGTCTTGAAATGCAAAGGCTCTGCAGTGTGTATAGCAATTCAACATGCTGTGCATGTACACGTTGCAGATGTGATAGTCAAACTCTGTTTATAAGATTCATTCAAAATCATATTCCTAGCAGACCCAGCAAAGTTGATGCGTTCTTGGGGATAATACAACACCAGCTCTTTTTTATACGAGGTCTATGTCCTAAGTCGATCTAGGTTTCAGCACTGCAAATGTAGTGGCAGTGTATAAATCATCAACTCTCTCCTTGGGCTTTTCAGGCACAGGTGCTTGCTCATCCACCTGCACTGCGACTTGAGAAAGAGAACAAAACATCATGCCCTAAACATAAACCTTCTTCCATCCTGATCCATCCTTGACAACTAGAGTTGGACTTCTGATCGTACCAATCCTGCAATCTGCCTCCATCATCTCACTGCCAAGGTCGCTGGCGGCCACAGATTCTGTGGCAGCGGAGCCAACCACGGTTGTTCCTGGGGTCATGCTCCAGTGGCACTTGGAAACAAGGTGAGAGAAACTTCCAAGGTGTTATCTTAGATGGCTGCACACAGGCTTCAAGTATATTGGTTTTTGTCTGCTGGCCCTTCCACAGTTGCGGCAGTTGCTGATTTATGCTGAGAAACCTGGGGTGGCTGCTACTGAGACCTTAGAGGCCACACCAAGACATGACACATGCCTCAAAGTCTGGTGAGAAAGGGAGCCATTTTTCTTGACCAATGATGAAGCGAAGTGAGCCAAGCAGCAATATCGGCTCCTCTCACTGAAGAGGCCGCACCTTCGGCCACAGAGCCGCCAATCGATGCCTAGCAGGGCTGAAGGTCCAACAACTGACCAAAAGACCAAAAGAAACATCTTGCAAGACTCTTTCCATGAAGCACTTGGCACACTTTACCGATCAAAATCTTCTCCAGAAAGTGTTGTGACGATACATGTGCAGGAATTCCCCAAGCGTGGAATTTTATCGTCCACGGCTCCCGAACAAAGTTGCTGGCTTGGAAGGTCTTGAAATGCTCTAAAATTTCCTTGCGGAGATTTCTGCAGGCCTTGTCATCCATGTCCACATCAGCACTGGACGATGCCTGGCATCCAATTGAATTCCAATCCAACAATTCCAAGCGCGGCCCGAGTCTCGGAGTCACTGTCGAAGTCGAGAGGAGCCTCGCCTTTTTGAGCTCGTTGGCCTCTTTCTCCTACTGCCAGGACTTAGAAATCACTGAGGACTTAAAGTCGAAATCCCGCAGTGGCACTGGATTGTCGACTATTTCTATGAGCGATATACAGGTTCGTCCAGAAAAGGTGCATACCCCAAAATGGTCATTCGTACGGGAATTGGCAATTTGAATGATACACCATGATATACCTTTTCTTCGGGGAAACCCATACTCCTTCCCAGCAAAAACTCTGGACTCGGAGAATCGGTCCTTCTTCTCCTTCAGTTGCTTGGCTTTTGCCGCGGTGGAAAGCACCTCAGAGATGATTCATCGTCTAACAGCGTGAAGCAGCTGATCCACAAACTCATGGGATTATATTGTGGATTACATGGATGATATCCATGGTCCATATACAATGTTATGACATTAATTATCATGCGTGGCCACAAATCAAGTGCCATCTGAAGACGTCTTCTCTCTTTGGCAGTTGATTCGTGATTTTTTGGGACATATAGACTTGGATCTGGGCAGATAATCCATGCTCTGCAGTATATGTTTCAAGTTAAATGCTACAAGTACACATGCATACGCCTAAAGATACATAAACAAATTACACCTATTTATAGAGAGAGAGAGTTAGTTATATACATACTGTATGGATCTGTATGGTATATGAACACACAGTAACACACATGCATTCACAAAATTTCACAAACGGGGGTGATTGCTTCAATGGATGATGGATCTTTCGATAATCGAAACGTGCAAACAGGTTGAAGCCATGGCCACAAGACCTAGGCACTGCAGTTGCCGCTTTTGCGGTCTCCTCTTTTTTGGGAGGCTGCAGAGGCTCCGGATACCTCGCCACGATTCGTGGAGCGTTGCTGCTGCGGCATTCGGATGAGGAAAAAGTACTGCACCACTACGAAAGGTCTGAGAAGACTGCGCAAACATTGAAGGCTTTGCTCCGCTCTTCACCTCTACATAAGAAGATTGTGCCCACGACGACAAGCATTTGGAATATGTTGAAAGTGCGCAAAAGCTGTAGAGTTGTCTTGGCGCAACAACCTGTGCGAGTTAGAAAATCAGGATCTGGGAGTCTGACTGAGAAATTCTTGGGAATCTTCAGTTTGTCGGTGATACCTTGACGGCTCACAGACGGCCAATGCCCGGTGACATCATCCCCTGTCTGTGAAGTCCGAGGTCGTTGCCGATCAAGGCCGTTGGCGTCAAGGTCAAGGAAAACATATGGATCAACGGAAACCTGGAAGGTTACCATGCCAAGGGCGTGGGAAGTTAAGCCTAGGCATGACCTTTGCTGCAACACACAGCAGCTTCATTTCCTGAGGCCGGCTCCAGTACCACATCTGGGTGAACAAACAGAACCCAATGGCTGCCCCACGACGCAGCACCTTCAGCGAAGGAGCTCTGTCTTTGTATCCGATGGCCAAATGGTCACTGAGGAGGGAACCCCAGACTTCGAAAACAATGATGCACAGGAGTTGCGGCCACCAGCCTCATAGGCACCAAACTGAGGATGATTTTGCTGGCAGCCACAGATTCTGAGGCCGCTGACATCCATGATGCCATGTGCAAGAATAGCTCCAAAACGCGTCATCACCTTAGCACCGCGCTGATACAAAACGATTCTCAGCTGGGTCGGGTCAGACAGAGACAACCAATTGACATGAAGTTCACCAGATTCTGAAAGCTTGGTTCCAGAACATCTTCGTGCTTGTCTCCGATGACTTTCTGCAGTTTGTCCCTGAACTCCTGGACAAATCCCAAAATGACCAAGAATAATGGCTCAGATTCTAAAGTTCGAACCTTCCCAAATCTTTCTGGCTGTTTTCAGAATGAAGTTGGTCCACAAATAAGGGAATTTGAAGTTGCGACTACCTACGACCTACGATAAGAACTGGGATTTCTGAAGAGGGAAGTTGAACAGAGTTCGCAATGCTAGTGAACAAACCATATTGAAACATGGACAGTGTTATATTATATATATACATCATATGGAGTTCATAAAGTTTCATACACTGTGTGAACCACATGGCCCACCAAAACTTTTTGGGGGTCCTTGACGCGCTCAGTCTTTCCCGGAGAGGTCTGCATGTACAGCAGGCCCATTGCCTCAGGATCAACTGGCGGTTGAAACCCTACCCTGGTTGTTCACACCAAAACAACCTGTAGCTTTGCAAACATTTATATAACATATTATATATATAAGTATATCTAATCAATTATATATATATATATGAATGTTGATGTTCATTTCACAGTTTCTGACCTATCCCTAATGGTTCATAGTGACATAGTGCCATTCACCAACCTTCCACTGAGCCCTCAACGAGGATTGCTCCTTGCCTCACGAAGTCGGACGGGTCGGACATCAGCGGTTGAAGAAGATTGTGCGCCTGAAACAAGAGCTGCTGAAGTCACGGCCAAAATTCTGAAACCAAAATGTGCTGAATCACAGTATTTATAACATGAACTGATCTTATACATCGTACTCGAAGGGTCCTGACTACAGGGTTCAGCAAGGGGCAGTCCACTAGCAGAATTGACACTGACAAAGTGTCAAAATCGATCAGAATCATAGCATTCGGCCTCTAGAAGTGCAGTACCGGCACACGCAATTCCCAGTGCCATTGCAGCAGCATAGCGCACGTGTGGGTTGTAGCCTCGTTGTGAAGTGCGATTGACTAAGTCACTGAATCCAAGTGCAAGCATTCCACGTCCCCAACCAACGAACGTTTTTGAACTGTGTTGATCTTATCACAAGAGTCTATGGTTACTATGGTTGGTTTCTTGCAAGGTCTAGTGTCAACAGTGCTCTTTCTTCCCTTTTGAGTCCATGGCTCTCCGCAAGCAGTTTCACCACTCCAGGCAGCTGCTCGGGCACGTTGCACATGACAAAGCCCAACCTAGCCCGGCCACTTGAAAACTGATGATTATTGGTGCGTCCATGTGTTTCCGCGTTCATGGCACACTTGGTTTGTTGTTGGTTTCTTCTTGGCTTGTTGTTGGCTCCTTGTCGCCGATCTTTTCCGCGACTTGTGGAATGGTGACACAAAAAAATACGCCGGCAAGAGACCCCCAAACAGTGTGGGGGGTAGGAAGTCAATGTAATAGATACAAGCAACAGTAGCCATGGAACAGCAACAAATCAGGTTACACAGTTAAACAGTTAGACATTATCGGAAATCCAGCAGCAGGAACTTGCTTTGGCACTAGAAACAAAGCTATGTTTATGCATCAGGACCTCGCACCAGAACCTCATACCAGGACACCTAAGAGAGTTTCAAAAGATCGTCAAAGAAGGACCTTCTACTGTATATACATTCATTATCTCACAACATCTTCATGCACCAACTTCCTATGAGCACCCCACAAGAACTTTCATGCAAGAACCAATGCAGAGCATCTTCAAGATCTTGATGCAAGGACCTCTGGAGGAGGATTTCAATAGGGTCTCCACAAGGTCTTCTCAAAAGGACCTGTACGAGATCATGCAAGGACACCTAGGGGATTTCACCAGGACCTCTTCAAAATCTTCTCACAGGGACTTGCACAAGATCATGAAAAGGCCTCCGGCAGCATTTCACTAGGACCTCCACAAGATCTTTTCAAAAAGGACCTGTACAAGATCTGGTTCAGAGATCTCTGCACAAGCTCTCTATATATAAGAGTTCTATTGGCAAGATCTCTGTAAGAGACCTCTTGCTCTCTATAAGAAATATCCTTGTCCTTGTCAAGACCTCTGCACAAGATCTCCTTGATTATCAAAATGAGCACCGCGCCACAACGAGAACATCTGACATGCCCAAAGTGACGAGGGGGTTACGCGAGGGATCTCCAAAGTCGCACCACGCCACAGCGAGAGCGATCTGACAGGCCCAAAGTGCCGACAGGATTATGCGAGCGATCCGAACCAAAACAACAGAGCAAAACTGCGGCGCTCATCTTGTGCGAGCCTGCGCAGTCGAAATGCACATGGAGATCACACAACAGAACTTTTATGCGAGAATTTACAGCAAAAGTGCCGCGTCCCAGAGACCCTGATCTAACCCGGGCCTTTACTCTATTACCGTAAGAACCCCTCAGTGTGGACATGTGTGGACACACTGTTTGGGGAAAAACTGTAATTTCGGCGTTCGGAGATGGAGAATTTTGTAGTTGCCACATTCCCTGATTCTCCCAGGTTCCTCTGAGAAATCGACCGCCAAAGTTTTCTGCTGGTAAACTAAGGCAAGGACGCCATCACTGCTGCTCGCCGCACGTCATCCGACACATCTGACACCTTAGAGAAGAAAGCCTTCAGCCACCGGTTGACAGGAAGAGGGAGAAATTAGGTGCAAATTTAAGCTGCAGACTGAGATGTGCAGCAACTTCCGGATGGCAGCATTCTGCGAAGTACCGACCTCATATTCAATAGAATGGTTCCCAAATGTGACAGTGAGAAGGAATGGTTCTGGAATGTCATGCTCGGGACTGAGCATACGCAAGTGCAATTGCAAAGCAACCACCGTAGCGAAGAATGGCATCCTTGTCCAGGAGCATCTCCCTTAGATAATTTGTTCTCTCCTCAAGCGTCTCATGCTTTGTTCCAAACCCCTTGCAGCTTCATTTGCATAAAGAACGCTTGAGTCAGTTAAGCGCGGTGCTGGATGAGCGGTTCAGCCTCTTCCTCCTTCCGGAACATCATCATTGCCAGTGCAAGCGCCTCAACGAAACGACCAACTTCCAGGAAGAGATCTGCAAGGCTGGCGCGCTCTGAGAAAGAGACACAAGCCCGGATGATCTTTTCATGTTGGGTGTCGTGGGCATAGGCCCTAAGCCTGAGGATAGTGTACGTTGGAAGACATCTCATACATCTTGCATTGGCATAACATGCATAACAGTCATATTGAGAGATGCAACAATCAAACTGCTGAAGTAGCAGGCGCATTTTCTCCAGCAAGTGTTCAGTAGGCATTCCCCCTCTCTGTTAGGGTGCCTTCTAATTTGATCCTCTACTTATCCCTAAAGCTTCCCTCGAGACTCTTCAATGACTTCAATGCACCACTTTCCTTTCCGGCTTCAGGTCTTTCTGGAGAGCATGAGCTCCTGAAGCAGATGAAAGACTGAGAACATTAGCTGAGAGGAGGCAAAAAGCAAGTTGCAACGGCTCCACAAAGGTATAAGTAAACACATACAAAACTCAAAAATTCCAGATTTTTCTTCATAGCATTGGAGACTCGCTCATCTGTCCTTATTCAGTTTTCTACAAACCTGTCGAAGCAGGCTCCCCCACCTGCAAAGATGATGCCAGTTTTCCCACTCGCTGTAGAGGTGAATCTTGACGAGCCTGCCAGGAATTGATAGGAAAATCAAACGGAGAGCTTCTGACTGAGTCAATGTGCCAACAAAATCAATTCGAGAGATACCGAAATCATATCCTGCAATCATGACTTGGCAGTTTCAATACAAAGGATACACTTTTGGGCCTCGATACTCTGAAGGCAGTCTTCAAGGTGGATCTGTGTCTCCACTACCCTCTCTGCAAAAAGCTCCACGACCTGCCCTGCGGCGTCCACCGTCGTGACGACTTCTGGAAAGTGGTGACACTTGTCAGCATGAAACGGATATCAATGTGGGTTTGTCTGAAAATATCGCATACCCTGATACCCATGAACACCCTATATACAATCTATGTGTATAAATATATATATATACGTATATATATATATATAGTCTCTATACCCTGTTTAATCGTTTAATGATCATTTTCCTGATCAAAATGTCCATTTGGCCATTTGGGGTCAACACCTCCTTAATCTCCATGATTTCGCGACCTGCTGGTCCTTGTGGAGTGGTCTTTCGGCTTAGGAAGCGAGGATCAAGCATCCAGGCCTTTTGAAATGCTTCTGGGCTAGAGTCTGCTTGTGGAAGAAACCCATGCTCTGAATTTCTCCATAGTTGGGGTGTCTGCACGCCTTCTAGATGTTTACGGCTGTATACGTGTAAAATCGTGTAAAACATTGTAAAGCTGAATCATGCCATTGACACATGAGACCACATACCCTCTGTGTCCTAAGTTCTATTCTATACTCTATACTCAACTCTTCTCAGAATGCAAATCCGCATTCGCTGTGCCTTGTTTTTCTCCTCGTACTGAACCGCCTGCTCCAAACAGCTTGCCCACGGGCCATCCGGCATGTAGCCCAAGGAGTCTGTGGAGGCCTTTAGGTTCTTGAGGAGCTGGAAACATGTGGAACCTGGCACTGGCACGAGAATAGTGCAAGTCCCACAGATTGCTGTGGTTGGCCTGGCTTTCAATGCCACATGTCAAGCGCAGCTATTGCGGCTGCCTTCAAATCGAACTTCATCCAACATGAAGAATCGCTGCTGATGATCCTCCTGTGCGCATTCCAGGACAGGGGGTGGCTTGAGTATGTTTGAGCACCAAGTGCAAGCTGTGAGTCATGTCTGAAATCTTCCAGTTTCAGTTAGTACAAATCATCTTTAATCCGCTCCCCCAGGCTTTACAGCATTTTCAATCAGACTTGACCATAGTGCGCTTTGCAACGGAAGGCTTGAAAGATCTTGAAAGTGCAAGCAGAGACATCACCGCGGTCCTCTGAGACACTTGGCACCACAGAGTCTGCACACGGCCTCGGCTGTAGCCGATCATTGCTCCAAGGCACCACCCATGGAGGAACTGCGAACAAGTCACGTCCCTGGTGGTGCACGAGTAGCGCTCAGCTGTCTTGCACATGACAGCACCTGAGCCAAATGAATCACAACGAATCACACAATGAATCACACAATGAATCACACAATGAATCCAACATTCTCAATCTGCAAAAGGAATCACGAAGACTTTGGCAGGGCATAAGATCAGAACCATGAAAACGCACAGCTTGCAATGCCGAGGCAGCCGAGGCAGCATTTTTGCGAGCTGTCACGATGGACCTAGAACTTAGAACCTGTTTGAGCAGAAATATTCGGCGGCAACAAATCTTCTAACATCTGATCTTTACACAGTAGATCGGAGTGAAAACTGAAAAACACAAATAAATACGCAAATGTGATGGCAAGAGTAAGAAATCGGCTCGTCAATGGCTTTCTGCGATGCAGATCCAACCTAAGGGTTGCAAGAATTATTGGATTTGAGCTGTTCTTCGCTGATTTTTTGATAGGGTCGGATAGGGTTTTAAGTGAACTGACTTGTGTTTCCAATGTGTAGCAACCCGGCATTCGAATGTATTCAGACGGTATTGAGTCCCAAAAAAAGTAGCACTACAGCCGTTCAATCGGTGCCAAATAGTAAAGCTCTCCCTTGCTACAGACTTAGCCAAGCCACCATTACCAGGCCAATAGCATATGCAGCAGCTTCACCTGCTACTGCTGTGTCAGTATACCTCAAGCTGGCAGCACTTCTTTATCGCAGTGTGGTTATGTCATGTTATGTCTAGATAAGCTTTTGCTGCACCTGCCAGATCTGCCAGGTCCTGTCTTTTGGTTTGTTCATGGTCCTGTCTTTTTGTAGCCAGGGCTTCCACAGGGTTTGCGTCAGCTCGTCGTAGATACGCTCGTCAGCCGTTGCCATGCATAGAAGGCCTCGAAATTTGAGGCAGGTGCGGCCAACAAAGATCCCGTGACATTTCCCGCCACTCCCCGAGGCAATAAGAGCTGCACCAATACCCAAGCAAGCACCATGCTGCAGAACCTGGTGCTTCGGACAGGTACTGGGTTATGAATGTGACGAGATACAAACAAATGAGGTCGTTGAGTCAATCAGAACATTGCACTCCTCTTTTTTTTACACAACCTCGAGTTAGGAAATCCATGTGACCTCCTTTCTCAGTCCGACCAAATAGACCAAACCGTCACGCCATATCTGCGCGAAACAATAGCATCGAACTCCATGGAAGTTCTTATTCCAAGCCTCTGTTGCCTGGGCATTGTGCAATTGCTCCAACAGGTAGGCCTCTCAGCACTGGGGTTCCATCATGTCTCTCATGTGGATGGACCTCTCTTAGGTGTGGTTGCCCAAAACAGTCACAAAACAATGGTAGAACATGGTAGAACAGTTTAAGGGGTACTCCATGGTACGCACCTTTGTATCCTGATCGTAGTGGTTCGCATGAATCAGGCCTTACTTGGCTGCTGTGTCCGGTGGAAAGACAGGATGCCTTAAATTCATCAAATTTTGTCTGCAAACTTAGGCTCTGGCCCATTCCATAGAGGGCACCACCTTCCGAATAAGGACTTCCTCTGGTGCCTCAAAAGAGTCATCTCATGCTTTGTCTTGGAGAGGAATAGAACACCGCCCCCAACATCTGTGTCTGCATGTTTCTGCGGCTCTTCTTATCAACACCACATCAAGCCATGTCAAGTTTCTTAAATATCTTGAATTGTGTCTCAATTCTGTCTTATGTCCAAGGTGCCTCCTTGTTGAGGCAAATAGGTGCTTAGAATTGACCTGTGGCGGAACATGAGGAGCGCTGCTTGGCAAGGCTCACAATAAATTCACAGGGCTGTGTCCTGCCTGGACTCCTTGATGTGTCCCTTATGAATCACACCTCGACATCATCCAAGAATGCAAGATGACCCAAGATGTCAGCATCTCATCAAAGGGTCTCAGCATGTCATAACGTATTCCAACGTGAAAAGGAGCCCACCTAGAGATGCAGTGGCGCTGAACTTGGCCCAGTTCGAGGCCTTTGCCAGCCACTCCAGGTTCTTGCCTCGTCAACTTTTGTCTTGGCTTAAGATAGCTCAAGCAATTATCATCATTTATCATCTCCATTGTATAGACAATATAAACATATATAGACCATATGTGATACGCTAAGCCCCTAAGCCGCTGAGCCCTGCACGAAGGAAGACATCACTGGTGGTGCCACATTGCATGAGCCCATGAGCCATGACCGTTGCATTGTGGGTGATGGAGTTCCTGAAATCAAGGGTCAAGCCTTGACGCATCTCAAGGGTTGATTGCTCAGCTCCCTGCTTCAGGAAATGCACCAAAAATCAAACAAAATCAAAGAAACAGATTTCAGCAGCGAAATCTTCAAGCTGAGATGCTTCGCATCAATCGAATTCTTGATGGTGTCAAGCAGCAGGAGGTCCTTTTGCTGGAGTCACATATTGACAAACATGCACGAGTGCCCAAACGATCACCCCAGCTGGTGGCATGTCAGTTAAAATGCTGGTTCTCCACAGACTTCTTTGATTTCATGACTTTGTAATACTTCGTACTAGTCAAATTGCCTAGCAAGTAGGTGTAGGTGAAAGAGATTGAAGCCCCGTCTGCCATGACGGCAGATCCATCGATGTTATTGAGCTTCCAGACCGAACGGTTGTTTCGGTAGAGGAACTCCATCTGCCTCAAAGGAAAAGAGTCGTGTGAGGTACTTGTTCACTCGGATTCTTTGCAGTGCTATTGCTTTTTGAAAAGCCAAAATTGTGCAACCTAGTATATACAAAGCATTATTATAAAGCAATAAGTTGCTGGATCAAAGACCTGTGATCCAGGACAGGACATCCAGGATCCGAGCAAGTCAATAGAGGATCGTCCTGATAGAATCTTTCGCAGGAGAGTCAAGTCTTCCTTCTCCTGAGCGGATTCACTTCACATTGCAATGTCGAAGCTGACTTTCACCCTGAAATCTGATTTTATGAGAAACTTCACTTGTTTCTCCTTGTTTCTCTGGTGATTGGATGATTGGATCCCACAAGAAGAAGATGACAAAACAACTGCGCCTGCTCCGACATCTCTGGCCCTTCCTGTACTGGTTCCGCGGGTGCCTCTGGGGCTTCCTTAGCGCACAGCGAGGCACGGATTGTAAATGATTGTAATATCATCATCATCATCATCATCACCATCATCATCATCATCATCATCATCATCATATATATATATATATGTATATCAATATCAATATCATATATATATATATATATCATCTACTCTGTTTACAACAATGTCTACCACCGCCTTCACAAGGCCTGGAAATCGGTAACGCTTTTGGGCTCATTCGCCAGGATACTGCACCCTCCACGGCTGCTGGAGGAGGCGCAGGCTCCTGCATATTTTGGGCAGGACCCAGGGCCACCAACTCACGGTCGTTCTGCCAGCTGCACCGCTGCACCGAATTTCCTGCTGACATGTACCACTGGTAAGCAATGATCTAATCTTTCTCCTTGATCTTCAGCAAAGGCGAAGATAGCAGTGCGTTGCAGAAGTGCTGGCTCTCGTTGTCAACCTCAAACAAAGAGCAAATCAACTGAATAGAAAGAAACGGAGGTTGTTGAAAGCAGGGCGTGAGGTTGGAACCACATCAAAGCCGATCTGATATGCGAGCAATCGCCCATCCTTGCGGGATGTTCGAGGCAACAAAGATTAAAAGGTCTACACATACACAGGAAAATTCCACATTTCCCCAAAGTTGCTTCAGTTTTAGCCAACTGAGCAAATCTAAATGGATATGATTGGAGCCGCAAGCCTGGGGCTTTCCACCTCGGGATTTCGAACTTACAAACTCTAAAGTAAAGTATACAAGAAAGCAAACAGGAAAATCATGCCAGCATTTTGAATGTCTCGAGATTCACTGCAGATTGCTACAGAAGGTTTGCTTTCACAAGTGCTTCTCGGTTCTTCTTGGTTGAAGTTGAAGTTCCCAACTCTTTGAACTTGAGGCCAAGGAGTAAGGGACGAAAGCTAGCTGGGAAGGGAAAGAACGAGCAGTGTGTGAGGAATTGGGAGATACGAAGTGGAAAGTAATGATGCTGATTGCGACCATATGGCTACGCCGCGGGGCGGATTGAGCCACGGCAAAACTGCTTCCAAAAATAAAAGGTGGAGGAGGGGGTAATGGACTGTGAAATCTCATGTGATTGGCGATTCATGGCGATTCCAGCCCATGCCAACACCTTGCTAAAGCAAGAGGGACTTCTAGCAGAAGCTAGCTTTAAAATTATCTAGACTCCAGACATGATTTTGAGGGTGCGATCTTCAAAAGACATAGCGAGGGAACAGGTCCTTCTCCCCACGCGCCAGAAGATCCTTCAGGATCTTGGCCACCTGCGACGTCCCATGGATGTCTGATGTCTGATGTCACACGTCATGGATCTTGGCCTCTTCAGGCTCCCCCAGAATGAAGTAGCACTGTGCAAGAGCGCTGAGATTCACATCCTGGCACCATTTTTCTCGAAACGAAGTTTGGCCGATTAAACTGATTAAACTGATTAAACCAAGATTTTTCCACCGCACCTTCACAGAGATGTGGATATCCACCAGCGCCTGATGTCACAGAAACGAACCCAATCATTCTGTGATTCGAAACAAAAATGACCCGCAAAATCTGATCACAAGGCGGACCACTATAACATCACTATGACATCACTATGACCAGTGCAAACGGAAGAGAAGGGAATCTCACACAAAAAAGCGGCTGCACTTGATCTCTTTCTCTGCAGCTTTGCAGCTTCGCAGCCTGCAGGACGCGCTCCCTGAAAGCTTTGGATGTGAGGAGAGTCATGGCGCTGAGTTGCGCGTACCTCAGGGAGTCCGAGAGTCCGAGGGACGATGAGTTTTTGGTGGCTTGACATGACTTGACATGGCTTGACAACCAGAACACGAATCAGAAATTGCCACGGAAATATCTCTGAGGGAGTGGCTCCAACATCTCCGACAAGTTCTCACTCTTCATGATGAATTCAGTCACCTTCCAATCTTCCAACTTATTTGCTGACCTCCACCCTCTGCAAGCGGCTTTTGAGCGAATGTTCTCCGGTGAAATGTCCAACCAAAAAAAACAACCCTTCAGCCATGCCTTGTCAATCCGCCGAGTCTCCAATGCCATGCCCAAACCCTGCTTGTAGGCCTTGTCCTCCAGGGCCCAGTCCCATAGCTGATAGAGGAAATCTGCTGGAAGACAACATGAGATCCAAAAATGAGACTCGCCTGCGGCTGATTTCCTCCATCAACCTTGTTACTGACAAACCAAAAGCTAGTGCTAAACACTGGTGTTTCCTGCTATCCTTATGTTGCCCTCTCCGACCACCTCAGATCAGTGTATCTAAGTCAGAAACATCTGTGAGTGTAGCCTGGGCTTTGATAAGAATGTAAACAGAATCCAGGTGAATCATGTACCTTGGTATGAAGGAAGCCTGAAGGGTGAGAGAGCTTCAAAAGGACTTCAAAGAGGGGGTGTCAGGGAGAAGTTTTGCAGAAGCTTCTTTCCACAGCTTGAAGATGGGCATGAAGGAAGAAGTACAGCAGCATGGAAGAAAGAAATGTTGAGGTTGGCTGGGAGAAGGTGAAGACGGCTGGCCTTGAAGGAGAGCCAAGGAGAGCCAAGGAGAGCCCACAAATGCACATAACACGACGCCCCGACGCCCCCTGGCCCAGGTCCTCCAGGCATCGCAGAAACATGCGATTCACTACATCTTCGAGTCTGGAGTCAATTGGCACCGGATCCTGAAGACTTTGAGGCTTGGCACTGGACACATCTTGACACATGTGGCGGCAAACTGATCTTGACGTGGAACATCCATCTTGGCAAGCTTGGGGCACTAGCGACGTGCAGTCACAATTCAGAACACTAGGATCCCCACCTTCTTTTTCATCTCTAACTCGAAATTATCCCCTCTCAGCTTGACCTCGGTTTCAGTTTATTCCCGCTGGAGTCTGCTCTGGTGCTGGAATAACTTGTTCAAGTTGTTCCTGTTTTGCTAAGTGCACAGCATATTGATCGATGGCCACTGCAACAATCTTCTCCTTAAGAAGACATCTGGAAGCTACTGTACAAGCTTGACTTCTGATGCAAAATCTTGCAAACCCCAAGGACCCAGCCACGTACTCGGTACGTTGTGACAAATCGAAGAGCTGTCCTGTGCCATCGGACCGTGCACTACCACGCCAGTAACTCAGGACCATCGTCCAGGGCAATTTAGGTGCTTCTCATTTCCAACATATGGATAAGCACTGCCAAGTCCTGCCCCCAAGGCCAATCTTAGGGCATCGTCGTACCTGCAAAAGACATCAATTCCACTTTGTGGAACCAGCCCATGCAGTGAAAGTTTCCCCGTCCGTTTTCGCTTGATGTCTGAGGTGGTGAGGGGCGTACTCTTCCAAATGGTAGAAGACCTTTGAAGCCACAAGTGCAGCCATCTCACGACCAGAAAAGCCCGGATCCTGTGGCAAAATCAAAGTCAAAACCATGTGTATATATATATACTATAATTACATATATAATTATATAACTATAATTATATATAACTATAATTATATATATAATTCTATATACACGCAGTAGGAGGAAACAGCAGGACAATCTCAAATAGCATGCAGTTCCTCGTAGAGAGTTTCTATTTCATTGAGGTAGTCTGCGATTTCATGCCAGAACTGGTCGACCACCTGCAGGCAGCGACGCAGCGACCATATGAAGTGAATTGAGGCCAAGGCCAAGGTCTGATTTACCGACTGTCGATTGATCAATCATCTTTTTCCACATCATGAGCAGTGTAAATGCCTCACATCTGTCTATGCGGTTCGAAGGGAACGGCGAAAACAGCAGGCTGGGCACTGGGCAAACTGTTGATTTGCTCAAAACTGTGCCCCAAGTGGAAGCTTTACACAAGCCTCATTCAAGCGCTGCAGGGCAGCACATTGCAACTGGTTTTCCTGCTCTTCAAGCAAGCTGAGCACCTTGGAGCGTGTATGTCAGGGGTCCAAGAAACTTCTAGATGCTTATAGCATAGAATAGTCGTATCTTATTCACCTCGCGCCATTGTTGTTGCAATCAATAATAAGTCATCAAAGTTATTTGAGTATCTGAATAATCTTTCTGTAAGTCATGTCTGCGTGCTTTTGTTCACATTATGCCGCACTGGTCCGACTCCTGCTGGGTCGCACCGCGATTGCCCTGACCACCTCGAGTTTCTCGAGTGGCTCCAGCTGTAAAGTTAAATGGTGCGTTCCCATTAGCAGCGTGGGCAGCATGGGCAGCATGGGCAGCGTGAGCGGCGTGGGCAGCCTGGGCAGCATTTGCAGCATGAGCTGCAAAGTGCTGAGCATGGTGAGCAGCAACATTTGCTGCGTTGAATACCTGGCAGGGTTGCACAGAGGGAACACTCTAAAATTGCTTCCCATAGCCACAGGGCCAAGGGCTCCATTCAGATCATGGACACTGGAGTTCATGGTGTACTTTCGAAATAGAAACATGTGGATCAATTAGACCCCACCTGCCTGGTTTGCTGCGTTCTCAACATGTGCTTGCCAACCCTGGAAAGGGGCACCGGCATCTTGCTGTTGATTCCCAAAGAAATCCGCAAAGTTTCCGAAGTCGAAACTGCCATTGCCTCCATTTGGCTGACTTCGTTGCTGAGAAGGCCCATTTCTTCTTTCTCCAGCTGGCTGACTGGATGCCCAATCGAAATGGCGACCACACCGCGTGCAACTCATGTGATCGCAGCCTCCATTCTTTTCAATCGGTGCTTGGCATTTTGGGCATCGACGTACCCGGTCACCATCGAAGCCAGGTTTCTCCCATTCCTTTTCATGCCCAGATGGGTTTGCTTCCCAAGTATGCTCACATAAGAAACACATGGCCATACGTCTGCCACGTTCATTATATGCAACCCCAACACAGTCTGCCTTGGGACATTCTAAGACCTCAAATTTTGCATCCTTGATCAGCCGTTCACGGTGCTGTAAGTCTTTCCAGATTCTCCGAAACGCTTCAGACATGGATGCGGCGTCTTGAAATCGAATCTCATGGTCACAAGCAGGGGCGTAGATGCATGGCAATTTGTATTTCAATGAAGACCTCATCACCTGCACTTGAGATTCAAGGTGATTCCCCAAGCACGGGAAACATACTAGATGACCGCAAGTCAGAGGCCACACATCGTCATCCAAACGCCAGTTACAGCAAATCCTGCAGTAAGAAAAGAGAGAAGTCTTCTTTTTTTCGTCGTTCTCTAGCCGATCCACCAATGCTGTGAGGAGCTCCGACTTTTCGATACAGCTGCTCACGTCGACCTGTAAGTCTTTCAATAGCTTCTTGACTTCCTTTACTGTCAAGGTCTCACTAATTGCCCTTAACTCCACTGCATCCAGGGGAGGACAAGACGAACCATCCATGGCTGAGGCAAGCTGAGGCAAGCTGTACAAATCCCTGCCTTGACAGACTGCAGTTTCACAGGGAAATTGCTTTATTCAGTCAAGATTGGCTGTACACATCTGTACACTGTATAAAGACAATTCCCAGGACAATGGCACTCAATTTGAAACGACCGATGCAAACAGATGTTAATATCATATGGACGGGTTTTGAAATGCCTATGGGCCTATGGTAATCTCAGGGGATGAAGCAAGCGAAATGTTTGGTGGCTCAAGGTCAAACATCCACAAGACTTAAATTCCAAAGATGCAGCTCACAAAACAACAGAGTTGACTTCAGACACAAAGCAAATCCAAGAGATGCAATCAGAGATGCACATGAAAGACCTCTGAAAGTTGAGAACCAGGCTCCAGAGACAGAAGTGATTGCAATTGGCGGAGACAAAGTAGCAACAGCTGCCATTGCTGGCCTAGAACGAGTGCCAGAAGCGCATCACACGGGAATTCCTTTTGCAGCCACAATTTCTCGGACACCGATCTCAACACCCCCACCTCGTTGACCAACTCCGGCAGCACCCGAGCTTACAAGTGTATACAAGTGTAAACAACACAGAAACAAGGAGCTGGTGCAAGATCTATCACTGTACACTGCTTGGAGTCTGGGACAAATGTCTTAGCAGCATGTTGTAAGCCAAAAACACTGCGGGCGCTGCAGCATAACATGCGGCATGCGTAAAAACCAGCTGTGCAGCAAATCGTGCCATGTACATCTATGTACACGTAAACTACGTTTCACAAAGCTGCAATGCGAAAAGAATGCACAGAAGCTTTGAAATGCAACAAGCCAAATCCAGGTTCAAAGTACAGCAGGCAGTGCGCCAGCCATTGCGACGAATTGACCTGTGAAGTCACCACATCGATGGCACAAAACCGAAGAGCTCCAGCAACTTACTGCACTTACGAGCCTGGCCACTTCGCTCCCAACAAGTGGATTTGATCCAACAGCTCTCGACGGCCCGGGGCATATGATGCATATGTAATGGATTGTAGTGGTGTGTCCTTGACAAATTCCGGCTCATCCTGCAATGCGAAGAACATCTACAGTGGTTCGTTCCATATAACTGAAGCAAAGCAGCACATCCCTGTTCTTAGCAGAAATACCGAAATACGGCTGTTGCCCTGCTATGAACAACGGCAAGTTGCAGAGCTTGGATTTCGAGATACAATTTGAGTCAGGGGAACTCATTCTCAACAAATCAGTCAGAAACAGAAGGCTACGCCCAAGCTCCACAACGAAGCCCAGGAAACGCAACGGCTCGGATTTCAAAGGCTGTCTGGCCAGCGGCAATGAATTGAAGATATTCATGTCGGCACAAAAAAAGCCGATTTGTCCTAAAAAGGCAACGATGGTTGCCTAGTATTGCTAGGCTTTCTGCCTAGTTGAAAAGGGCTCTCAGAAGTGAACGCGAGAGATGTGAGACTGTATTGGTTCCTGGGACAACTGCCAAGACATCCTTGACACAAAGGCCACCCCAGGCCGTTTGCACTACAGGCCGTTTTGACATGGGCTATGCAATTTTAGTTACCCACTAAACCCTTCCTTGGACGCGGTATATCCCTTGAAATGCATTTGCATTTCACTCTTGTTTAATGGCAACCCTCTAGAGGGATATCTTCCTTACACTGGTGCTGTTACAACCACTCCGGTCGACACCGATTTCAGAAAGGCAATGTGCAAATCTATTTTGAGTGCATGACCTGACACATTGGACATCTGTACGGTCGAAGTTTTCCTCTGCAGCCTGTGCTCTCAAACATGGACAGCACACAACCAGAATGAAACTTCACGGTTCCAAGTGATGCATTTTATGCAGATCGCAGTTCAAATATGAGGCGTGCTCAAAAACTGAAAAAAAAAAAAAAAACAATGTTTTCTCTGGTTTATAGTTTCTCACTGAATTTTCGCTCGTCTCAGCTACTGGGATAACTGAAACTTCACCGCAAGTGTCCCTGCTGGCCTTCGCAAACACATAGGTGCTGACATGGAAGGAACAAAACTACCTGGAATGTTCGGGGGAAGCATCTCATGCAAAAAGCGGGTTCTACTAGTGGATACTTTTGTGCAGGCACAGAAGAGTTACGTACAGACTGAACCAGGACGTCTTAGATCCTATCGAGAAAAAAATGGCAGTCCTTCTTCGCGTCTCTGCACACGGCACACAACTGCTGCTCAAGCCTGCTGTAGCATGGTAGAACTAGCCAGTTCAGCCATCAAACAATGAGGAGGGAGGAACTCTCACCAAAAAAAAACGAACAGTCTGGGTCGTCGAAAGGCTGTGACATCTCCTCAGCATACTCTTGATGTCCCTGCGATAGGCGATAGACCACAACAACAACAACAACAGCAAGAACAAGAACAAGAAAAAGAATAAGAAAAGAAGAAGAAGAAGGAGAACAGCAAGAACAGCAAGAACAACAAGAACAGCAAGAACGGCAAGAACAGCAAGAACAACAAGAACAACGAGAACAAGAAGAACAAGAACAAGAACACGAACAAGAACAAGAACAAGAACAAGAGCATCATCACAACTATAACCAACACCAAAATCTACTCTCTTCATACCACTCTTTTGTTTACGATTTGCGGGGTTCCTCAGCCGAGGAGCAAAACCCTCTGAGGGCTCGGCTCGTCTCGAAGCTGACTTCGATTTCTTCTTGCCCTTGCCTTGGCCAACGCTGGTTGGCTTACGACAGTTCGATATTCAGTTGGATATCCCATGAATATTCGAGTGAATGTACTGTGTATATATATATATATACATATTTATATATATATATATTAACCCAGCTTTGCAAGCAACCCAACGGCAGGTTCCAGGGTTCCAAGGTTGCAATGTTGTCAGGCAAGGTTCCAAGGTTGCAGATTTCGAGAGTTCCAAGGTTCCAGAGTTCTAGATTACCAGGGTTCCGGGGTTCCAAGGCTCTAAGGTTGCAAGAGACCCAAGTTTGGGGTTCCACCATTCCATAACTCTAGAATCTCATACTTCCAACAATCCAAGTTTCCTGCTCCCAAGATTCCATGGACCAAGGGAGTCATATTGTGAGAGTCCCAAAATTCAAAGTTTCAGGTAAAGCTTGAGGATTCCCAGTGCAGGTTCCAAACTTGCAAAGAGTCGAAAGTTTCAGGGTTCTAGCTCCAGGGTTGCAGGATTCTAAGGTTGCAGGGTTCCAAGGTTCAAAGGTTACACGGTTACAAGCCTTGCAGGAAGTCTTGCAGGAACCTTTCCGAAAGCCACAACAAAATTCAGCAAGGGATCGTCGTCTTTTTTGCCTGCCACAAAAGAAAAACAAGTCCAGAAATTATCCTCACATAGGTTCCAGCAAGGTTGCAACCCGGTTCCAGCAAAAAATCCAGCCAGACTTCCAACATCACAACCCGGCACAGTAAGCAAAGCAAGAAACAATGCAAAAAGAAAAACAAAATCGACGCCCGCATTGGTTCCAAGGCAAATGTTCCAGCCAGAGGTTCCAGCAACAGGGTTCCAGCAACAGGGTTCCAGCGAGGTTTCCAGCAAGGTCACACCACGTTCCAGCAAGGGTTCACCAGGTTCCAGCAAGGTTCCAGCAGAGTTCTCTCAGGGCTCCAGCAAGGTTGGAGCAAGACTTCAGCGACTTTCCAGCAAGATTCCAGCAAGGTTTCACCGGTTTCCCAGGGGTTCCAGCAAAGTGCCAGCAATGTTCCAGCAAGGTTCCAGCAATGTTTTCCCAGCGGGGTTCTAACAAGGTTCCAGCAATGTTCCGGTGACTTTCCAGCAAAGTTCCAGCAAGGTTCCAGCAGTGACCAGTTTTCCGGAGCATGCAATTTGCTGGCACCGCTCCCCACCCCAGAGATTGAAACCCAACAGAATCGCTGTTGGGCTGTTGGGAATACGAAAGCATTCCATCAAGGTTCAAACAATCTTCATCTTCACCCCCCAATTACCGTAACAACGTAGCACATTAAGCGAAGGAATATATAATCATTGAAATTAAGCAAATAACAGAACAAAAATAAAACTATGAAACTCTAAAACTTGTCTTCGGGCTCAAAAGCACAACGGGCTCAAAAGCACAACGAGGCACCGTAACCAAAGCGGAAACACATGCAGCAAAGCCCACTCCACCGAAATCAAATTCAATACACTGTCTCTCCCTACCAGACCGACCCTCGATACCAGCAGTTCCAACATGGTTACAGTGGGGTTCCAGCAAAGATCCAGGCAGGTTTCAGGAAGGTTCCAGGACAGTTCCAACAAATTTCCAACAAAGCTCTTTCCAGGAAGGTTGCAGCAAGGTTCCGGGAACCTTCCAGGGCTGTTCCGGTTTTTCGGCGCGTGCATTTTCGTGTCACCACTGCCCGGCCCCAGAGATTGAAACCCAGAAGATTCGCTGTTGGGAAAGAATATAATATATATATATATATGTATATACATAGTAAAATATAGTAAAATATCGCATCCTAAATGTAGAATGTATAATGTGTATATATATATATGCTATATATATATATGCTATATATATATGCTATATATATATATTATATTAGTCAATATTAGTCATATATGTATATACATAGTAAAAAATAGTCCGAGTACAACTCCGGCAAGATGAGCTTGCCGAGCTTGCCACTCGTGATTCTGCTTGGAGACCAGCGATGCCGGGTACGGCAACCTTTCAACAAGGGGCTGCTGTCAACTTGGTCCGCTCCACTAGCGAAAATCAAGATTTGAATGCGCCGCAAAGAATCTGCCCTTTGACAAGGTTGCGCAAAGCCTCCAAGATATGGTCCATCTCTTCACAGGTCACATCCTCAAGCCTTGTTGATATGCATGGCAACATGCTTCGGTGCAAAAAACAACTCACTTGAGATCGCAGCCCCTTCGATTGACGCCCAAGTAATCTCCACCACTTGGCATCCTGAATGTCTCACTACCAAGATCATGCTGAATTACCAAGCTGCGCGATAAAGGTGCAAGAACCTCTCCTTGCGCAATGAGCATAGCTCCTCCTCCTGCTGTTGGATTCTTGATTGATGTTGAAGCACCTGCATACATTTGACTCTGGTATTTACACCCTTCGGACATTTGAGAAGTTTCGAAGTGCCGCTGAGCCAAGCGAAAGTGCCTGGAGAACCATCTGCAACAAAATGCAGTGTTTTCTGACTGGCCTCTGCAGACAGCTTTTCGACCTCCGCTTCTTCTTGCCGAAGCCTTCCAAACTCCGATTGGTTTTGATCAAAGGATTCAATGGTGGTCAGTGCTACAGAGAAATATCCGAAAACCAAAACCTGAAGCTGCAATCTGAATTCACGATCTCCTGCCTCTCTTGAAACTGCAGTGTCTGTCCCCATTCTGCCGCCTCAGGAGTCATTCGATGTGAGGTTAAAAATCCGTGTGCTGGGCTTAGCAATCGGTGCACAAGCCATGAAACTGCGCCATCCCACCATGATACCGTGATGGTCTTGAAGCTGCAGGCGCAGCACCTGCAGTATAGACGGACTCAGCAAGGAATCTAAGTCGCGCCATTCTATTGATGTCTTTCCAGCCTCGTTCTCTTTCTCTAGCCTGAAAAACAAAGGTAGCAGAGTTTCCAGCAATGTCTGATTGTCAAATTGAAGTCGGAATATCAAGCATTCAAGTGTCATTCAAGTGTCAGAGAATACCCATTCTTTTGAAGCACGATGCCTTGCTTGCGGATCCTTGGATTGAACCCTGTGACAATGCACTTGCTTCGAACGAAAGATGTGCAATACATCCCCAGAAGGCCTGTCACTGAGATTTTCGCAACGCATCTAGCTACTTACCACACTAATCTTTACAAGTTAGAACAGTTAGACAGCTTCATTGATTCATTGACCTTGGGCCAAAATTTGGGGTCCTAGAATCCTGATCAACAGCTACGAGGTGTACTTCCCTCCAGGCCTCCGTCTTTCGAGGTGTACTTCTTCATGCTCACGTTTGAGCTCCTGGCAAGGAATTCCTTGCCAAGTTCTGCATCATTTGTGCAACACACTGTAGCTACAAATGTCACAGTAGAGACAGTCCAAGTTTTGATTATCGGTGTATCTACTGCAATTCTCTAACCCCACTCCCCATAAACTCCCGCCTCTACGGAAACTGCTAAAGCTTCGGCAGCTGCACGGTCTGCTTTCCCACGGCGTCTCGCTTCAGCGAGTTCCTGCATCTATAAGAAAACTTGTGGCGGAAAAGTCACACTTTTAACCTGTAGAAAGTTGACATCATGTTTCATTGCATTTCACTCTAGTCTATTCCCAGTTGCACATCATTATGTCCAACAAGGTCCGAAAGTTTGAAATTAGTTGAACTCAAAACGTGAAGAATTCAATGATGAATGCAGAGAGGATCTGCAGGACAGCCTCATTTAAAGCAACTCGTTCAGCTTCGTGTTGAGCCTGGATTCTGACGGCAAGGCACTGAATGAGCCCATCAAATGGCTATGAATTGACCTGGAACAATTCGAAACCCAAACGTCGCAGTTGAAGATCATAGAAGCAAAACAGGAACCGCGCGGACACAGCAAATATGTATACATATGTTATATAAATGTATGTGTATATATTATTATATATTGTCTGTATTCAATTTTGCTGAGTATGCTTGAGGCTACCAACTTGCAGTCGCAGTTCGAAGCAACTGCTTGCAAGATGTTGCAAGGAGGATTTAAGGCTAAGGATTCCGCACCTGGACAGTTTCTTCATCCAACAGCAGCAAAGGCTCATCCTTGGATTAACATTCCAAAGACTCATCTGGGTTTGTCCAAAGATCTCCTAATGTTCATGGGGAGCATGATAACTACAGGATTTTGGGATAGTGGGATACCCTTTTTCACATCAAATTATCAAACCACCCCTGTTGTAAGTCTGTACTCAATGCACCAAATGGAAGATGGAAGAGTCTTTGCTGATCTGAATCGCTTTTTTTGTGTAAAAGCCACTAAGGCATCCACAATAGAAGCTGGCTGAGACAGGAATACCTAAAGACCATTGAAGGGCAGCAAAGCCGTCAGGGAATGTGTTGCCCACCAAATGATCGGTCGCACTCCATGTGGTGATGCTTGGACAGTTCCTGCAGGTGATCCAGGTGCCTGTGGAGTGTGCCTAGGAGTACAAAGATCAACTAAGCTTCAACGAAGATCAATGGGAAAAAAACAAAGAATGCTCAGTTGCTGCCAGTTGCTGTACGAGTAGTTCCTCAGTCGTCCTCTTGTCAGAAGAGAGCAACAGGTCTCGGTGACTCTCGATGGAATTCAGGTTTCGGACACACCGGATGGCTCTGCAGAAGAGGCTCGGTCACGCAAGTCCTGAGGCGATTGTCTCATAGGACCTCCGAATGTCTGAGAGCTGGCTTCCTGTTCCCTGCCTCATCCTCACTTTCCCCCTGGCAGGTTCGAGCGCCAAGACATTCACCGTGAATGAAACAAAAAGCGAAAATCCCTGATCCATGCGACTGCGGTCGCCTCCATCTCTGAATGAAAAGTCCATGAAAGGCATTGGACCGTCTTTTACTTTGGCCAAGCTAGTCCAACAAGCTGTATGCCATCATTTATATCATATTATCCCTCCACATGACGGAGAACTGTAGATTCAGTGCCGAGCACTGCGGCATATTTCCGGGGAATTTTCAGAGATTCATCGATTCATCTGACTGCATGTCTGTGCCCCCCCGTCCCTCAACACTGCTAAAAAGTCTTCAGAGAACGGTTGAGCCAAATTGTGAAAGTCAGGAAAATGCCTTGAACTGTTACTTTCCAGACCATCTGAAACACCATAGAAGCAACGAGACAGCAAAGTTCCAAATTCATGTTCTCACTGGCAGAACTGAGCAGAAACGGCGATCGATAGTTTTTTTTTGCTGCCAGCTGCAGCAACATTGGCTGGACAACTGATAGACAGGTCTGAAACAACGAAAGCTATAGCTACAAAGTGGTGTCCTACTTTGGTAGCCTTGTGGCTCGAACCTGAAATGTAGCTGCATTTTTCAATCGCGAACAGGTTCACAACACATGCCACCTTGCAACGATCAAAGCCACCACGGCTTCGAAGAAGCTGCAACTCAGCGTGCAGAATGACATTGACCTGTGCCAGATTCTGCAAGAAGCTCTGCGCTAAGTGATTTCAGACGGCTGGAAATGCTGCTGGCAGAATCTAAGGCTCATCACGCTCTACATATTGTTTCGAACTTTCATGTGTAAGCGTGAGAGGGAATGTTGAAGAGTCCAGGAAGGAGCTACGCCCACAGTGCTACTGGCACTGAAACAGTGAGCCAAGTACAAATGAGACCAAGGTGACAGATTGTGACATGGCAATTCCTACAGTGTTGGTCGGTTCTTCGTATAGAGCACAGGGCAAAGCAGCTGATGCGAGTCTAAGCATTTCACTCTGTTGGCCGAAGTGGGACCCGTCTGTGTGCACCTTTGGATCAAGCCAGTCATCAGCGAAAGAGTTGAAATTCAAAGATCGCTTGACAGCTGTGAGCCGAGAGTCTGCCTGGGGGTCAGCGAAGCAGTTCTCGGCAACGCAAAGCCTCAGCAGAATATCTTCACTAATCGCGCACGCTGACAATAAAAATTGATTCCGATTTATTAAAAGAGACAGCAATAATTGAAATAGCATCAGCACAAAAATGAGAAGACGTAGGGACAGTGAATACATCCTGCGTATTTTCATTGTTCATGTAGGTTGCTTCGTTGAGGTGTGTATTGATGTGTTTTTCCTAGCTCGCCTTCGGGTTTTGTTCTTGTGCCTGTTGCAATTGACCGCTTTTTTGGTGCATGTAGTTTGACAGGACAAAATTGGATGTATCCTTTCCCCCTTCATGCCATCTGGATCCAGTTGGTTCTTTTGGAAGACTTGTTTGAGTCCCTCCATAGCTCCAGCTGCACATAAGTCTGTATGAGTTTGTAAGTTTTTGTCTTGTATTTTGGAGGGTTTCTCCTTTTAAATTGAACTTATCGCACATTCAATTTATTCCAGGTGTGCTGCTCTGATTGACTCTGTCCCATGCAGATATGTATGCGGGTATGTAATGGTATATATGCCCAACATTTGATAGAACCCTTGAAGGAGAGGACGATGTCGGAATGCCCAAAGCGTAGGACAGTCCCCGAGGCTCATCAGTTCTCATTGAGACTGGAATCATACACGCATATTATATTATATAATTTATATATATATACATAAGTATTCTATTGAAAAAAGGAGGCCAGGCTGACCAAAGGCGGCTAAACAGCATGAGTCAAGATGACGATTTGGTTGGAGAAAGAAACTGCAAAAAGGGTCGCATGAAGTGTTGACTGCTTTGGCCCCGAGTTACATTTTTCACACAATATCGTCCACCAAAAGTATTCGACAACAGGTGCTCGATGGCACCAACCTTGCCTCATAGCATCTCTTCCGGAGCTGGAAACCCATGAAGCTCCAGCCCTGGGCTGTCCCAACTGCCAAACGAAGGAAGATCCCGTTTTTGACGGCTTTGACTGTTTTGACTTGTTTGCATCTCTTGAAATCTCTTGAACAAAACTTGCACAAGAAGGGACTCCAGCTACCACTAGTTTTTCGTGATGTGTCTTGTGGAGTTCCCTGTTGACCTACATGTTCCTGCATCCAGAAGAAATAAGCTTCAGTGGTAACCCCAACAGCCGCAACGACTAATTTTTACAAATATTTCTGCAGCGTGCTGCGAAGCCAAGCGCTGGAAACACCTCAACCTGCTCCAAAGCCTCACAGACCTACTCCGGAACCTTCTCTGGAACCCTGTTGAACCTAACATGGCTCTGCACAAAGCCTCCCGGAACCTTCTCCGGAAACTTCTCCGGAACCCTGTTGAACCTGACCTGCCTCCGCACCAAAGCCTCCCAGACCTTCTCCGGAACCTCTCCGAAACGGCTCTGCACCAAAGCCTCCCAGGCCTTCTCCGGAACCTGCTATACGGAACCCGGTTTCCTGGAACCTTCTCCGGAACCTTCTCCGGAAACTTCTCCGGAACCCTGTTGAACCTGACCTGCCTTCGCACCAAAGCCTCCCAGACCTTCTCCGGAACCTCTCCGAAACGGCTCTGCACCAAAGCCTCCCAGGCCTTCTCCGGAACCTGCTATACGGAACCCGGCTTCCTGGAACCTTCTCCGGAACCTTCTCCGGAACCTTGTCCGGAACCCTGTTGAACCTGGCCTGGCTCTGCACCAAAGCTTCCCAGACCTTCTCCAGAACCTTCTCCGAAGCCCTGTTGAACCTGACTTGGCTCTGCACCACCCCACTAGACTAGGTTAGACTATTATATTTTAGATTAAAGTTAAAAAAATAATCTTTTATCTAAATAAGCTTCGGTGGTATCCACAACAGCCGCAGCGTTTTATTTTTAATTACAAATCTTTCTGATGCGTGCTGCGAAGCCAAGCGCTGGAAACACCTCAGCACCAAAGCCTCCCAGACCTGCTCCAGAACCTTCTCCGGAACCCTGTTGAACCTGACCTGGCTCCGCACCAAAGCCTAACGGCCTAACGTTCTCCGGAACCCTGTTGAACGTAACCTGGCTCTGCACCAAAGCCTCCAAGACCTTCTCCGGAACCTTCTCCGGAACCCTGTTGAACTTGACCCGGCTCTGCACCAAAGCCTCCCAGACTTTCTCCAGAACCTTCTCCTGCACCAAAGCCTCTCTGGAACCTTCTCCGGAACCCTGTTGAACCTCAGCTGGCTCTGCACCAAAGCCACCCAGACCTTCTCCGAAACTGGCTCTGCACCAAAGCCTCCCAGACCTTCTCCGAAACCTTCTCCGGAACCCTGTTGAACCTGACCTGGCTCTGCACCAAAGCCGCCCACCAAAGCCGCCCAGACCTTCTCCGGAACCTTCTCCTGAACCCTTTTGAATTGACCTGGCTCTGCGACAAAGCCTCAGAGAGACACCTTCTCCGGAACCTTCTCCGGAGCCCTGCTGAACTTGACCTGGCTCTGCACCAAAGCTTCCCCGACCGGCTCCAGAACCTTCTCCGGAACCCTGTTGAACCTGACTTGGCCTTGCACCACAGCCTCCCAGACCTTCTCCGGAACCTTCTACCCTGTTGGCTCTGCACCAAAGCTTCCCCGGAACCTTCTCCGGAACCTTCGCCCGAACCCTGTTGAACGTGGCCTGGCTCTGCACCAAAGCCTCCCAACCTTCGGAACCTTCTCCGCAACCTCCTTGAACCTGACCCGGCGCCTGCACCAGTTCACACCGGAGCTATTCTGGGCTGAAGACCCCATCAGCTTACGCTGTTGGGGAAAAATGTAAGATTTAAAAAAAAAAACGACTTCTTTTATCGTCCGATTATTTTTAAAGACTGTGTTTTTCTCGTACCACTATTTTTTTTGGACTATTTTTTCGACTATTTTTTGAGATTATGTTTTATCTATAACCGAATGAAACTTCCACTTAAACTGCTACCAAACTTCCACTTTTTTAAGGGTAGAAGAGTGGAAACTTCCACTTTTTAAGTGTCACTTCCACAAAACTTCCACAAAGAAGTTTAGGAGAAGTTTAGTGGAAACTTCTACTTTCGAAACGGTGCCTACGATAATTATCGTATACTCTTATTTTTGTTGAAAAATAAGAGTTGAAACCTTAAAATTTTATCGTCGAACAATAAAGAATAGTTTTAAAAAAATGGTCGAATTAGACTATTTTCTTAAAACGATAAAATTTTAAGTTATTTAAAAATGTCTAACCTAGTCTATTGGGTTCTCCAAAACCTTCTACGGAACCCGTGGAACCTGACTTGGATTTGCACCAAGGCTTCCTGGAACCTTTTCCGGAACCTTCTCCGGAACCCTGTTGAACCTGACCTGCCTCTTCACCAAAGCCTCCCAGACCTTCACCGGAACCTTCTCCGGAACCCTGTTGAACCTGACCCCAAAGCCTCTCAGATCTTCTCCAGAACCTTCTCCGGAACCCTGTTGAACCTGACCTGGCTCTGCATCTCCGGAACCTTCTCCGAACCCTGTTGAACCTGACCTGGCTCTGCACCAAATCCTCCCAGACCTTCTCCAGAACCTTCTCCGGCACCTTCTGCAGAACCTTGTTGAACCTGACTTGGCTTTGCACCAAGGCTTCCTGGAGCCTTCTCCGGAAACCTTCTCCGGAACCCTGTTGAACCTGACCTGGCTCTGCATCTCCGGAACCTTCTCCGGAACCTTCTCCGGAACCTTCTCCGGAACCCTGTTGAACCTGACCTGTCTCCGCACCAAAGACCTTCTTCGGAACCTTCGGAACCTTCTCCAGAACCTTGTTGAACCTGACCCGGCGCCTGCACCAGTGCACACCGGAGCTATTCTGGGCTGAAGACCCCATTAGCTTACGCTGTTGGGGAAAAATGCTACTCAGCTGAATGACCAAAAGAAACAACATTTCGATGCAGATTGGCTTGGACAAGAGCTTCATCGGCAGAGCTGTCACATTTTCCAAGTTTGTCTTGAAACCTTAAAACTTAAAACGATTGACCTCCCAATGCGACTAAGTCTGCAATGCATTGTCACACTGCATACTCGCAGCACTTGAAAACAAAGATGCCTTCACCATCATGTGGGGATCAAACAAATGACAAGCACGTATCTGAGGTGCCTGGAACAGTTGCTCCAATGATGTGAGTCCAGATCAGACACTCATGCGCAGCAGAGTTGAAGTTGATTCCTTTGCATGTGGCATCACTCTCACACTGCGATTGGCAATTCTCGATAGAGTGTGCCGATCCCTTGCGGTAATGCGATGGCGAGATGTCAGTTGTGTTGTCACCTCGACAGGCAGTACCTGGGCCACCCTGGAACGATGAGATGATGTCAGAGAAGACAGGATGTTGCACATTGCGGTAACATTCGAAGCCAGCGACAGTGGCAACAGACTGGATGCCATTTGGCCGTGTCCAAATTTCACAGCGACCAGTCGAATTAAACTCCACACCACGGCATCGCCGAGGATTCCTGCTGCATTGTCTCTGACACTCCTCAAGACTTGCTGCAAGGATTACCACGTAGTAGGCCACGGAATTGTCGCTTGGGTTGGCACCGCGACAGGCACTGTCAGCTTGGACAAGGATCCAATCGCCAGTGGATGTGCTGGTAGGGGTCGGAGTGGTTGTCGTGGCTGTGCCGGTAGGCGAGAAACTGTAGACTGCTCCCCACTGCCATTCTGAGGGAGTGCAATCATCCGCTGCACACTTGCAGTTCTTGTCTCCATTCTTCACCCAAACAATTCTAGTCATCGTGTCTTGCTTGGGCGATTCATGGCAAAGCTTCGCACATTCCTCAGCAGTGCTCGTTTGTCCCAACCACTTTGTTGCTGGGGAGCACGTATGCCCATCCCAGAGAAGGTGAATTGTGAACGAAGATGCCGTTGTGGTAGTCGTCGTCGTAGCGGAACTGGTAGGCGCAGTGGTAGCCGTAGACACCGTTGAGGTGGTAGGAGTCGTCCCCTGAACCTTGACATAGCACCGGAAATAGTCTTGCCACACGTGATCTTTCGTCCGCCCATCTTCGCTTTTTGCTGGCGCAACCCCATTACCACTGAGTGTAACTCCATCTCCGGGATAGGCGTACCTCATCTGGTACAGCCTCAGCTCTTCGGTCCAGTCACCCTGACAACCGCAACAGCCAGATGAGCTGGACGAGCTGGACGCGGATGCTGAAGATTCTTGCACCAACGAACCATAATCAACGGGCTCACATTCGGTTCGGAAAGCTATGGCATGGCAGTTGGGGTCATCAAGGCAAAGCTGAACAACCCGGTCATAGCTCAAGTCAAAAGTGTCCTTCATTGTCAGGTAAGCTTCTGGATCTCCGCCTACGCAAGCTGTGCCTGCACCAGCATCGGTCATGACAGCCGCCCATGTTGTGGTCCAAGTGGTTGAAAGTGGGGCCGGCGCCTGTACCATACAAGTGTTTGCACACTCAGGCATCCCAGGCATCCCCATCACCACATTGGCCGAACCGCTGTCCCCCAAGTTGTTGCAAAGCGAGTTGGGGAAGTCCGAATTGCAATAGTATCTGACATTGCATTCTGATGCGAAACCAGGATTCCACTCCCCTCCTTCCATCCATGATGTGGTGCACGACAGCTTCTGGTAACCGCTGCAAGTTGGCTCCCTTAGGCAATTCGACTGGATGCTTTCTTCCAGCTCTTCCAGGCTGCTCCAAGGTGGTGAGACATAATAGCCATAAGACTGGTCCCAGATGGGCCTTTTGAAGAGCCGCTCATGACTATACGCTGGGGACAAACCAGCTGAATCTCGGCAGCACCCAGCTCCGCCTTCTTGGAATGTGGGTCCACCAGTTGTTGTAGTTGTCAGTGCTGGTGGTGCTGGTGGTAGTGGTTGTAGTTTTATAGAAACTGTAGACCGCTCCCCACTGCCATTCTGAGGGAGTGCAATCATCCGCTGCACACTTGCAGTTCTTGTCTCCATGCTTCACCCAAACAATTCTAGTCATCGTGTATTGCTTGGGCGATTCATCACAAAGCTTCGCGCATTCCTCAGCCGTGTCTGTTTTCCCCAACCAGGGGGCTGCTGGTGAGCAGGTATGCCCGTCCCACAGAAGGTCAACCGCCCAAGGCCACACTGTGGTTGTGGTCGTGGTTGGAATGTTGAAAGTGTAGACTTGGATGCCTTTGCTTGCCATATTGTCCATAGTTTTGGCATGAAACTTGGTCTTGTGCTGTATCAGCTGCAAGCCACGCCGGGGAGGGCAACCGGACTGTGATCCTCCACTGCACCCGTAGTGCAAGAAAGCAATCACAAAAGCAACTCGCGCCATGGCGAAATGACCGGTGCGGTACCGATAAGAAGTGTTACATGGCTGCAAGTCGACATGTACTGTGCACCAGCAATGTAAGCAAACCATCAGAAAACATCAGTTGTGATTGGAAAATTGTTGGATGTATCATTAAATAAGTATGTTGTGCTGTATACTCATATACATGATTCTTACATTATAATATGACATTGATAATACATTGTCCGGTGTTCCACAACAGCAACGCCAGTCTCTGAACAACCAATGGCCTGACGCGCAGGGGCCTTATGTCCTGGTGGCCAGCACCTGAGAACAAGCAGAATCCTTTGAAGATCATTTCAGCACCCCAGAACTTACAACCATTTCAGGAAACTTCGGAAACTATCACATCCAAAATCGTCAAATGATCCTTAAATGCGCCTGCACATGCTGGCTAAACAGGAGGATGGACAAAGAGAACAAAAGTGTCAAAACTCTGGAGCTGCAAGAGCCACAAGTCCAATGGAAATTCGGTGGTGCTCTTCTGTCAAGCGATCCTTGTCGTGTCTAGGTTGAACTCATCCCTCTTTCACTCGGCAAAACACCTACCCAGGGGTGCAAGTCTTGGCTGCATGCAATGTAGTGAAACAATATGTTTGAAATTCAAATTGTCTGACTCAATCTATATCTACATCTCTCGCTGGCTCCCTCTCTCTCTCTCTCTCTATCTCTCTCTTTATCTGTTTATCTAATCTAGTCTTATCTAATCTAATCTACTCAGCTTTACTCCAAACGAATCTGATCCATATACTTCTATACATATCGACATACAATCCATCCATCCATCCATCCGTCCGTCCGTCCGTCCATCCATAATTTCATGATTACATAATTACATTGTAATTATATAGTTACATTGTTACATAATGTTACATGGCTACATAGTTACATAAGAATAACACAACAAAAATAACACAATAACATAATAATAACATTACAGCATACATACATGACATGACATTACATTGCATTACATCGCATTATGTCACATTACATGACACTACATTGCCTCACATGACATGACATTGCATTGCATCTTTTTGAATCAAGAAGTGACTCCAAACCGATTCAGCATGACACGGGATGGCTCTGCAGAAGAGACTCACAGGACCTCCGAATGTCTGAGAGCTGGCTTCCTGTTCCCTGCCTCATCCTCACTTTCCCCCTGGCAGGTTCGAGCGCCAAGACATTCACCGTGTCGTGAAACAAAAAGCGAAAATCCCTCCATGCGACTGCGGTCGCCTCCATCGAATGAAAAGTCCATGAAAGGCATTGGACTGTCTTTTACTTTGGCCAAGCTAGTCCAACAAGCTGTATGCCATCATTTATATCATATGATCCCTTCACATGACGGAGAACTGTAGATTCAGTGCCGAGCACTGCGGCATATTTCCAGGGAATTTTGAGAGATTCATCGATTCATCTGACTGCATGTCTGTGCCCCCCCGTCCCTCAACACTGCTAAAAAGTCTTCAGAGAACGGTTGAGCCAAATTGTGAAAGTCAGGAAAATGCCTTGAACTGTTAATTTCCAGACCATCTGAAACACCATAGAAGCAACGAGATAGCAAAGTTCCAAATTCATGTTCTCAACTGAGCAGAAACGGCGATCGAAAGAATTTTTTGCTGCCAGCTGCAGCAACATTGGCTGGACAACTGATAGACAGGTCTGAAACAACGAAAGCTATAGCTACAAAGTGGTTTCCTACTTTGGTAGCCTTGTGGCTCGAACCTGAAATGTAGCTGCATTTTTCAATCACGAACAGGTTCACAACACATGCCACCTTGCAACGATCAAAGCCACCACGGCTTCGAAGAAGCTGCAACTCAGCGTGCAGAATGACATTGACCTGTGCCAGATTCTGCAAGAAGCTCTGCGCTAAGTGATTTCAAACGGCTGGAAATGCTGGAGCCTTGAGCTGTTTGCCGCAATCCAGTGCTAGAAACCTTAGCATCGAGTAAGCTTCGCTCCTCACCCCCCCCTCACCAATCTCCACGGGTGCCAGCTGGCAGAATCTAAGGCTCATCACGCTCTACATATTGTTTCGAACTTTCATGTGTAAGCGTGAGAGGGAATGTTGAAGAGTCCAGGAAGGAGCTACGCCCACAGTGCTACTGGCACTGAAACAGTGAGCCAAGTACAAATGAGACCAAGGTGACAGATTGTGACAGGGCAATTCCTACAGTGTTGGTTGGTTCTTCGTATAGAGCACAGGGCAAAACAGCTGAGGCGAGTCTAAGTATTTCACTCTGTTGGCCGAAGCGGGACCCGTTTGTGTGCACCTTTGGATCAAGCCAGTCATCAGCGAAAGAATTGAAATTCAAAGCTCGCTTGACAGCTGTGAGCCGAGGGTCTGCCTGGGGGTCAGCGAAGTAGTTCTCGGCAACGCAAAGCCTCAGCGGAATATTTCTACAATAAAAAGTGATTCCGATTTGCTAAAACCGACAGCAATGATAGCATTGATAGCATCAGTGAAAAATCTCAGGAATTAGGACAGTGGACGTAGGGAAAGTGAATATGTATGTATGTCTGTATGTATGGTTAGCATGGCATGGCATGGTAGGTTGATGTCAAGGTTTCCTGAAATGGGGGTACCCCCAAATCATCCATTTTAAGTGGATGTTCCATTATAAACCGTCCATTTTTTCTGGGAACCCCCATATATGGAAACCTCCATTTATGTACCTATGTCTGTATGTAGTAGGTCTGTAAGTAGGTCTGTACGTAGGTCTGTACGTAGGTCTGTAATTAGGTCTGTACGTAGGTCTGTACGTAGGTCTGTACGTAGGTCTGTACGTAGGTCTGTACGTAGGTATGGAGGTAGGTAAGTAGGTAGGTAGGTAGGTAGGGTAGGTAGGGTAGGTAGGTAGGTAGGTAGGTAGGTAGGTATGCAGATAAGTAGGTAGGTATGTAGGTATGTAGGTATGCAGGTATGTAGGTATATACGTACGTACGTTTGTATGTATGCATATGTATTTAATTGTATTTATGTATGTACGTATGTACGCATGTATGTATGACAATGTATGTCGGCCTCAGACCAGGAATGAAAGACAACTTTGAAACCTCATGCTTGAACCCATCTACCAACAAAAGACTGCGAGCAAATCCCACGTGCATCATATATATATACATATATATAGTTATATATATATGTACTGTATATATATAGTGAATGCAGCATGTCACTTGTTGGGAAATAAATTTATAAACGAATCTCAGTTTGAAGCTCAACGCAGATGAGGCAATCGAATATCCCAGACTCGTTCGGCTTTCACTGGATCTCCTTCCAAGTGGGCATTAGAAAGTACATTGAATTTGCCACACATTCGTAGTTCTTGGTTCTGTGAGACGAACGTCCTGCTATCTTTGGGATCCGTTCGCAATGGTCTAGACCTCGTCTAGACCACACTCCCTAGACTTTCTTGACAAGAATGCACATGGATTCTATTGAATTCTGATCTGCCTTTTGCAAAGGAAAGCCAATGCTCAAAGTTTCGCTTGAGGCAGAAGTAATATCCCAAGCTCAGGACAGTTGCGGGCACGGTCGTGAATCACAGCTTTGACCTCTCAGAAGACTCTTCATGAGACGTGGAAGTGCTTCGCTTAGAACAGTGTGTGTGGGTGTGTGTGTGTGTATGTTTAGTTGGACATCTCAGAATGCGCCTTGAGGAGCCCGAGGATGGCTGGCTGGATCAGTCTGACAGTTTCAAGGGGTCACATGGCTTGGACGCACAGAACTCATCCCTTTTGGGTCATGAGACCTGAGATGCAAACGCATCTCATGTCACTTTGATCACTTCACAATTTGATACAATTTGAAACTGATGCAACTGAAAGTCAAGAATTAAACAAAGTCATCACAGAATTCGCCTCCAATGATGCAGGCCAGCTTGGCTCAGCCTCAATAGAACTGACTCCATTGGATCTATCACCTCAGCCTAAAGTCAAACTGCTCAACAGCAACGATCCAACACCAGACTCGAAATCCTTGGGCCACCCCTCCTCAGATCGATTGGAACTTCTTCGTACTTGCTCCTCAAACTCAGAGCATGACGAATGAGAACAGAGCTCAATGGCAAGGCACTACTGACCTTTTCTTGCCATGAAGTTCTCCTCAGGTGCCCCTACCAAGTGTAAGGCATAACTACACAGCATATCCAGGTTGATCTGGAAAAATTGATTGAAATTGTCATCCCGATGAATCAGGACTATGTCTAGCTCAGAGACATACTTGGCAGCTTGCAATTAAGCCATACGGATGATGGCTGAATCGAGAAAAATGGCAGCCGCGTGACCACGGGACATCACCACAACCGTGGCACAACAATCAATCTGGGAGACAAACACAAAGGCTTTGCAGGCATGGACCAACGAAGCTACGCACAAGTGTGTATAAACATGCATGCTTCTTGCATCATATGTATATATGTATATGATATGTATATATATATGTCTGTATGATATGTATGTCGAAACACATTTACGTAACAAAATATGAAAAAGGCTATTAAGAGCCGAGAGCAGCGGCGACATGGCAACCGAAGCAGGGAGATGCTTGTCAAACATTCGATATATAGAACACTTGGACGTGGAGACAATGTCGGACTGAAGGGCAGGACAGCCACCGAGGACCGACAGTTCACAGTGAGAGAGGAATTGAAACGAGATGCAAGTTCCAAACGGCATCTGGTGGCTACGGGCGGTGTGCAAACCGGCCAGAGACGGCTAAACAGAATACTTCAAAATGACAATTTGGCGGCCATCTTTTTGGCTTACTACTAAGTCCTTGGACAAAACGCGACAAGGAGTGGCCCCTTGAAGCGTTCACTGCTCTAGCCCTGTATTCCATTTTATTGTCCACCAAAAGTATTGCCATGTGCACAACAGATGCTTGATGGCAAGCACGCACTACCGTGCCTCATACCAACAGGAATAGTTGGAAAAGTCCACGAAGTTCCAGCCCTGGGCTGTCTCAACTAATTGCTGCCAACGAAGAGAAACACGACTTGTTTGCATGGTCTCTCGAACGAGCTTGCCTGCTTGAAGTCATGAAAGGTAAAACTGCTTGTGAGCTCTTTTTCAACCTGGCAAAGAGAGGTTTTGTTGATCTAGTGAATCTAGTGTGGTCAATCGAAAATTGTCAACTAAGACTCTCAGGTGCAAGGCAGCCTCTCTTAAGTCTGGGTATTGCTGGAACCATGGATATAGGCACCTGTCATGCTTGCAAACAAAAATAGGCATCTCTACCGCAAAAACGCTTTCGGAATAATAAATCAGGATCAATGGATTTAAACCCTCTTAAGTTCGCCTAGCGTCAGGTACTGCAACCGCCAACTGCGACTCCATTTCGGAGAACCTGGCCATGAAAAATGCAAGACCAGAGTTTGTGACCAAGCGACTTTAAGGCCGTGCAAACAAAAGTTCAATCATGAAAGTGGTGCCACCAATCCATTGCTTCCACATCTGCTCTTTCAATTTCAAGGTTTGGCCACGAGACCCTCAAAGTCAATCAAACACATTGCAGCTGCAGAATGTTGCCCCACCAAATTGCCACGAAAACAACCAACATTGAAGTCCTCATCGATATGTGTCTCTGTGTTGACCTGCAAGGAAGACTGCACGGACCACCAAAAAGCATCAAACTGCGTCAAATGGTGATTTGATCCTGTCCAGTACAAATCCCCATGGATCCGGTCGCCTAGGGGTGTGAGACGTCCGGGAAAATGGTCCTGCAGATTGCAGCTGTGCTGGTTTTACAGTTTTACCGTCAACAGGTCGCAACAGCGCATCTCCTCCAGTATTGATGCCCTCACAGAGTGCAATTTGTGCAACCAACACATTTCAACAGGAAGTGCCGGTTCACAGGAAGTAAAAAAGGCTGCGGCCAAGCCATGGAATGGAGCAACTGGAGGCCTTGAAGCGAATGTGAACTGACAAATGTAGCCGTGTAATCACTTTAAGTGGTTGGGAACATGGTGCGTCAATAGTTCACAGAGAACGAAATATATATATATACTATAAATATCGAACAATTCCCACAGCGAATGGTTAGCCTCTGCGACGGTCGAGTTTCATCCAAAGCTCCAAGCCTAGACACACATGATTGCTGTTTCGACTTGCCAATGATGAAACAACATTTTGAACCCTTGAAAAACTATCCAATGGCATCTTAGCGAAGTGCTTGGGTTCAGGTTCGCTTCGCAAAGTCCAGGACGACCCCAACGCCTCACAACAACATGTGATCGTTTTCTGATCACTTTCGTTTACTGTGTTTTGAATGGATACAGTAAGAACCGGGATGCATAACAAAGGACTGAATGGAACGATTGGAAACACATATTTTTGGTGAAAACCCTGCAAATGTTCATCAAACGTGACGGGCGAACCTTTTGTTTTGTCTCCTGCAAATCAGGATGACATGACTGGAAACCTGTTTGCATTGGACCTGCATGAATCCGTTTTCAATTTCAATTTGTAAACATTAAAATTCAATTTCAACAAGCAAACACACCTGTGGCAACCATGTTGTTCCAGAACTGGTGTACCTTTGTCAACAAGTACATGTTGAAAACGCAATGCATCATTGCCCAACATCACGACGGAAATATGTTGCTAGCACCAAATTGAATTTGAATGTACAAAACATGTCCATATTCATGTGTTTGTGCTATCACCGTTGGACATTCCTGTGTCAACCCACGTTTCCCACTTGGCACCAAACTTCCAGGAAGACGACCACAACATCAGCTCAACACACGTCCATATTTGTTTTTTGAAAGTGACTGTTGCAGATGCTCCCATGGTTCAAGCAATCATGCGGAATGTTTGGCAAAAATATTTTCAATTTTAGGGCGTGTTTCGTTGTTGGAAATTTATCATGTTTTGTGTAAGACCTTATGTTAAAACATGTCCGACAATTGATGCAAGTCTTGCAAAACGTTTTGTCTTGCAAACTACAATGTTGGCTACGGATTTTGCATTTTTGACTTCGTTTGTTTCTGAATTGTTTTTGACAGCCACAATGGCACATAAAATGACAAAAAAACAAAAATAAATATTACAGTTATTGACATTAAAATGCATCGGTTGTTTCTTATATTTGTTGTAGGATATGGCGCGATGTGTTCCCAACGTGTAATAAATTCTACATTGACATTTGCCATCAACAACCCCATGACATTGCCAGGTTGAATCCATGGCAAATTGTCAAAACATTACTTCAAATGTGGCGAAAAAACCTTGTTTCCAAACTTGCAAAAACATTGAATGTTTCGGGGTAATTTGTTTCGCTTACACCGTTCATCAAACAAGACTAGCAACAGCAACCATAGCTACGTCCAAAAATTGTTTGGGGATTTTGATGTTTGTTCGCTTGGATTTTTCCAGGATGCAGAGCAAGGGTTCCCGTTTCACTCTAGGCTGTGGACATTGCGAAACCGTCCGCCACCGCTCACAACCGTCCGCGTGAGGGCCGTATGGCCGTGCCTATCGTGAGTTCTGCAAAAGTGGTCACTTTTGTTTCGAACGTCGCGTAGCCTGGTTTCGCGTGGCACGCGTGGCACTGTGTGACATTCTAACATGTTTCATCACGTGTCGAAAGTCGTTTGGTGTGGCAGGCCCAATACTTTTGCGTCGTTTTCAGAAGATGAATTGGATTTTTCGTCGCAGCAGCACTTTGCAGAGTTCCATCATCATTTCGTATGACAAGCGCGGCACTTCAGACGTGTCGTGTTGCTTGTTTTTGTGAATCGCATTGTCAGAGCTGCGTCAAGTGGTGACAAGGTGCAAAATGCGCGGCAGGCGTGGCATTTTATGAGATCTGATGAAAATTGACGGAAGCCTCGCACGAAACATCGATTTTGAGGTGGTAGATTTTAGGTTCATGAGAAACCCATAGGAAAACGTTGAGTTTGAAGCAGCAATGTGTGAAAAATTTGATGAAGTCTCGCACGAAACGCTCGTTTTGCGGCTCCAACATGTCTCGTTGCAATTCTCTGGTTTTCTTGTAGCGTCACCGTCTCTATAGGGGAAGCTGCAAACCCTCTCATTTTCCAATGTTTTCAAGCCGGTTCCAATGTCGTTTTGCATGGCAGGCGTGGCACTTAGTGACATTCTCACGTGATTGAAAAAATGTCGAGAGTCGTTTGGTGTGGCAGGCCCAATACTTTTGCGTCATTTTCAGAAGATGAGTTGGATTTTTCGTGGCACGCGCAACACTTTGGAGACCTCCCTCGTCATTTCAAGTGGCAGGCGCAGCACTTTAGACGTGTGTTGTTGCTATTTTTCGCGAATCGCATTGTCAGGGCTGCGTGAAGTGGTGACAACGTGCAAATCACGTGGCAGGCCTGGGACATCGTGAGAATGTCATTTTGCGTAGCAAAGGCAGTATTTGGTACAGATCCGTTGTGTGTGGAATCTCCTCTTGTGTGGCTGGCCAGCATTTCGGACACTCTACAGTCCACAATTTACACTCCACACTCCACACTCTACACGCTACACAACACTTGACACTCCACACTCAACACTCCACACTCTACACTCCACAATTCACACTTAACACTCGGCACTCTACACTTTACACCCCGCACTTTACACTCCACACTTCACACTTTACACCCCACACTTCACACTTTACACTCCACACTCTATACACACTTCACACTTTAGACTTTAAACTCTACACTCTACACTCCACACCCTTTCTTTTTCACTTTACGCTCCACACTTTACACTCTGTACTCTACACTTTACACTCTACACTCTACACATTACACTCAACACTTTGCACTCCACACTCCACACCCTACACCTTACACTTTACACTCCACACTCCACACTTTACACTTTGCACTTTACACTTTACACCCCACACTACACCCCCACTTTACATTTTACACTTCACATTTCACAATCCAGATTTCACACTCCCCTTTCTTCACACTCTGCGCTTCGCACTCCACCCCATTCCACAGTCAGTTCAGACCTTTCATTTTGTGGAGGATTCGCGGCATTTTGGAATTCGCAATTTTCATCTATCCTGTTTTTTCCTGAGCAGAAAACCGCATGGATAAGTAAATCTCTGAGCTGTTTCTCAAGTACCGGACCATCCACGCAGGCTACATAAATGATCAGATAAAACAGAGGCATTCCCAAACCCCCAAGTATACTCAATTGGTATACACAAAACAAAACAGACATATGTATATATATATGTGCATCTATGTATATGTATATGTATATGTATAAGTATATACAGCGTCAGACAAAAAACCGTGAAAACACAGGCGGCAAACCAAAAGTGCAAAAGCCGACAACTGTCACAACGGCGCTCACGCGCGTTTCATATTATTTTTTTTCTCTTTTCAATAATTGCAGGTAGTCCTGAGACTTATGGGGTTGTTTCACGCTCGATATCAATCTGAGCTCACAATGCCACTCAGGCAACATTTGGTGTTGTTGACAATGGCACAACACCAACATTTTTTTTCCTCGGAGTTTGGCCACATAAGCTCAATGGCTCGGTCCTTGGTAAAACTATTCTAAGCAAAGTTTCAAACAAAGCACCTTATCAGTGCAACTGTACACGGGTGATTATCAAAAGCAAATAGAGGCAGTTTAAAAACCAAACACAAACCAACAAGCCCCACCAAGCGGCGTTTTTGTTTTTCCGGAGTGCGGCCGATATAGCTCAAAGGCTCGGTCCTGAAAGCTGGATAAACTAATCAAAGCATCTAAACAAAAAATATGACCCGGGTAACCAAGTCACACCTGTACAACTCAAAGCCTACGGTGGCAACATGATCAAGAAAAACATCAACCGGCGAGAAGACGAAATGCAAATCTCCCAGCCAGATTTGCGTATCGTCCCACGCAAACAAGACCAAACAAAAACAGCAGAACGGGGCCAGGGCCCAAAGCAAAACACCACAAGTTGCCACCAGCAACATTGATGGGGCATTCAACCCCACAATGCAGGAGAGCAAAAACATGCAATTCTATCAAATTAAGGTTGCAAAACAAACCAATTCTAGAAATGAATGGGCAGCAGTAGAAGAGGTGAAACAAATTCAAAAAAACTCTGTACATGAAATGAATTGCAATTCACTCAGCAGCCTCTCAGTAGTTCTTTGCCGAGTCATCAAGACGCCAAGAGCCAGCGAGCTTCCAAAGCGTTGTACTGCGAATTGCCCAATAAATCCCTTATGCCGTATCCAAAGGGCTGGGAGCCAATGGGTAACAGCCCCGAACAAAATAGGGGGCCAGGGCCACCGAGCGGCCACAAAAGTTTGCAGAGGTATTTTGCTGCAGAGGGAAAACTTCGTATCTCCATCTTCCAGAGCAAGGAGCGTCGGCACATGACATGGCCTTTCAAGGTGCCAAGAATCATTATCTTATTTTTCTCAATCATTGTTTGGAGGGGTGCGGGGGAATGTGCCCAAATTTGACTTCCCTGAAAAAGTTGCACCTTTGCACCTTTCAAAATTTGGCAATGTACAGGGAAAGTGTTTCCACATTTGCTGATCTTTCTGTCACTTTAGGAGCAGCACCTCGCCATGTCCAGAGGGTTCGTTTTTAGCACCTGAAATCAGCAGACTTTTTGGAGACAAGGTGGGGGCCTCTCTTGTAGGACGATCTGCAGCAGGGCTTCAGGGCGGACAGGACAACCAGAAGAGCCACACAGAAAACAACAGACACAGCACCCAGACGAAGAGACAAACAGAAAGCAGAAGCGACGGGGGAGGAGCGCCCAGAACAGGCAGAGGGGGACAGACAGTGGAGATTAGCAGGAGGTCGACGCACGCTGCACTACGACAGGGAGTGGTCTCGTGGGGCCACGTGAAGCCAACTCAGAGGGGGAAGCCAAAAACCACAAGCGCCAGGCACAGCATGGTGCAGAGGGGCGGTGCCCCACACAGAGCCGACTTTGTTGCCATACAGTACGATGACGAAGGGAAAGGGCAAAACTCCATCTCCAGACCAGTCAGTAACAGACAAGAGGTAATACAGACCGGCCAGACGCCCAGACTGTTGCCGAAGCAACCAGATATCCACTGATCAGCGGGCGGAACCAATAAGATTCATACAGCAGGCACTCATTTTCAGGAGTGGCCAGTGTCGCCGCCTTCCTCATGAGAGAGCAAGTTTTTTTGGCCCGAGCCCGTTGCCTTTCGGCGGGTCTACGGTACTTGAGACTTACTCGTCTACCACGTCACGATCGCGGCCCCGTACCCGGGGGGAATCGATCCGCGGCTAGCTGTCTATGCACGGTCCTGAGACGGGCATTACACCACTACGCGACGAGATCACCTTCCTTGATGAGAGAGCAAGTCTCTCCGCTACCCGAATCGTCATGCTTCTGGCTACCCCTGGAAGGTATCGCGAATGTCGTTGGATCGTCCTCTCAGTCTGGAACGGCTTGGCAAACTTCTCTTGGAAAGGGGCTAGGGAGATTGTCAGTTTGGCCTGAAGCCAAAGAGCCGGCAACGCACCAAGATTCTCAGGTGTGAAAAAGATTTTGAGGGGAGGCTGCAGCCTGGCCATCATGGTCTCCAGCACCAACGAGTTCTTCTTCGGTAATTAATGGAAGTAACGTCATCCATCTTCACGATGGTGGATTACGTACCACATGCAACCAACATGCATGGGAGTGTATATTTCCATAATGCCACAGAATGCAATTTTTTCTCAGTCCATGCCTCTTGGCTTTCGCCAGGTTGATCATGAAACGAATTAACTGTAACCATTGGGCCGTGATACAAAAGCCAACAGCGCATCCA